CCGCCACTAGAGTAGTAGGAACAAAGAACTTGAAGGAATTGGACCGTTGTCTCTGTTCATACTATCTTTACATTTATTAATTCTGATGCTTTCATATGCATCTAATTGCCTGTAATTTGAGACTTGTTTAATTAATTTTAAATTATTAAGATCTGTACAATGTTCTTTATCAACAATATGTTCGGCAACGCAAGATTTATCCGGTCTACCATATCTTATCTGAGCTAAATGTTCTTTAAATCTAGTTAATATTGATCTTCTAGTTTGCCCAATATATTTCTGATTACAATCTTTACAAGAATTTTTTTTGGAATCTTTGGATTACCTAATAATTGTTGTAATTTATTATTAGCACTATACACAAGTTTATAATTGACATTCTTAAAAATTCCTTTTAGACCACGGGATAACTCTCTATCAAACGGTATCGAAAAATCTTTAGACGTATCTTTCTCCACCTGAAGTCGAATTTTCAGAAATCATTAACCTATACCTACGTTTTCTAATTAATTTATCAACTAGTGAAGGAGAATATCCATTACACTCAGCTACATTCCTAATGTAATCTCTTTCTATTTCATATCTTTCGTTGGAAAGTGGGAAACTAAGTAATCTATGAAGTAAGAAATTTAAACTAGCCATTTTATGTTCAACACTATGATGTGATTCATTAGGAATATATCTGCGTGTGGTCGTATTTTTCCTATATATATCAAATTCCACGCAATTATTAGTATTTCTAATAACTAATACATCTAGAAATAAATTTACTAGAAAATAAATTACTTACTTACGTTCAAGCTATCGACATACCAAATTGCATTTAAATCGGACGATTTGTTGATTTGATTCATTGATGTTGGGGTTCTCGATGGGGTTGTGTAGTGCACGAAAGTCGTCAAAATATCATGAAAAGATGGGGCTCTTTGAGTCCCATCTTTTCATGATATTCATGACATTCTCAAAACAGTTAAAAACTATGTTGGTGGCGCCTTTGACAAGTAGTAGTCATACAGAAATCGAAATTGAATTTCTCGTATCAAAAAACACCCAAACACCAATTTTCATTCAAATATCTGCGTTAGTTCAGAAATTATTTGGATAAAAAACAAAATAAAAATAAAACTTCTACACTCTATATCTCCAAAACGAAGCATTTCAGTGCGCAAATTTGTACGAACTTTTTTACTTATTTTTTCCAAATACAATTTGGTCCACCCTGTATGATAAACTTAAGTGTAATAATTTAACTAACTTCGATAGCAAATAGTTAACAGTCGACTGATTCAAGTTGTATATCTGACAATTAAAATAATAATTTGTTTTACATTTTGGTATATTTTTAAAATAAATAACATAAGTAACATCTTTTTTTTTATTCTAATCATGTTTCATCACTATACAGGGTTGTTCACCACATACGACACGGAGTATTGTAGCTAAACGATGAGATTTTTACAAATTGTAAGTTTTGGGTTCGATGAAGGACTATTAGAGGTACAATTTAAAAATAATTTTACAAGATACAGAGTGTCCCAAATAAGTAAAAAATATCAAAGTTGTATTTTTTTAAATGGAACACCCTGTATATTATTACATTTTTAGTTTCTACGATTAAAATAAGGGTAAATTTGATTAAGATTTATTATACTTAAACCTTACCGTTTTTGAAATATTTTCAATTTTGTGAAATTGCAGTAAAAATTTTAAGGCTGCATTTCTCCAAGGGTATCAAAGTTTTTAATACTAAATATTTACTGAAGTTTATTTACTGATCAGTTATTGTGTTGCAATAATAAAAATAATACTACCTTATACAGGTAAAAATTTATTTTAAATAATTATTAGCTTCAAACGGCAATAACTTGTTTAATTTAAATGGAACACCCTGTATATTTTACGAGAATCAGATGCACAATTTAATTGTCTATCAAATTATATTATACCATTTTTTACCTATCTCTTTAAGTTTCCGTAGAAAATGCATTTTCTTGTAATTTAGAACTTATTTATCAATATACCCATGGACTATTGACATTTTAGATTATTTTTAAAGATGTCCCAAATTTTTAAAGAGTACAGATACTAATATTGTCGATATAATTCGTTTATTTCATTAAAAAATAAAAAAAAACTGTTTAAATATTTGTTAAAGAGGATCAATTAATATGATTCCAGTATTCAAACTACATTAACTGACTGCGTTGATTAATAATAATTGCTCCAAATACTAAAAAACTGAATTTTGTATGGGCATTAGACAGTGTGATAAAAAGTAACACCTTAAATGATATTTCATTTTTTAATAAATGCTTATTTATAACAACAAAGACTTTAATTTGATAACTTATTATTATATTGATTTCTGACTCAAAAATCCACATTTATTTGTAATAATTTATTAACGAACACAATTAAGTATGTCATTAATTAGTATATGGGCGGAAATAATGGTGTTATATTTAATTAATGGTATACTCTTTTATAAAGATTTAAATAGTTTTCTTTTTGCATGTTAATGGGCTAATAATATCATCGTTTTTGCTAAAACGATAATATTACTAGTCTGTACATTTTGTACATTTGTTGCTTTAAAAACAATCTAAAATGTCAATATTCCATGGATATATTGATAAATGCGGTCTAAATTATAAGAAAATGCATTTTCTACAAAAACTTGAAGGGATAGGTAAAAAATGGTATAATACAATTTGATAGACAATTTAATTGTGCATCTGATTCTCCCAAAAATATACAGGGCATTCCATTTAAATTAAAGAAGTTATTGCCGTTTGAAGCTAATAATTATTTAAAATAAATTTTTAGATACTCTGTATAAGGTAGTATTATTTTTATTATTGCAACACAATAACTGATCAATAAATAAACTTCATTAAATATTTAGTATTAAAAACACTGATACCCTTGGAGATATGAAGCCTTAAAATTTATACTGCAATTTCACAAAATTGAAAATATTTCAAAAACGGTAAGGTTTGGTTTGGTTTGAGTACAAGTTTGGCCCTATAACATAGGATACAACATTTTTATGAACAGTGCTTTCCATAAAATCAATAAAATGAAAAATATACGAAATACTATACATGTACTGATTTCTGTCGAAAATCGACAACTGTGAAGCTATGATCCCTTCCCCGACACAAACTGTACATTGTGAGACAGGAAATTGTAGAGAGAAACAAGCCCTATAACATAGGATACAACATTTTAATGAACAGTGCTTTCCATAAAATGAATAAAATGAAAAATAAATAGATGAGATCAATGTGTTGCCGACAGATTGCCCTAGACTTGTTTATTCGGTGCGGCCAACGCAAAAAAGACGCTAAGCAAACTTTATCCTATGATGTATGTTTAAGTTTTTGTTTATTAACAAGAAAGCGTATCGGTTTTTTGTTACAAAGTACTGATTGCCAGGCCAAAACTGTTACTATAATATAAATCCAAAACGTCGGAAGATCTAATCGGTAGGCCAAGTCCATAGGCCGGGTCTACAGGCCGGACATTCTGGTTTGGGGCCTATTGGATAGTCTTGAGTCTTATCTTTGGTCTTGCAATTTGCAATTTTAGATTAAGCTTGGAATTATGGACGTAGAAGTATTCCATACTTGCGGAATTCAATTTACTGCAATTTATTTACAGTTGAAGCCCAATATACCATAGAAGCCATAGAAGAACAAAAGACTATAACCTGACCATCTGACTATAACCTGCTATAACCTTTAAAATTTAATAAAACATCTCACGTTTCCAGATATTTTGTTATTAAAGGTTCTGAACCAGCTAAAACCATACAATTGTGTTAAATAATAAAAAATGAAACGCGTACAAGGAGGATTTGCTCCCAGAGATGTAGGGGAAGAGAAGAAAAAGTCAAGAGAGGCTGTTCTAGCAAATCTATTTATTTTTGCTACATTTATTGGAGTAATTAGATCTCGTAAGTTATTCGATTTATCTATTTCCATATTAAGCAATAAATTCGACTGGTGTAAGTTTACTTAACGTCTGTTTTTATTTTTAGTTCCCATACTGCTCCGGAATACTGCTTAATATCTGTCCATAAACATAAGAACGTGAATATCCCTTTGTGATAATCGTTTCTACCAAATAGGCTTAAACTTTTGTACAATTTACATACTATATGGACTGAAACTTAACTGGATAGTAATTGAATAAAGTAATCAGATGACTTTTAACAGAGCTTTTAATACGTAAATAATCCTACAGCAACTTAAGGATCTACTACGTTAAAACAAACCTAAAATTAAACTATTAATTAGTGCTCGATTGTCTAATGAGATGAATACGTATGTTTTGAGAGTATGTATCGAGATAAATACGTATGGTTATTATTGATAAAATAATAGTTGTATAGATATTGAAATATAATTTGATCAAAGGATTTGATGATGCTCCTACCATAAAAGTTTTGCATTTTTTCTGAGCAATTTTTAAATACATAATGTTATACCTTTAAATTTGAATTTATGTTTGTAAAAATGAAATAAGTTGAGATGTTAAAATTATAGCTACATCAGAGGCAACATCGACAGGATATTTAAAAAAAATGGGGTAAATAAATATTTGCGTCATTCGCACTGCCTAAAACAAAGACCTTACAGTTTATCTGTTCATAATTTCTATTTTCACTATTAAGGGAAATGCAAATCGAAGTTAATATTAAGGAGTAATAAGTTAAAACAAATTAAACAGATATTTCTAGAATTCAAAATTACTAGAATTAATGATGAAAAAATAAAAAATATCCCATAATTTCCTTACAAAAATCAAAACTTCAACAAATTTAATTCGGGTATTTCCGCCGATTCGGGTGTCACGTCATTTATGACGACGGACATACGTCACAGCGTTCCTTCCGGGGTTATTCGACCAATAAGAACCGACGACTTTATCACGTGCACAATATGGACCAATAAGAAACACAAAGGATTTTATTAGACAGAAATTTCTGACAGGCGTAGAAAAAGTTCCATCAAACAGCCGCCATTTTGCCTGTTTGAGGTCGCGTTCAATTTTACACGAAATCGTGTCGTGTACTAATTGTCTGTTGTTAAAAGCAACCTTTTTGGATAAAAATAGTATTGTAAATGTGTATTGTGTAATAATTTGACTCTAGTTTGTGAAGAGTTGTTCCCAAATTGTGATTATTCTCGTTATTTGTTTCGAGATCGTTGTGCTAGGAGATGATGATAGGCAATCGCGAAGTGTAGTCGGCCGCCGGACTAGTCGGAGTTCATGATGGCCGATGGTTGACTTTGGTTTGATTAATATGTGCCTTGTGAGATGCATCGACTATCGAACACTCGCTACATCGACTATTTCGCACCGTTTCCTCAGATTACTGTCGAAAAAATAATGTTTTTATACTTAATTTTTAAGTAAACCAAGTGAAGTTAAATTGGTCAGCCGCAGTTCTGAGCCAGAGCTTCGGCTTTGGCTTGTAAAGTAAGAGACTGCTCGACACCGATATGGCCGATCATCTTGTGGATGGGCCGCCGAATGCCAAAAGGCCGAAATTAGACCCTTTTCCAGGACCATCGGATACATCGGGTAAGTTCAATTTCGTTGTGTGTTTATTTTGCGACGAGCATGTCCTGGTTGAACGCGGGAGAGGCGTTTCTGTAGTTTGACAAGCAAAAACATTTCACCAACAAAAATCTATAAACAGCTGTTTTGATCTAGAAATGTAGGTCTTTTATGCATAATATTTTCTTAAACAAATTGGTAATGCCTTTAACCAAGCTTTTTATTCAATAACAGAACCTGCGTATCTGTAAAACTGTAAATATTTATTACTTTGTAAACATTTTTGCTGTGATAGCCTAACAAAAGAAACAGCAATTTACAGAATACTGTTTATAAATTTAAGAACAAAGTCATATTTTATTAATTGGACTAGGTAATCTAAAGTAAATTTATATAAATTTTATTTATTCATTAATTGATCATTAATGAAAAATATTTAAGCCATGTTTAGCATCACCATCGTATACCCTTTAATCTAGCCACCTTACACGGCACCTGTTAATGTAATATGTCAGGTGCGATGACTTTGAAGTCAAATTTTTTAAGTAAGTTATATTTTATAATTACAAAAATAGTGTTTATATCGAAAGCATAAATTGGAGGTTAGATTACAATAATCTATTTTTATTATGTGGGTCCCAGGTGCTCATAGGAATTAAAACATCTCTTTGTAACTTATAAGTAAGTTATATTTTAAACCAAAAACATATATTTAATATACCAACCTTTGTTGAATTTCGTTGGTTTAATTCATAATATTTCATTAATGCAAAATTATCAAATGTCACATAGTATTTATGTGAAAATTAAAAAGTTTTAATTGGAATATATCTTTAAAACCTGTACTATACTTAACTAGCTTTCAACAACTATGGGTTGGGATCCATTCAATCAGATCAAGGTGGTGGTGTGTTCAATCCTAGGAACCAGTGGAATTTTGGCCAAACTCAAAGTAAATACTGTCTATATTAAATCTAACCCTAGCAATATAAAATTACTAACACAACTTAAAGAAATAAATCTACAATTATGTAAAAGAAACTTATTTAACTAACTTTTAAAGTAAACTGAATTAAATGATTATTACATGGCTTTATATACTAACATTTTCAATCTCTGAATGGCACCTATAACTATTCAGTTTTTATTTTCGCTCATAGAATATAATTGTTTTATCAATAAGAAAAGCTTTTATAATTTATACAAATGTACAAACGTTTCTCAGCAATATAATTTCAATTAGGTTATTTTATTTTGGTGATGGGAATTAATCCAATTTTATAGAAAGTTTTTAGCGGGTTGAATGTAATAATGTTATCCATAGATGTGCTCTCCAACGTTGATATGATGGTCTTGGAAAACGACCTACCCGATGAACTAATATCCTCTTCATCATGGGGTCTTCCAGGAGATGGCATGAATAATGCCAAACCACCTGCCCAAGGACCCGGTCCGGGTGGTATGCAAAACGGTATTGAGAATACCGATTCAAACAATTTAAGGCAAATGCAGATCAGTCACATGTTGCAACAGGTAATTAGTACATAAATATAGAGCGAAATTAAGGAAAGTTGGCGTGCACGTCATTAAAGACATCAAAACTATTACCAAATTAAATTTGTAATAAATAAAAATTTGTTTAAAACATTTTCCTTTTTTTTATTACCTCTGTATCCTGGTTAAAAAAAGACAGCAGGCGTTGGTAGCTCCAGCAAATATTGCCTTTTTGTTTCTTTGCAAATCTGATATTTGTCATTTTCAATATTTTAATTAATTTTTCCTAATCTGACTTTTGTTATTTTTGTTTTTTTTTGTTTTATTTGACAAATTTGAAATTAAATCTGCATTTTTTTTTTAATTAAAACTGCTATTTTTATTGCAACAAAATACTAAAACCACTAAATAGTCGGAATCAGCAACTTGTCTCTAAGTCTAGAAACTAATGTTAATCAATTAGAACTTTACATTTTTCAGTTGTCATTCAGAAAACTTGCTAATAGGTGTCTTTATTTAATTAGAATTTTTTTGTGCATTAGTAATAACTAAAGTAATATTGTAGATATAAAAAATATTTCTATATGTATAGTGTCTAAAATTGAAGTTAAAAACCAGTGACAAAATTACGAATTTTATTAAACATTTGTGAAAAAAGTTAAAAAAAAGTACCCATCAAATATTTTGATGATGTGCAGACTGACTATTATTGATTTTTCTATATCTATATCGGGTGATGATCAAAAGTGGCTCACCTCACCAAAAAAAATTGTATTTTTAAGTTCAATCTTCCATGGCTGTGTTAAAAATACTAAGTTTAAATCAAGGAGCCCTGGAAAAATAGATTTCATTATCTAATGTTTTTAGTGTCTTTTCCAGACCAATTAAAAGATGCCCAAATCATATTTTTAGAATTTTTTTAGGAGATTTGGAAGAAAAAAATTAATAGTTTAGTACCACACACTTTGTATTCCAGTAAATTGTCGTTTAAAATGCTATTTTTTTTAATTGGGAACGTCAAAAGTTGGCATATGATATGTCATTCTATTCAGAATGACATTTTCTTTCAAATTAAGCAAAAAAAACATGGAGGTTGTCCTTTAAAAATCAAAAGTAATTTCCGGTGAAACAGGAAGTGACCAAAAACAATTGAATACGTCAATCAATCCTAATTTATCTCATACTAGTTGAAGCCTGGCGCATCCGCCACGACATCAGGAAAAAAATACTTTTTTTTTTAATTAAATAACAGAAAAAAATAAAAAACAAAAATTCCGGCGACGACAGTTTTTAAAGTAAAAAAAGCAACTTTCTAGAGCAAGTCGTTACTTCAGTAGAGACGACACAGATAAACATTAGCATTTTATATAGTATGTAGATACTAGTGTTGCACAAGAGTCTTGAAAAAGTCTTGCAAGACCAAGACTCTTGCAAGAAATTCAAGACAAGACTTTCATAATTTCCTGTCTTGAATTTCAAGACAAGACAAGACTTTAATATGCAAGAAATTTCAAGAGTCTTGCAAGATTTCTTGAAAGTTAGAAATGATACATTTTTTTAAGTGATAATTAGGTCTTTGCGCAAGTTATGCCGGGTTTATACAACATTTACATAGTCGTAATCAGAATCATAGTCATAATCATAAAGTTAAACTATCCACTTCTTATAAACCTGTTGACATCTACCATGAACTTAGCCTTTAATTATGTTACCCAACTTCACTGATATAAAAATTATGATTATGAAAATGTTCTATAAACGCACATTAAAATTGCGTTGTGATTATGACGATGATTAAGACTGTGATTATGATTACGACTTATGCAAATGTATAAACCCGGCATTAATATTGACCAGTGTTCATTCTTTTTCTATCATAGCCAGTGTTTTAGAGTTGACAATGAAATAAAATAAAGTCGAGGCAACAAACCGTATATTGGTAATTGGTATTATACACAAAAAATTATATTGGTATAATGGTATAAAAAAAAACTAACGGTAGTTGAAACTAATGGTGGGTTCGTGGAGCACACTATTTGCGCTATTTGGTACTACTTTTCATGCACGAAATTGCTCCGCAAACAAAAAGTAGTATCAAATAGCGCAAATAGTACACTCTAGCATGACCTTTCCGTCAGGGTTCGGAAGTAGTTAATTAAGACGTAATTTACCTGATTAACTACGTGTAGTTTTTCTTCATAAACTACGTCTTTTCCCGTTCATTAACTACATGAAAACTACGTTAATAAACTATGTATTGATATTATGAATAATTTTCCTTTTTATGAGGTGTAATAGAGATAATATGATGTAAATATTATATTTAAAGCCATATTTCTTCTGTTTTCTTAAATACATTATGTGTATAAATAGTTTTTTATGCGTAAAAAGTGTTTTTTTTTTCTGCGTAAATAAGGGGTTTTTAACAGAAACAAATAGTTTTTTACGGTGTAACCAATAGTTTTTTACACGTAACAAATATTTTTCTTGGGTAAAAGAGTTTTTTACTAGAAACAATAAGTTTTTAACGCGTAAAAATTAGTTTTTTACGTGTAACAATTAGTTTTTTACACGTAAAAATATTTTTTTGCGTAAGAAACAATAAGTACAAACGTAAGAAACAACAAACTTACAAACGTAAGAAACAATAAGTTTAGACGCGTAAAAAAATAGTATTTTACGTGTAACAAATAGATTTTTACACGTAACAAACAGATCTATATGCGTAAAAAATAGTTTTCTACCAGTAACAAATAGTTTTATACGCGTAAAAATAGTTTTTTACGTCTAACAGTTTTATTCGCGTAAAATAATAAAAATAGTTTTTTACGTGTAACAAATGTTTTGTACAAGTAATAATTTGATTCACTTTTACAAAATTTGTATTAAAATATCAATATTTTTGATAAACACTTGGACTACTCACAAATACACGTCGCGTCACTACGTTTTCTAAGCCGTTAACACGTTTCGTTACAACGAGCTCGTGTGTCAGAACCGTCTCACTAGCTCGTATGTCACGGCCTTGAATTTTTACTCCCAGCGCGCGTAAAGAAGTTTCACCCCAAAATGTTTCATAAATCATGTCCTAAAATTGCATTAGCAACTATAAATATTTACTATTCTATTATATAATTATTTATTATATATAATTATAACAAGTACTAACCACAACACTACAACATAAAAAAACTATACACATATAAATTAAAATTCGTAAAATAAATTGCAAATAATAATTATTATTTTTACACACACCAATGGCACTAGCAGTAGATTGTGTTTGTCTCCGAATATATGCCCCGGCCCGTCCACAATTCAATCCCAGCATCTTTTATCTTCGTCTCTTCAACGCTAACGGCGCCGATCTCGCCTATCTCTTTCTCACAGGATTGATTGTTGGACGGGCCGGGAATCCACGAGCTTGCGACGTTACTAATTGACATCTTGATAGAAACTGCAGACCTGCCGCGTCTTTTGCGTGTTGTTAATGGGCACAAATCGAAAAAAGCGCTTAAAACGGTAAAATCGCAAAAAGCGCTTGACGCAAAACGCTAAAAACGCTTTCTGTGTGGCCGTGGGCTTAGGTACGAAATAATAACCCAAAACCCATAAATCGAACTTAACCTAACTTATTCTTATTCAGCTTTTATTTGGTAATGGCTCCTGTTTCGTCAAACGGGCGAGTTGACGTAGTACGTTTGCGGTCCGTTAAGATTTTTTTGCTAAAATTTGCATCGTTGTTCATTTTTCCGTAATATATTTTGTATAGGACACTTTCTATGAAATAAAATATAGATATATTATTACCTTTTTGTTAGAATGTAAAATTTTTCAAGACAAGAAATTTCAAGAGTCTTGCAAGACAAGACAAGACCTAGCCATTCAAGAAATCTGCAAGACAAGACTTTGAAAATTTCTTGTCTTGAATTTCAAGACAAGACAAGAAATTGAGAGAGATTTTCAAGACAAGAATTCTTGTCTTGCGCAACACTAGTAGATACTAACATACCATATTTTGTTTCTATATCTGAAAAAGTAAAAAAGTTATAGGGGTGAGCTACTGTTGAGAAACAGCCCGTATATAGTGATTTTCATGATATTACCGAAATATTTATTTTCTTCCCTTTAGAGTAACAAAGGACTTAGCAATGCTTTGTTGGCGGGAGGTCAGTTAGGTAGCAAGAGTCCGAATTTACAATCTCCGCCCAACGTTTCGGTGGCAAAAAGTGGGCCCGTCGATCAAATGAATCTGGGTAGCTTAGCTTCAAATATATCAAACAATTCTGGATTGCAATCCGTCGCTAACAATGGAAGTTCGGCTCAAGTAATGAGTTCAATTCAAGGTAGTAAGTGTTATGGTATACTGTCAAGTGCAATAGTATCAACGAATTTGTTTTGCGTAGGACTTAACAATTCAACCGGTGGAAATATGATTATGACAAACAGCAATATGAGCTCTATCAGTGGCATGGGCGGAGGAGGCTTAGTTGTCAGTAGCGGGGCTGTCGACAAAGCGCCCAATCTCATGTCAGGTCAGACACATCATTCGGGAGGACATGTACCTCAGGTAAGAGATTAGCTTTATTATTTTGTGTAGCAGTAATCATTTTACTTGAAATTTAATGAAACATAAACAAATACATTCTGCAAAAAAAAATTAATTTTTTAAAATGGTTAATTTATTTTTATGTTTTTACAAATTTCCATACCGTTCTAGAAAAGATTAAAAAAAACATGAAAATATGGTGTTTTTTTGAAATCGTAAAAATGAAAAGGCGTTTCTATGGCAATATAATTTAATTTTTGATTTCCTTCTTTGATAGATGGTTATTATTATAGTCTATAAAATGAATAACTTTGAATTTTGACCGTTATTTTTTACCAACATGGCAAATATAAAATCCCTCTATCAAAAAAGTGACTGATATTCTTTAAATTGAGTGCCTGAACGAATCAGATAGGTAACTCTTTTTACTTTCGTGAAATAGAAAAGGAAAATAATAAAACAAGTGACAGTTCTTCCTCTTCTTGCAAAAATCAAAACGAAATGTCAGACTTGTCAAAAGTAACATCTCATCAGCTTTTGACATTTCTAAATATTAGACCAATGCCGTCTCTAATGGAACAGCCACGGAGCGAGATTTATGACGTCACGCTAGTCAGATACTACGGATTAATAAATATGTTGTAGAATACATGGAAAACGTAATTATTCCTCGTATTTTTGGTTTGTATTTTAAAAATGATATAGTTTACATGAAATATACATAATATACAGTTAATAAATACAATATAATATATACCTATTTATAGTAATAAATACTTTGGCAAATAAACTATGAACCATACAAATGCAGCAAATGTTTTACAATATACAAATAATGAATAGTTGGTGCATAAGATAATGGGTAAAATGTAAAATATATTTTAAATTTTGGGGTTTGAAAATCGATCTAATTTAACAAAAAACATTCAATATCTACTAATAGTGTATTATTATTTGCAATCACAAAATTTATTTATATATTATAATGTTTACTGCAATTAATAAACTAATATAAACTTGTCAAAAAATGACCACATATTTTTTTAAATTATTATTCTTAACACAAAAACTATCTACATTGACTATGGAGTACGATTTCAGCCATATTGTAAAACATTTGCTGCATTTGTATGGTTTATAGTTTTATCTGCCAAAGTATTTATTACTATATATTATATAGGTATATATATTGTATTTATTAACTGTATATTATGTATATTTCATGTAAACTATATCATTTTTAAAATACAAACCAAAAATACGAGGAACTACAACATACTTATTAATCCGTAGTATCTAACTAGTGTGACGTCATAAATCTCGCTTTGAGGCTATTCTATTAGAGACGGCATTGCGTCAGCATGGCCGCAAGTTGATAACCTAATAAAATTAACACTAGAAAAACCCGCGGGAACTGTCAAATTCAAAGTTATTCGTTTTACAGACTATAATTTTGCTTAACGTCATATTTTTTGCTATTGTTAATGTACCTAAATTTCCTAACCTAACCTAACAATCACATTTCCAGAGCATTGAACTAAACAAATGTTGTGCTTTACATTTTAAAACAGCAAAAAATATAACGTAAATTAACATTCTAACAATAACAATCTGTCAAAGAATGAAAAAGAAATTATTATTACCATAGAATGCGTTTTGATTTTTAGAATCTTGTTTTTTGTTCTTTATTGATATTGTTTGTCTAATTTTTTTTATTTTGTCCAGATTTAGTATATATTCTATTTGTTTTTTTTTATTTTTTGCTACAAATGTGTTATCAAGAGGAATTTTATAACAATAAAGCGTTGATTGACTGATTGATTGAATCAGGAGACAAATTGTAGATTAGCTATTAATTTTGTATTTATTGACGAACAGGGTCTTCAAAATGGGCCGATGCTTAACCGATTGCCTCAAATACACCATAGAAATCCCGGTCCACACGGTCTTCACATAGGAGCCCGTCTCCAGAATCCGAATATTATCCTGCCTTCGCATCCGATCAATTCGGGAATGGCGGGGAATCCTCCCTATGCCTATTCGAACTCCAACGTTGGACAGAACGTGCAGCCTGGTAAGTCCCATCGAATCTTTTTGTCCTTGTCAAAAAAATACAATTATAACTATTAGAAAATCTACTAAACTTTTTTTGTCTAATTATAATTTCTCTTGACTGATGATAATCAAAGTCCAAAATGATATTACTCGCAAATTTCGAAGTACAGTTGGTGGGGAAAGTTAACTTGTTCCACTAATTGATGATTACTACCACTAATTTTGATCTTATAAATGCTTACATTGATATTAGAGGAACAAACAAAAAAAAATTATTTATCAAATTATAATTCTCAATTTTTTACTCAATATAATGTACCCAAGTAATAACGTCAAAGGCCTGCCCTCGCCAAAGGGTGTATTCCGTTGCTTACCTTGGTGATGGTTTTATGTTCCGTTTTTATCGGTTTCCTGAAAGTTTTCTTATTACGGAACACGGTTGTGATGTGCAGGTCGGAACGTGCCCGTGTTCCGGGAACGTTCCTCTAAGGTCGGGAAAGTGACTGAAATTCGGGAAAGTTGTATTTTGATGCGAGTTGGAATATTCCTCGGAACATTCCCCACTTTTCGGGAACTTTTCTTAAATTTAGGGAAAGTAATCAAAACATTGGAAAAGTTGTGAACAGGCCACGTCACAAATAAAAAGAAGAGAAACTAGGTTATAAACATAACCTAAATTTGTTTCTTTTATCGACTTCTGTTGCTTCTGTTGTTATTATTTTGTTGTTTCTTTTAACGTTATTATTATTAAATATATTTTGAAAGTTATATTTTCTTAACTTTATCACTCTTCTGCTTTGGGGAATATTTCCGGGAACCTTCCCGGAAAGTTTCCAATTTTTCATATCAATAAAAAAAAATTCCATTCCCATCACTATCCCGATTTGGGGAACGTTCCCAGGAACATTCCCTCAAAATAAGATTTCCGGAATGTCCCCATCTCTAAACACGGTTTCTGAAAAATTCCGTTATAACTGTCACCAACCTAACCAGTGCGCGAAGGCTGGTTTTTCTGGTTTTGTTTGTCAATCAATGTCATTTATGTGACAGAAACCAAGCAAATATTGGAAGTTTGAGTGAAATACTCATTTAATTTCTAAGAATTTGTAATAATATTTTGTATTTACATCCAAAAGCAATGGAGGTAGGCAGTAAAGGTAAATAAATTTCATTAACTAAATAGAATGGTTTTTTAGGACCATTTAAACTTATCATGCAGCCATTGTTTCTTAAAGTCAGGAACATTTAAAGAAAACATGAAAAACAAGACAACAAGTAATCGTGAATGTTTTGTAAGCTATAAAAATATAAATATTGATTAGATTTGTTTATTTATTATTGATCTGTTTTAATATTGGACCTGAAAATCTTCACTTGAGCTGTCTAACGAGTTTAACAGTTTATTAATAAAGTACTTTTCAATATTAAACTCCATTGAAAAGAAGAAGCAGAGAATAGGTACATTAAAAATGCATAAAAGATAAATTTTATAATAGACGTATTGAAATTTAGAAAACATTTGACGTTTCCAATATTTTATCAAACCGTTCCATATCAAACCGATATTTTTCATGAACCGCTCTTTACCGTAGTTTACCGGTCTGGTTCGCCTGGTTTTGCAACGGAATACAGCCAAAATGATCATCGATTGTCATTCCCAAGTCAATTAATAAATTAATAATAATTATAATGTGTCTTTTTAGTCGGCGTAGTAACTCCCCAACAGAAAATCAACATCCCCGGCACTAGTCCGCGGTTCGGCGGTCCGCCCTCTGGGCCCGTGGGTTCGATGGGCGGTCCCATGGGCGGCGAGGGCGGCATAGTGCAAACACAGCCGCCGGCGCCTTCTCCCGCGCAACCTCAATCGGGCGCCCCAAGCGTGTCTCAGCCCGGACCTCAACAGGCCACACAAAATCCTGCCAACCCGACCGGTCCCCCACCGGCCCCATCTACTGGTAAGTCAGTTCGTGTTTCTAAGTTCAGACATTCTTTTACGTTGTGTCTAGGTGCACGTTAACGTGTACCCTATTATAATATTTGGGTACACGGAAAGACCAGAAATATTTCCGCACTAAGTAATGCCTAGCTATCAGATTTGCAAATAGGTATCTCTTTACTTAATGTAACTTAGTAATATCTGAATTATACAGCGGTAATTTAATCATATTGTAGTTTGCCATAAAGATATCTTGTTAAAATGATTTAGAAAATTACTTTTCTCTACAGATCCAGAAAAACGAAAATTAATTCAACAACAGTTAGTTCTACTACTTCACGCTCACAAGTGTCAAAGACGAGAATCAACCCAAGCAAACGGAGAGTCGTGGAATTGCACACTGCCACATTGTAAAACAATGAAAAACGTACTTAATCACATGACCACGTGTAACGCCGGAAAAACCTGTTCCGTAGCGCACTGTAGTTCGTCGAGACAAATAATTAGTCATTGGAAAAATTGCGTTAGACAAGACTGCCCCGTATGTTTGCCGCTGAAACAAGCTGATAGAAATAGGAACAACGCGGCGGCGGCCAATGCGCCTCAAAACGCGGCGCAACCTCCTCAAGTCAATACTTCCGAAGCTCAAATAAGACGCACCTACGACACCTTAGGTCTTTCTGCGAGCGCTGCCGGTCCTGCTCCTTCCGGAGTCCTGCCAACTGGTGCTCAACCCAGACCCAACCTTAGATTACCGGCGAACGCCAACCCGAACATGCGGCTGGACAGGTGCGCCACTGGAATTTTGAGAGGGATGCCTCCCGGACCTCAAAACGTCGCTCCTAATGTCAGTTTACCTCTCGGTAGCGATCCTACTTCAAATGTTATCGGTCAAAATCAAACACTCAATCAGCAAGCTGCCACGTTTCAACAGAACGTTAACAATGTTATGATAGGACTAGCCACTGGTGCCGAGGCCGCCAATCAAGGATTAGTCAGTCAATTACCCGGTGGTTTACAGCCTGGCCAGGTAACTGCCTCTCCGGTTACGGGAACGAAAGAATGGCATCAGTCGGTAACGGCGGATCTGCGCAATCATTTGGTGCATAAACTTGTTCAAGCAATTTTTCCAACGCCCGATCCTGAGGCCCTGTTGGATAAAAGGATGCACAATTTGGTCGCATACGCGCGAAAAGTTGAAGGTGACATGTACGAGATGGCGAATTCTCGCTCCGAATACTACCACCTTTTAGCGGAAAAAATTTACAAGATCCAGAAGGAGTTGGAGGAGAAAAGACAAAAGAGAAAAGAGCTGCAGATCGCACAGCAACGTCAGCACCAGCAACAACAGCAAGGGATCCGACCCAACTGTGCAATAAGGCCTGGAATTCCTTCCGCAATCGTTCAACCGCAACAAACTCTTCGCCCCAATTCGCCGCCTCTAGGCGCGAACAACATGGGCGGACTAGGAATGTTAAATCAACAAGGAAATCAGATGGTGTTTCCTGTGCAACAACAAGCCTCAACTCCACAACCATGTTCGCAACAACAACAGCAATCGAATGTGGTGGGTTTACCAGGTCCGAGTCCTACCACCTCGAATCCCGGTCTATCGCCATTCGGAAATCCACTCTCTCAAGGAAGCACAACTTCCACACCAACTCAATTCACCAATAACGGTCCTATCAGTTTACCTCAGGTTTCCCCAGCAGGCAATCAACAGAATCAGTTCGATTTGTTGAAGAGTAACCGGGTCACGCCCTCTCCGTCTAGTTTCGTTCAACAACACACTCCTCAACCCCAACCAAATACTCAAAGCAACATGAACACTCCCAGCCAACAAAACGGTAATAATAGATTAGGTAACAGCGAGGGTGGTGTGGCAACGCCGCACAATAATACCGGACCTAAATCAGTTAATTCCTCCAGAGGACCGTCTCCCGCACCTACTACTCCTATCCAGGCGTCTCCTAGTGCCGCGGCCAGTCTGGGCAAAGGTATGAGTTCGGCAGAACGAGCGGCGTTAAACGCGCCCAGGCAGTCGAACGTGTCGTCTCAAATGGCAGCCCTGATGGCCGCTTCGGAATGCAACGAAGACTCTCCCCCCGCGTCGGACGGTAACAAAGGAAAATTGGAACAAGTCAAAATGGAACCGATGGACGTTAAGCAGGAAATGGAGGACTCGTCTTCACAAGCCGAATGTTCGGGCGGCAAAAATATTAACAACGATATTAAGATGGAGATCAAGGAGGAAAAAGCGGAGCCCGCTGACGATTCGGAAGTGTCCGTGAAGGAGGAGAAGCCTGTTATTAAGGAGGAAGCTGGTGCTGAGGGTAGTGCTGATATTAAACCTTCGATTGATACAAGTTCCCAATCGACAAGCGGCGAAGGGGGTAAAAGAATAAAAGGTAAGTCGTATGTTGAGTGTTTTTCAAAAGTGGCTCGTTCCTCTAACTTTTTTATTTGTTTAGACTAAAAAAAAAGAATTGATTGACGTATTCAATTGTTTTGGTTTGGTCACTTTTTGCTTCACCGGAAATGACTACAACTTTTGATTTTTAAATGACACCATCTGTATGTTTTTACTTTGTCCGATAGAAAATGTCATTCTGAATAGAATGACATATGTCAACTTTTGACATTTTCAGTTAAAAAATAGTATTTTAAATTTCAATCTTGAGCAAATCACCACAATACACCAAAACACTTTTACTTTTACACTGGACGCGCGTTTCGCTAACCATGTTAGCATCATCAGCAGATGATTATAAACTAATGTACAATCTACAAGTTGAGCGTTTATATACTCGCTCAGTGGGCGTGGCAAAATCTAGCCAACCGAGTCAAAGCCCACTGAGCGTAACAGTTAGATTTCCGCTACTAGAGTAGTAGGAACAAAGAACTTGAAGGAATTGGACCGTTGTCTCTGTTCATACTATCTTTACATTTATTAATTCTGATGCTTTCATATGCATCTAATTGCTTGTAATTTGAGACTTGTTTAATTAATTTTAAATTATTAAGATCTATACAATGTTCTTTATCAACAATATGTTCGGCAACGCAAGATTTATCCGGTCTACCATATCTTATCTGAGCTAAATGTTCTTTAAATCTAGTTAATATTGATCTTCTAGTTTGCCCAACATATTTCTAATTACAATCTTTAAGAAATTTCATAAATACCCGACCTTCCCAGTGGAGGTGTTTTATCCTTTGGATTACCTAATAATTGTTGTAATTTATTATTAGTAATTTTAGTTTTTTATTATTAGTAATTTATAGTGCTAATAATAAATTACAATTATTAGGTAATCCAAAAGATAAAACACCTCCACTGGAAAGGTCGGGTATTTATGAAATTTCTTGTAAAGATTGTAATCAGAAATATGTTGGGCAAACTAGAAGATCAATATTAACTAGATTTAAGAACATTTAGCTCAGATAAGATATGGTAGACCGGATAAATCTTGCGTTGCCGAACATATTGTTGATAAAGAACATTGTATAGATCTTAATAATTTAAAATTAATTAAACAAGTCTCAAATTACAGGCAATTAGATGCATATGAAAGCATCAGAATTAATAAATGTAAAGATAGTATGAACAGAGACAACGGTCCAATTCCTTCAAGTTTTTTGTTCCTACTACTCTAGTGGCGGAAATCTAACTGTTACGCTCAGTGGGCTTTGATTAGGTTGGATAGATTTTGCCACGCCCACTCGCTGCCCACTGAGCGAGTATCTAAACGCTCAACTTGTAGATTGTACTTTAGTTTATAATCATCTGCTGATGATGCTAACATGGTTAGCGAAACGCGCGTCCAGTGTAAAAGTAAAAGTGTTTTGGTGTATTGTGGTGATTTAGTGTTTTATTTTGCTGTGTAACACCAAAGGTTCCAACTCTACAGTAATCTTGAGTGGCTTTGTTAAAACCGATTATTTTTAATCAAGGAATCTTTGAAAAATAGATTTGTTTGTCTAATATTTTTTGTCTCTTCCTGGTCTGTTAAAAGATGTCCATCCAGATCGTATTTTCATCACTATCAGAAATCAATTTTCTCAAATGGAACGAAGTAGCAAATTTGGTAACAGCATTATTTTACAAATGATTTGGTACCACATGCTTGGAATTTCGAGACAAATTGTCCTGTTTATCGTCGTGGTTCTCTATATTGAATTTTAAAATACTATATTGTTTAAGTGAAAATGTCAAAAGTTGACATATGTTATTTCATTCCGAATGTCATTTAGGCTCTCAAAATTGAATTTTAAAATACAATTTTATTTAAGCAAAAAACGTCAATAGTTGACATTCCGTTCAGAATCAAATATCATTATCAAATAAAATAAAAGAATACGGAATGTACCAAATAAGTATTAAAAGTTTTAGTCAGTTCCAATGAAACAGGAAGTGACCAAAACTAATTGAATACGCCAGTCACTCCCGATTTATGTCATACACTAGTATACCAAATCTCATCTTTTTTATCCGAAAAAGTAGAGTTATAGGGGTGAGTCACTTTAAAAAACCCCGGATGTTTTAAGTGTGTTTGATTCGATTTTTGATTGTCTGTTACAGTATTCAAGTCTGATGAACTAAGACAAAAGCTGATGCCTACTCTGGAAAAATTGTACAGGCAGGATCCTGAAAGCGTACCTTTCAGGCAACCTGTAGATATTCAGACGTTGGGTATTCCCGATTACTTCGATATTATTAAGAAACCGATGGACTTGTCAACTATTAAGAGAAAATTAGATATTGGCAAATATCAGGATCCTTGGGAGTATGTGGATGATGTATGGCTTATGTTCGATAATGCTTGGCTGTACAATAGAAAAACTAGTCGGGTGTATAGATATTGTACCAAGGTAACGTTTTAATTTATTTATTTGTTGTTGTTTTTTAGTTTCTATTATTATTTTTAGCTATCAGAGGTGTTCGAACATGAAATAGATCCTGTAATGCAATCGATGGGGTATTGTTGTGGTAGGAAGTATACCTTTAATCCTCAGGTTCTCTGTTGTTACGGTAAACAATTATGTACCATTCCGAGAGACGCAAAATACTACAGCTACCAAAACAAGTAAGAATATATGAAAAAAAAAATAATGCATATCTGATTTGTATTTGAATTTACAGTTTAAAAGCTTACGGCCTTGGTTCAGATCGGTACACCTTTTGTCAGAAGTGTTTTAATGACATTCAAGGAGACACTGTCACATTGGGCGACGATCCTACTCAGGCTCAAACGTAAGTTAAATTTTTATTTAAACAAATTATTAGATTTAAATATATATTTTATATATTTCATGTTTCACAATTTGCAATAATTATTGTTTACATACGTCAAATCAACAAAAATGATTTTAAAATATTTAATTAAGATACATAGTTTATTTTGAACATACATAAGAGATATTCGAACTACTATGACAGTCAGATTAAAAAGGGTGCGTCCAATTATTATGAGAGGGAATCATGATAGGGAGTAGAGTCACACTAAGCTCAAACCCACTAACGACCAGGTCGCAGCGACCCAAGGACTGTATACAGGGTGTTTCAAAACAAATGCGAAAAACTTCAGGGGGTGATTCCTTGTTCAAAATAAAGGGTAGTTTGCTTCATAAACGTTGGGTCAAAAGTCAACCATTAGGGAGATATCGCGGTACAAAGATGGCGGAAAAATAATGTTTTTATTTTTTATCTTGAAAACGAAAAGAGATAGACTAATAAAATTTTATGGAAGCATTACTGTTATGAAAACACACTTTCTGGTAATTTTTTCACTTTTTTAAAACGAGTGGAAGTGGTTGAAATAAACTACCCCTATCATTCTTGTTAACGAAATTTAAAGAAAAATCTTATCAAACACATGCAAATGCTTTAATTTGGATAGTTTAGTTTGTTTAGAAACTTTTTTATCTCTTGTGTTTTTTTGATAAAACTCACCGATTTGAAATTAAAAAATAAAATGTAAAGCATTACATGTCAGGACAAAAAACATTTTCTGATAAAGAATCTAGTGATAATAACGATAATAATAATCATCTAGATAATAACGTATTGCAGTAGAGTAATATCAAATAAAATAATATTAGGAACATCCTAAAAAGTAACAGCGGCCGACTAGATTTTTTCCTAAAAAAATTACAGCAGCCCACTAGATTCTTTATCAGAAAATGTTTTTTGTCCTGGCATGTAATGCTTTACATTTTATTTTTTAATTTCAAATCGGTAAGTTTATCAAAAAAATACAAGAGATAAAAAAGTTTCTAAACAAACTAAGCTATCCAAATTAATTTTTTTGCATGTGTTTGATAAGATTTTTCTTTAAATTTCGTTAACAAGAATGATAGGGGTAGTTTATTTCAACCCCTTCCACTCATTTTAAAAAAGTGAAAAAATTACCAGAAAGTGTGTTTTCATAACAGTAATGCTTCCATAAAATTTTATTAGTCTCTTTAAAATCTCTTTTCTTTAATCTCTTTTCGTTTTCAAGATAAAAAATAAAAACATTATTTTTCCGCCATTTTTGTACCGCGATATCTCCCTAATGGTTGACTTTTGACCCAACGTTTATGAAGGACTGTTCGATCGCGTCAAATCGCCGCTGTCGTAGTCGCCGTGGAATGCTACGTCACGCGCTGACCAGCGCTCCACAGTGCGGCGGATGGTTATTCTAGCGGGACAAAATCTCAAGAGCAATGTTTGGGACTTAAAATCTAAGAACGTAGCAAATGGTCTAATATACAGCAACTATATGGTTAAATTTATTTATTTATTAATAACTTAATTTATTAATAAATAAATACAAGATAATAAAACGATATGATATTATTCGTACATGATACACAAAAACCGTATTGTAAACTATTGCCAAATACATAAAATTATGATATCAAAAAACTCTTTAGCAGTTATTTTTAAATTAATTTGTAATCTTGTGACACCCTCTATAATTTATTTTAAAAAAATATATTTTATTTTGAAAATAATAAATAAGATAGATATTTTAATTTTAATTTTAACACTCGGTAATTGTAAATTCATATATTAAGTATCTAAGACAATTTTTTAAACTCAGTGCCTTTTGATGGAGTTGTTTTGTTTTTATACTATCCGATTGAAATGAATCTTTTTGGGCATTCACCTGTTAAGCTTGAACTCCCTGTGACTGCGACTACCTGTGTTGGTAACTATTGGTAACTCAAAAGATCTACATCATTCAATATATCGATATTTGAAAAAAAAGTGTAAGTTTGATATCTGCAGAACAAAGGCACGAAGGATTTTAACAAATAATATACATACAGTAGAAAAGTACATACCTTTGGCAATCTTCAACATAATTTGGCTTTCTAATAAAATGTATAAGCATTTGTAAATATTTTGTTTTCGTATGATCTCTGCCTTGCTGAGCAGAAAACGACCAAATTTGGTTGATAAAAATGTATCGAAATACAAAGAATATTCATGCATTTTTTATCAATTGGAATGTCTACTATTTATTCTTATCAGTACACATTTTTTGGCTTATTTCTAACCAAACGCTTTTGTCCCGCTAAATTTATCTTCCAACGCACTGTGCGCTCGTCCGTCAAATGCAAAAATAACTGTCACTGTCTAAAATCTTTAGCGCCAACTTCAACTCGGTCAGTAGATGACGTAAAAAAACTGACAGTGCAGGAAGATAGGAATCGAACTATCCTTATCTCTATAGTATCCTTGGGTGGTGCCCACTCCCACCTCTCACTTGCGTGCCCCCTTCAAGGGAGCACACATGTAGTAGAAAATAAGAAAAATCTTCTCCCATTTTTCATCCAGATATCGATATTAATTGAGAAATTATTTGAAAAAAAATCTAAATAAAGTTAAATTTCTACATCCTGTATCTCCGAAACGAAGCATTTTAGGGGCTAAAGGGCTAAATTTACACGAACTTTTTTACTTATTTTTATGTGCAGAATATACTGCCGAAGATTCCCGAATACAATTCGGACCACCCTGAATATCATATTAGTTTAGATAAGTCTCAGCCACACTCATATAAATCACTGTACCGCAGTAATTTAGATTTTTAATAAAGATATGTAAATAGTCGACTTTTACTTTTGTAGTGCCATTAAAAAGGACCAATTTAAAGAAATGAAAAATGATCACCTCGAGCTAGAAGAATTCGTTCATTGCACGGATTGTGGTAGAAAACTTCATAAAATTTGTGTACTTCATCACGAGGCGATCTGGCCGCAAGGATTCACGTGCGAGGAGTGTTTAAAATTAAAAAATCTTAAACGGCGTGACAACAAATTTAATGCCAAACGGTTGCCCATAACAAATCTAGGTTTATACATCGAAAATCGAGTCAATGTCTTCCTAAAAAAGAAAGAGGCCGGAGCGGGCGACGTTCATATTCGTGTGGTGTCAAGCAGCGAGAAAGTGGTTGAAGTCAAACCGGGCATGCGTAGCAAATTCGTGGAGTCTGGCGAACTGTCGTCCGAATTTCCGTACCGGGCCAAGGCCCTGTTTGCTTTCGAGGAGATCGACGGCGTGGACGTGTGTTTCTTCGGCATGCACGTGCAAGAGTACGGCAGCGAATGTCCTCCACCCAACACCCGCCGCGTCTATATAGCCTATCTGGACTCTGTGCATTTTTTCAAACCCAAACAGTTCAGGACAGCGGTCTACCACGAAATTTTGTTGAGTTACTTGGACTATGTGAAACAATTAGGTTACACCATGGCCCACATTTGGGCGTGTCCACCTAGCGAGGGGGACGATTACATCTTTCACTGTCATCCGCCCGATCAGAAGATTCCCAAGCCGAAACGGTTGCAAGACTGGTACAAGAAGATGCTCGATAAGGCTATCAGCGAGCGAACCATTTTGGATTATAAAGTAAGGGTTTTTGGGTTTGTTTGAAGGTCGTTTTTAATGTAATGGTGTGTGTTTTTTTTTATTAGGATATACTCAAACAAGCGATGGAGGATAATCTTCGATCGGCTGCGGATCTGCCTTATTTCGAGGGAGACTTCTGGCCGAACGTGTTGGAGGAGAGTATTAAAGAACTGGATCAGGAGGAGGAAGAGAAAAGGAAACAGGCGGAGGCTGCTGAGGCTGCGGTAAGTTTACCTAGCGTTGGTAGATGTCCACTCTTGGACAGGAAGAACGTCTGTTCAAAGAAGGATGAGAAATATACAGGGTGTTTCAAAACAAATGCGAAAAACTTCAGAGGGTGATTCCTTGTTCAAAATAAAGGGTAGTTTGCTTCATAAACGTTGGATCAAAAGTCAACCATTAGGGAGATATTGCGGTACAAAGATGGCGGAAAAATAATGTATTTATTTTTTATCTTGAAAACGAAAAGAGATAGACTAATAACATTTTATGGAAGCATTACTGTTATGAAAACACACTTTCTGGTAATTTTTTCACTTTTTTAAAATGAGTGGAAGGGGTTGAAATAAACTACCCCTATCATTCTTGTTAACGAAATTTAAAGAAAAATCTTATCAAACACATGCAAAAAATTAATTTGGATAGTTTAGTTTGTTTAGAAACTTTTTTATCTCTTGTATTTTTTTGATAAAACACCGATTTGAAATTAAAAAATAAAATGTAAAGCATTACATGTCAGGACAAAAACATTTTCTGATAAAGAATCTAGTGGGCTGCTGTAATTTTTTTAGGAAAAAATCTAGTCCGCCGCTGTTACTTTTTAGGATGTTCCTAATATCATTTTATTTGACATTACTCTACTGCAATACGTTATTATCTAGATGATTATTATTATCGTTATTATCACTAGATTCTTAATCTAAAAATGTTTTTTGTCCTGACATGTAATGCTTTACATTTTATTTTTTAATTTCCAATCGGTGAGTTTTATCAAAAAAACACAAGAGGTAAAAAGTCTCTAAACAAACTAAACTATCCAAATTAAAGCATTTGCATGTGTTTGATAAGATTTTTCTTTAAATTTCGTTAACAAGAATGATAGGGGGTAGTTTATTTCAACCCCTTCCACTCATTTTAAAAAAGTAAAAAAAATTACCTGAAAGTGTGTTTTCATAACAGTAATGCTTCCATAAAATTTCATTAGTCTATCTCTTTTCGTTTTCAAGATAAAAAATAAAAACATTATTTTTCCGCCATCTTCCTAATGGTTGACTTTTGACCCAACGTTTATAAAGCAAACTACCCTTTATTTTGAACAAGGAATCATCCCCTAAAGTTTTTCGCATTTGTTTTGAAACACCCTGTATATATATTTTTTCTGTTTTACTTAAGTCATCATTTGTTTCCTTTGTTTCCAATGCCTCGTTAAGTTTTTTCTCTTCATTTAAACCAGAGACAATTTTTTTCTCCTTATGCTTTCCTGCTTATTTTATTTGAAATTTTTATATATCTGAAATATTGCATTTCAAAACAGCATATGGACCTTTGAATAAGAAGACTAAGGAAGGAGCATATCAAAAATCTTAGGTACACCGCGATGGGCCTCAAATATGGCCGACTTAAATTCCGGTTTATCAGTGTCGTTCTAATTTTATTTAAAAAATGTAAAACTATGATGTAGGGTAGACGTGGGGTAGACTCAATAATTTGTTGTTTTATTTTACGTTGTGAATAAATGTTGGTAGTTATTAAAATTGTTATAAAATATATAATTCTAATAAAAATAGATAAGTTATAATAAGTATTTATTAACACAAACATCCGATACGCTACTGAAGCAGGTAAGTCAAATTAACGTATCTAAATTCTTTGCCATCTAATTTTTGACAAGTAATAAATAAAAGCTAAAATGCAAGAAAAATATATAATTTAGTTAATTTAAGTGAATTTCATAAATGATCGGTTTACTACACGTATGTATATTATATAATCACTTACTAGCGAAAAGTTGTTCCATTATTTCACTCAATTTTTGCCGAGATCTACCGCACGCTACACAACCAACTATTTTAGAGTCTTTTTCGATAAATCGCGATAGTGTCACTGTTAATTTGAGTTCTGCCACAATTTCCATCTAGATTTACTACCTTTATACAACTATCAGTAGTAGAATAAATAATAAATAACATAAAATAAGCTCCGCAAAGACTGACAAATCCACATAATTTCAAATCAAATTCAAATGTGTCAAATGAATCGTCAAACAGAACTGTCAAGGATCCCCACCCTAGAGAGCTTTTATGGTGGCTTTTCCGCCCACCATGCATGAATACATGGATAGCATTATGCTCCTTCCTTAGTCTTCTTATTCAAAGATATGGACACAGTTTAAAGAATATAAATATATCAGTTGGCCCACTCTTCGCCCGTATCAAAATTCCTCCCGCCGCTCCCCGCCTGTCTTGTAGACTTGGGTCAGTCTATATCCGTTGCTCGACGTGTACACAGCGTCCCAAGTTTATTTTAGTTTTGTTTTCGGTCCGACGCATAGGGTGAACCAAAAATAGTGTTTTAGTTGTTTTGTTCGAATTGTGAATAAAATGTCTACTATAAATATTTGTGCAGTGGGTGGTTGTGAAAGTAGAATGACAGACAATATGTCGTTCTTTAGGTGCCCAAAAGATGAAGGAAGGTATGTGTTTATATAGTACCTATATGATATTAAATATATAATTGTCTGATGCACAAAGGGAGTATTAGCTGATGAAATGTTTAAACTGTTTTCGTTACCAAACTAAATTTGTTTCGTATTTGCTTGCCGATTTAAAATATATAGTGTGAATAAAACATTTATAGGACAAAAATGACACTGTGAAAATAACTACATAAAATTTCATTTAGAATACTTGCTTCATAGATCTCATATTTCATAGATATCAGATATTTACGAAAGGTATTTTTAGCTATTTTCATATTTCTTATTTAGTTTGAAGTCAATTTAAGAAATTTCTTAAAAAATGTCTATACCTCTGCGGCGGATTCACCTTTTTATAAAAAGTTCTTTATGTATTTCGCTTTCGCCACTTGTATATGTAACGCACTGTATATGTAATAAAATAAATTTGCCTAACGAACAAGAAAATTCTTAACGTCGCCGGGGTCTGAAACAAAAAAAAACACAAAGAACAAAGAAAAAACTATTTCAATAAAACAAATAATCATATGAAGAAAAAATACTCATCTACAGAAAGTTTAACCTGACAAATGTCATTTTAATAGAATGTCAACGGTTTTTAGTAGACGTATCTGTTGAAAAAAAATGAAGTGCTCTTGAGTAGTTGTATTTAGTTATTTTAAATAGTTATTTCTTTGTTCTTTGTTATTTTTTCCTTCATACGGCTGGAAGAGATATACTTCCCGAAACGTTAAGCAATTTTTTGTCCGTTTGGCAAATTTGTTTATTAGCAAATCACTGCTGACAAGTTGGTTTCCGCTAGATTAACAATGTTTACATGTCGCGAAATACTCATAGAACGTTTAAGAAGAGATGAATCCGTCACAGTGGTACAGACATTTTTTAAATAAAAAATGTTTGTACGCAGACATTTTTTTAAATAAAAAATGATTGTTCCTTGATGAGGGGTTCGTTTTTTTCGAAAATATCTAGGTTTTTCGCCACTGGAAGGGAAATCTTCAAAAAAACTACTTTTTTATGTTTATGAAAAATATGTTTTCATTGTATAGTTTTACCTTCTAGTGACGAAAAACTCAGATCTTTTTCAGGAACTGAAATAATTATACACAAACAGTGTATACTTATTTCAGGTGGGTAAATATCCAGTGAGTATTATAAAGAAATTTGTGTATATATGTATCTGGTATATACCCAGAAGACGCAGGCTATATATAGTTATTGAGAGTATATTTCGTCGGGGAATCTTACATCACAGTTTAAAGAATATAAATATATCAGTTGACCCACTCTTCGCCCGTACCAAATTCCTCCCGCCGCTCCCCGCCTGTCTTTAGACTTGGGTCAGTCTACATCCGTTGCTCGACGTGTACACAGCGTTCCAAGTGATAGGGTAAACCAGAAATAGTGTTTTAGTTGTTTTGTTCGAATTGTGAATAAAATGTCTACTAGAAATATTTGTGCAGTGGGTGGTTGTGAAAGTAGAATGACAGACAATATATCGTTCTTTAGGCGCCCAAAAGATGAAGGAAGGTATGTGTTTATATAGTACCTATATGATATTAAATATATAATAATTAATATATACATATTCAGTATATTATAATTATGGAAACCTAACTATGAATAAATTGTTTTAAAAATATTCATATAAATTAAAAGATTTTACTCAAAATATGCACAAAATATTTATTTTTAACAATTAGTTTATTATTTTAGTAGATATTTTAGAGTAGTAGTAAATACTTTACTATTATGTTTTGGATTTTGCAGTATTTACCGGTTTGCAAAGTGCATATTAAATTATTTTTTAAGATATTTGCATTTTTTTAAATAGCGTGTTTTACTTTTTAGATGTTTGTATTTTAACTACCTACCTGGAAAGTCCAAATTTTATCGTCAGGTAATAAAAATACGTGCATACAACTTGACAAGTTTTTTTAGTTTTTTTACTAAATTTTATGTAACAGTAAATATAACAATTGAGTATCCAGAAATGACAAATGTTCAGGAAACCGTTTTTTTAATTCAAATTATGCATGGACTTTTATATCCGAGTTTATATCGTTTTTCCCATTTTTAAATGCCTGTTTCTATGTGGCCGTTATCGATATTCCCGTTTATTTAGGTACCAAAAGGTGTTTTGGTACTTTTATTATTTTTCCCGTGTGCTCTTCAATTAGTAGTAAATACTGTAATAAATTATATTATATTTTTCTACTTGCTATATTAAAATTCCTTAGTATTTTTAGTTGATCCCTCCTATACGGCCAGCGTTCTGACTGATAAAATAACACTTCCGCTGCACCCGGTAAACGTATAAATTTTTTGTCACCTCGAAGGGCCACGGGCCGCCTTTGAAGTCAAAATAACAATAGAATTCCTTAGAGTGGGCCAACTGGTATGTATTCTTTAAACTGTGATATGGATCAGAAATGTTTCGTACTCTACTTTCCTTGTCAATTCCACTCAAGTGTCTTGCATTTCTTCAGCAAGAGTCGTTTAGTTGGTCGTGTTTTCTTAGCGATAATTTAATATAATAATCTTTAATATACGACACTCATGTACTACAAAGAAAAGACTACATACTGCGTCTAACTACCACCATCCAACAGTGACTGATTATAATTTATTTTAATTTGCTTTTGAATTTTGTTGGCATCTGGAATAAGGAGGTAAAGATATTAAAATTGTCTGTGTATTAAAGATATTTTCATCGATGGAAGAGAGCGAAGTGGGTCCCGATGGGAAAAAGAAGGGCCAAAAGAAGGCGAAGAAAAACACTAAATCCAAAGCAAACCAAAGAAAAAACAGTAACAAAAAGTCGAACACTCCTCAGACTGGCAACGATTTGTCGACGAAGATATTCGCGACCATGGAAAAACACAAGGAGGTGTTTTTCGTAATTCGGTTGCATTCCGTGCAATCCGCGGCAAGTCTTAAGGTAAGCGTATTAGAAATTTTAAATAATTATATAGGGTGAATCTTAGATAAGTACACGTACATAAACTACAGAAAATAAACTAAATAAATGTACTCCTAGTCTATAAGAGCTAGCAACGTTTTCGAGAAAGTATTTTAAGACGTCCGGCTCTTTGATATATGTTTTACTATGCTCTCTGGAACAGCATGCGGCCCGTCTGGCTGCCGATACCCGTTGCGTTCACTACTGCGCATCGGAAGAAGATCCTATACTTTTTATTAATTTAGTTCTGTAAATTCTAGTATTGAATATAATTCGAACATGTCTCCATAGCGCAGTGCGTCGAGTTTCCGACCACGAACCGGTGATTCAGAGTTCGAATCCGGGTCAGGGAAAATACTTTTTTATTTTATTTTCGTTTATATTCTGATAGTGTAAAGTATTAAATAATTCTGGTAATTTAAAAAAAAAATATTTAAAACTTTACTATCAGAATGTAAACGAAAATAAAATAAAAAAGTCTTTGCTCTGGCCCGGATTCGAACTCTGAATCATCGGTTCGAGGTCGGAAACTCTACGCACTGCGCTATTGAGACATGTTCGATTTATATTCAATACTAGAATTTAAAGGACTAATAAAAATATAGAATCTTCTTTCAATGCGCAGTAGGGAACGCAACGTTTACCGGCAGCCAGACGGGCCGCATGCTGTTCTAGAGAGCATAGTAAAACGTCTTAAAATACTTGTTTTTCCGACGTTGCTAGTATTCTTTATCATATTAAACCTGCAAAAAGATTTATATAATATTTAATCAGAATTATAAACAATTTATCAGAGGGTGAAAAATAATTTATATTACAATCAAAAAGCGTTTTTAATTTTCAGGATTTAGAAAAAACCAACTATATTTTCATATTTTTTTTTATTTTTCTCTATAACTTTGTTTTTTTTTTCTATAACTCTATAAATTTGGAAAATAAACGGGATTAACCATTTTAAAATGTGCATTTTTTATAAAGAATGTATTTTTCTGATAATGTTAATATAAAAAAGTTTTTCCTCTTGTCTCTTGTAAACACCCTTGATAGCTTGCGCCTATAATCAATCTTAAATTGCGTTTTACTTAAAACCAAACCAATATAGTAAACGCCACGAATGTTTGAGGGCGATTCATCGGTCGCTACCATGTGAACTAATCTGTTCAAGGTCACATAAAACTTAATTCCAGTGCCGTGGTGTTTCAAGTCATATAATAATCAATATATAATCTGTTGTAACCTTAGATCTTATAAACTTCGTGGATAAGTAAATTCGCTTAATTTTTGTTGAAGACACATCAGCGACATTCGACTATCTGATTATCTTTGTCTTTGACACTGATTGACCAATCGTCTGTCTTTGTTTTGTGTATATGTCACACAAAACATCCCCCTTTAGAACTTCGTCTGTCATGTTAAGAAATGAAAGTAAATAATAAAGCGCCTCTCGTGTTTGTTCGCACTCAAAAAATTTCAATTAATGCCTGTATATATTTTAATATATTTTTTAAATTTACATTTTTTTAATTGTGAAGTAATATATTACATTTAAATGGAATATATTACATAACAATTATGTCAATTACAGGATTACAAGCTTGTTTTCTAACATTTTTTAAATAAAACGAATTATAAAATTTCAATATATGTATATTTGTGGTAGGTATGAAAAAAGTAAAATATAAAATGGACAAACGCTTACTTACATTGCAATAAAACTTCCACTTTTAGTTTTGCAATCCAAACGCAATATTTCTATTTCACAAATAAAAATATCCGACAACACTAAAATCACTGAAATTTCCGCGGCTGACAACGAAAACTGAAAAATATAACGGCACTTTCTGTTTTGAACCTGCATATCAACATTACGCTGTACTATTATGTGTTTGTTGTTGAAATAATATAAAATATCTAATTATAACTTGTAAATTTTAATATTTTAACATGATTTTAACTACTTTTGACAATAACTAACTTTTTGTTATCAAGATGACATTTTAGACGGCAACTGACGTATATGTCATAATATTTGAATTTTAAGTACGTATGTAATATAATTTAAATTACTATAATGCAACTTTATACTTAGAAAACATTTATACATTCACAAAATACAACAAAGTCTAATAATATAGTTTGAAAACAATGAATATTGAATTAAAATTGAAAAAGTTGAGCCCGACCCCTTGTGTCAAAATTAGAAGATTAAATTTTCGCAATTTTTACACCATTTGATGACCGGTGGCGCCTCTAGTGTTTGTTCGGGCGGTTGGGCTTTGACTCCCGCTTATGGCCATTAAAGAAAAAGTTCTAAAGGGGGATGTTTTGTGATATGTCATTTTTATGTCAGAAAATAGAAAATGTAAATATATAAATTTGAGAAAATAATATTGTTATTCGGATATTAATTATTTATTGGATAATATTTACTAGTATATTAACTATTTAACGAAAAAAAAAAATCAAAGGTAAATTACCTAATAGTATTTAAAGCGATTAAGTTACGTAACATAAATATGTATTTCGCTGAATAAAAGTCAGTTGAAGAAACGATTTTAAATAATATATATCTTGTATTTTAAAAATGTGGAACAATCTTCAGAGGTTTTCCTACTTTTATAGTGTTGTGGAGTTCTTTTGAGGATAAGATTTTTCCTATTGCGGACAGCTTCACACATAACACTTTTATTAGTCATAATATAGTGTCTATTTATCCACTAATTTTATCGCACTACAAAAAAAATAGAAATCTAAAATATCGTCGGAATTGCAAATTAACTCTTTATTATCACGAGTCAAACAGTATACAAAAAACACAAAATGTGACATTAATTAAATTATTTTATTAAAATATGTTTTGACTTTTCAAAGTCAAAATATTTTAACGTTTCCCTGGTTACTGATTTCTATGTGTTGCCCATTCATCATAGCTATTTTTCAAAGTAGTATTTTAAAACATTTTTATAGTCTATAAAATGAATAACTTTGAATTTTGACCGTTATTTTTTACCAACATGGCAAATATAAAAGCCCTCTATCCAAAAAGTTACTGATATTCTTTAAAATGAGTGCCTGAACGAATCAGATAGGTAACTCTTTTTACTTTCGTGAAATAGAAAAGGAAAATTATAAAACAAGCGACAGTTCTTCCTCTTCTTGCAAAAATCAACGCGAAATGTCATAATTGACAAAAGTAAAATGTCATCAGCCTTTGACATTTCTAAATATCAAACCAATACCGTCTCTAATAGAACAGCCTTGGAGCGAGATTTATGACGTCACGCTAGTTAGATACCACGGATTAATAAATATGTTGTAGAATACATGGAAAACATAATTATTCCTCGTATTTTTGGTTTGTATTTTAAAAATGATATAGTTCACATAATATACAGTTAATAAATACAATATATATACCTATTTATAGTAATAAATACTTTGGTAAATAAACTATGAACCATACAAATGCATCAAATGTTTTACAATATACAAATAATGAATAGGTACATAAGATAATGGGTAAAATGTAAAATATATTTTAAATTTTGGGGTTTGAAAATCGATCTAATTTAACAAAAAATATTCAATATCTACTAATAGTGATGTATTATTATTTGCATTCACAAAATTTATATGTATATTTTGCAAGCATCAATGTGCGAAAAATTATATTTGCAAATAATACAATATCATAGAAAAAAGGCGTCAGCGATGGCTATGAAATGAAGATCGCTGTCATTTTATATGTAAAATTATTCTAAAATTTTTGATTTTTTGGGATTTAGGTTCGGGAAAAACGCTGATTAAGTTTGCATTTGGTTTTTCATTATTTTTTTTTGGTTTAAAAAAAACGTTATAGCTAACGTTTATAGCCTTCATCAGTGCTGTGTCATATGAAAAAAATGTCGAATGTAAATGTGTCGAATATAATCCAAAAAATTACATATACGAGGAATGTTTTCCATGTATTCTACAATATAATTAATCCGTAGTATCTAACTAGCGTGACGTCAGAAATCTCGCTCCGAGGCTGTTCTATTAGAGACGGCATTGCATCAGCATGGCCCGCAAGTTGCTAACCTAATAAAACTAACACTAGAAAAGCCCGCGGGAACTGTCAAATTCAAAGTTATTCGTTATACAGACTATAAAAAAGAATTTATCGTTATAATATGATTTAATTTTTGTTTAAAATATATATAAAAAGTATATTGGAAATAATATGACAAATATTTTCAAAATAATAAATACAAGTATCAGTTATATCTTGATTGGAAAATTTTGTGGTCTATATTTTTAGTAATTGTTGTCAACGCAGCGAAAAAAACGCTCCAAGTTAGCATTTACGTCTAATATCGTTCTGCGCATGCTCAGTAGCGTACGCAGAGAGAAGGATAGATTTATACAATAATCTTATAGAAAGAAATAAATAGAAAAATGCATGTGAAAGTTTATAAGATCTAAGGTTGTAACTTGTTGTTTTAACTGTCAAAGTCTTGTCAAAGCAAATATTTGGATATAAATGTAAAATGGAATGCCCCATTGGTCACACTGCAAGCACACCAATGGACTGACGCACAAAAACGAATCAATCAAAGAAACGCGATATAGTATCGTCTTTGTCAATCACGCTAACATTTTAGAATAAGTAGGAGGAGCGCAGGGAGATCATTAGACCGGGCCTTTAAAAACCTGCGTCTGTGGTAAAAATTTACGTTTTTAATGTAAAAATGATAGCGCGCTTGTCGATTCTAACTTCATCAAGCGATGAATCACTCCCAAACATTCGTGGCGACATCTTTGGTCGTGTACTTATTTATTTACTAACCGAATCAAATTTTCTGCAGCCCATTCAGGACCCCGACCCGTTTATAAATTGCGATCTCATGGACGGACGCGACGCGTTCCTCACGCTAGCCCGAGAAAAACACTTTGAATTTTCGTCGTTGCGCCGGGCCAAGTACAGCACCATGTCCATGCTGTACGAGCTGCACAACCAGGGACAAGACAAGTTCGTGTACACGTGTAACGAGTGCAAGGCGCACGTGGAGACCCGCTACCACTGCACCTTCTGCGAGGATTTCGACTTGTGCATTCAGTGCTACGAGAAGGTGGGCCACCAGCACAAAATGGACAAGCTCGGCCTGGGCCTGGACGACGCCAGTTCCCCCAGCGATAACAACAAAGCCAATCCGCAGGAAGCGAGAAAATTATCGATACAGGTGAGTATTTTTCGTGTGTTATGTATTTATAGACTGTGGGCCATAAAAATTACATGTATGACAAAATTAACGCACCCATGTGCCTATTATACAAAGCAAAACAAAATGTTATTTTGGCGAAAGTTTGTTTTGATATAATATGATTATTTTTTATTTGTTTTTATTGTTTTACATATGTATGTACAGGGTGTCCCATTAAGAATAGCTCTCGGCTGTATCTCGGAAAGTATTAGCCGTCGCGGCTGCGGAAAAAAAAATATTTATAACTAAAGAGGCTATGGGAAATTGCTGGAAATTATTTTCAAGTTTGTAGAACGACCACTAGGGGCCGCAACTGCAACAAAAAATAAGAAAATGGAGTTTTTACACAATTTTGCCTAGATAAGGTGTACTATAAGTAACAGCTTCATAATCTTCAGTAAATTTTGAATATTTTTTGTTAGAGCCATTTTCCCCTATCTACCAAAATAAAGTGGTGGGGGAAGGTTAGATCTGTTTTTATTTGAATATTAATAACTCTGGACTGGATGATCGGAATCCAACAAGCGAGGGCTCGTTTAAAAGAGCGTTTCTTACTCTATATTGTATCATATAAACAATAATAATAAGGTTTTGAATGTAGACGCTAGGGGGCGCTGTCTTACAATTTAACAAACATTGCGCGTTTTTAAAAAAAAATAAATGCAATAGTATATGTAATTTTAGCTGATAGTAAAGAGTAGTAAAAGCTTAAAAAGTCAGTGAAAACCGCATTTTGATATCTTCTTTCAAACCGAAGATATTAGCAAAATTAGAATAAATACCAAAAAATAAGCCCTTAATTACCTTATTTTTACAACACGGTATCAGTAGCTCTCTTAATTATGCCCATTCTAACAAAAAAATAAGATAGAAACAGTTAGTTTATTTTAAAATCGACGAAATACCAGAATACCATAATACCAGAGGTATTAATATCTAATAATTAAGATATTAACAGTGAACAAGAAACGATGATTCAGTGAAGTCATGGTAGGCTTTGGAAAAAAGTTGCCTTTGACGTAATAGTATAAACGTCAAATTGTTATTAGATCAACATTTTGACAGTCTTTATCTTTTGATTGCTTTTTCAAAATGCCAACAACTTTAACTACTTCAAATAATAAAGGCATTTTGAAAAAGCATTTAAAAGATAAAAAACGCTGCTAGACTATCAAGTATTAGCCCCTACGGCTAATACTTTCGGAGGTACAGCCGAGAGCTATTCTTGTGGGACACCCTGTACATTACTAACTTCTACAGATGCCTGAGCAATACATTTATTTATATTAGATTGTATTAAAAAAGCGTATTTTATTTTTCTTATAGAGGCTAGCGGTTCTTTCATAATAATCTTTTAATCAGTTTTAGAATACGTTAAAACTTTTCATTATTATTATATATTCACTATTTCATGATTTTTTTTATTTCAGAGATGTATTCAGTCTCTGGTGCACGCTTGTCAGTGCAGAGATGCGAACTGCCGCTTGCCGAGCTGTCAAAAAATGAAACGTGTGGTTCAGCATACGAAAAATTGTAAGAGAAAAACCAACGGCGGCTGTCCTATTTGTAAACAGCTCATCGCTCTCTGTTGTTATCATGCCAAAAATTGTCAAGAAACAAAGGTTAGTATAGGCGATATTGTTACTATTTAGTTTTGTACATATTATATGTTTAAAACTGTTGGTATATATGCTTTGAATAAAAAGATTAAGGAAGGAGCATATCAAAAGTCTTAGTTTGGTTTGGTTCAAACCGCGATGGGACTCAAATATGTATGCCCGACTTAAATTCCGGTTTATCAGTGCCGTTCTAATTTTATTTAAAAAGTGTAAAACTATGATGATACGCAAACAAACATCCGATACGCTACTGAAGCAGGTAAGTCAAATTGACGTCTCTAAATTCTTTGACATCTAATCTTTGACAAGTGGTAAATAAAAACAGAAATGCGAGAAAAAATATATAATTAGTTAATTTAATTATTGAATTTCATAAATGATCGATTTACTACATGTATGGTATACAGGGTGGCCCATCGAAAACGTTCCGCAATGCATAACGGCCAGGGTATTCTTTTTTTCAAAAAATCCGAAAACATGTCAATTTTGTTTGTGAAGGGGACAACTTTTGCCCCAAAAATGACTACGAAATCTTCAACCCTCTAAACGGGGGTGTCATCCCCCAACTTTTTTTAAATGGGAAGGGGGGTCAAGTGGCACCGCAATGAAAAGACCTTTTTATTCTTTATATTTCTCCGCCTCGTTTTTGAAAATCCGTCGAGTCATTGAGAAAATATGAAGGATTAAAATTTGAAAAGTTTATTGAAACATTTATCAGAGTAAACGATAAGGATAAATTCTTTCGACCAATTTGAGGTTTTTTCATATTATTTCTAGATGTTTACGCATTTTTCAGTTGCCACAAGGTTGAACGATCAGGTGCGGTAGTTGCTAGATAGCTGTTCTGTGACTTGTGCGTTGAAGTTCTTCTCAATATCGTTAAACTGACTCACAATAGAATTTCCAAAAATACCAGCCCAACTTCCGTTTTTTTAATATCCTTTGGACATTTTGCTACTAACTCGCGAACAATTTTGCCAAAAAGGTGGTTGTCAGGATGGCGTTCATTGAATATCTGCGCAACCCGATTGCCACATTCATTATTTTTAAAATAAAGTTCGATTATTTCCACTTTTTCTGCAAGTGAGTACACCATAATAATTGTTAAAAAATTTAACGATATTAAGAAGAACTTCAACGCATAAGTCACAGAACAGCTATCTAGCAACTACCGCACCTGATCGTTCAACCTTGTAACAAGTGAAAAAATGCGTAAACATCTAGAAATAAGAAAAAACAACAAATTGGTCGAAGAAATTTATCCTTCTCATTTACTCTGATAAATGTTTAAATAAACTTTTCAAATTTCAATCCTTCATATTTTCTCAATAACTCGACCGATTTTCAAAAACGAAGCCGGAAAATATAGAGAATAGAAAGCCCTTTTCATTGCGGTACCACTTGACCTCCCTTCCCATTTGAAAAAAATTGGGGGATGACGCCTCCGCTTAAAGGGTTGAAGATTTTGCAATCATTTTTGGGGCAAAAGTTGTCCCCCTCACAAACAAAATTGACGTATTTTTGAATTTTCTGAAAAAAAAACCCTGGTCGTTATGCCTTGCGAAACGTTTTCGATGGGCCACCCTGTGTTATATAGTCTATGTTTATATTGTTTATATTTATATATGTATGTATATAAATATGTATGTTATATAGTCACTTACTAGCGTAAAGTTATTCCATTATTTCACTCGATTTTTGACCGAGATCTACCGCACGCCGCACAACCATCTAGTTTACAGTCTTTTTCGATAAATCGCAATAGTGTCACTGTTAATTTAAGTTCTGCCACAATTTTAGTGGCGGCTTATCAGGGTAGGCAAGGTAGACGGCGCCTACCCTAAGATTTTGGCAGAATTTAAGCGATTTATTACATTACATTATTTACTCTCTATTAATGTTGCCAATTCATAAAAATACTGTTAATACACGGAAGTGTGTTTTAATAATCAATATTATTTTAATATTTGTGGTTTTGTATATTAACATATTCACTACCGCTGGCGTACGCTGACCACTGACTGTGCCGCTGCGTTAGGTAGTTAGAGTGCCTTTGTTCGGCGATTTCTACATCGCCTACTATCAGAGTCGATGCACGACGTACGGCAGTCTTCTCCCTCTGTCTAAGTCATCGTGCGGTAGCGACGCGACGTAAGTCGGAGTTGTATCATATTAAGGCGGGGCTTAGGCGAAATCTCCGGTCGCCTTCGCATGAAGTCGTGGAGGCTCGGTAGGCTTAGATGTTAAGGGGACATTCCGGATATTTCATAAGGACATATATCACATTTCGTTAAGGGGATATTTCATATGATTCATTATAGGCTGTACTTAAACTGCCGTTAAACGGTAGCTTACTAAAATGCCGTTAATAGGTTTGACGTCGTTGATGTGACGCACTTGACGGCTTTATGAAATATAGAAATTTTATAAGGACTAACCAACGCTATCCACCCCACCAAATAACCAACTTAACCAACGCAACTAACCTCGACACTGATAAAAAATATATAAAACAAATATAAATTAGTAAAAATCAACCAACCCTACCAAATAACCAACTAACCAATGAATTAACACCCTGCAAATAACCACGCTAACCAACCCGCCAAATAACTAAACCAATCCAACTAAAAAGAGTGAAACCAATGCAATAAGATCACGCTATAAGCAAAAAAAAATATAAAAAAGTCTTGGTCGGCGTGAGATTTGAACCACGGACCATTCGCTTACGAAGCGATAGCCTCAGCCACTGACCCCCAGGTGCTCTTGCAGAATGCTTAAGGCTAGGCATTACTTTCAGCCGACATGAACGACGTCACAATATCTATTAACGGCATTTTAGTAGGCTACCGTTTAACGGCTGTTTAAGTACATCGTTCATTATACGTTGCATTTAAAACTTTTATATGAAAATTCTGGGCAAATAGACGCAACTAAAATTTTGTTGCCTATCCAATCACACGGGTCACGAACCGCCACTGCACAATTTCCATCTAGATTTACTACCATTACACGACTATCAATAGTAGAATAAATAATAAATAACATAAAATAAGCTCAGTAAAGACTGACAAATTCACAAAATTTCAAATCAAATTCAAATGTGTCAAATGAATCGTCAAACAGAACTGTCAAGGGTCCCAACCCTAGAATCCTTTTTCCGCCTACCATGCATTAATACATGGATTAGCATTATACTCCTTCCTTAATCTTTTTATTCAAAGGTATGTAGGTATATCAGAGATATAGAGGTAAAGAGAGTGGGCATGAACGTGCGCAGAAATTATAATCTTGATGGCCGCTATGTTCGCGCTTAGGTCTATAGGGGGAGGTTAGAAAGTAGTAGAGATTATAAGTTGCTTGACGGTTATTTTTAGTTCATCTTAAAAATATCGCGTAATATTAATTAAACTACTATAGTGTATGACAGTACATATTACAAATGAAACATCATATTTTTATCAGGACGAGGAAACAGCAAATGCATAATTAATAGTAAGAAAATGCTATAAATAGTAAAATTACTACAATCATTAAAATAACTTTTTATTTTACTTCAGCTTATTGGGCATGTGCAAATGTATATTTCTTTTATTTCAATGTTTGGAAAGTTTACCAATAAGAATTTATTTTATTGTATTTTAATTTCCTGTTCAAACACACCATTATTTTAAAAATTTTAAAATACGAGCCACGATTAATATACTAAACGAATAGAATAAAATTGACAAACTACTTTCTTTATTAAATTATAACATAAAATACTAAAAACAGTCCAGAAAAATACACAAAGCTGTTTATATCAATAAGTTCAAAAAATCCGAGAAATTAGAACCTATTGTAACTGATCTCGGAAAAACTAGGAATTCAGAATAGCAATGGGACAAAACACGAAATTAAACTAAATCAAATTGGAAGTTATCATCTGTTGTTATTACTTATTAATCCTCCTGGTAGACCTAAGCATAAACATTTCTGCCCCCTCTACATCTGAGATTTATACTTACTTTATACAGAGCTACTTGATAGTACAGCAAAAGTAACCCTCGTATATTTTCTAGTGTCCTGTGCCATTCTGTCCCAACATCAAGCACAAACTAAAGCAGCAACAACTGCAGCATAGGCTGCAACAAGCGCAGATGCTGCGACGCAGGATGGAGGTTATGTCACGCACCACGCCGCAAGCGAACGCTTTGGCCAATCCGGGCGTGGGCATGGGAGGCGCGGGGCAGCAGGTCCTTCCGGGTGCGATCAGTCCAGCCGGAGGGATCAGCTCGGGTAAGGGTTAGTGTTTTTTTTTGTTTTCATTCTTTTTTTAGTTTTTAGTTGTGATGTAACGAATATTTAAATTTGCGCATTTCCTAACGGTAATGCGAGGTTAAGGCAACGATATGCTGTTTTAAATATCTGCTGTTTCAAATCTCTTCTATTCTGCGATCGTTCAACGTTACGTCATAGTTATTTATCAAATATGCGTTAGGCTGTGTCAGATCAGTTTATATTGTTTAGAAAATTTTAAGTATGTTTGTATTTGAAAAAATAAATAAAAATTAAATTGTGTGACTTCCGTTTTTATTAAATTCATGTAGGTATGTTAGGCTTTATTCGTTTTGACTGTCTTCCGATATATAATTTTAGGCGCACATCGGTTTTTTTCCAGGTAAGTTACTGTTAAAAATAACTTTATGAAAAAACTTGAGATTCTATGCAAGAAAAGACACTTTGATACTCTAGAAGTTCAAGATGCCTAAACTAATTAAATATTTTCGTACTTAAACTCAACAATGACAAGTACTAAAAACAATGTGTCATTTACGAAATGCCTTAATGACATCACCAATCTGTTTCATCTAATTGTCAACTGAAAGAGAGAGTTCGACAATATAATAATATGACGTGACGTTGAACGATGGCTGAACAAACAATACTTCTGCAAGTCTAGACTATGATAAACTTTTTTTTTTCTATCGCGGCTAAAAACTAGACTTACGCAAGTCTCGGAATCACAAAATTAAAACTTTCTTGATACTTGTAGACGTTGTACAAGTCTAAATACTTATTATATTATCTTATATTTTTACAAAACTTTGACGTTTGTAACTTTGTATGGTACGCCACTGACTTCTTAATAAATATTATTTTCAATTTTTTAATAATTTCTAAACAATTTTGATCTCTTGATTTTTTCTTCGTCCGTCGCATGTTTTTTGATTAAAATTAGTCATTTTTATTTCAGTGTCAAATCGCTAAAAATCTGATGCGGTGTGGAAATCGCTTCTGCATCAGCTGAAAAAAAAACTTAGAGATACAACAGTTTTTTTTGTACATAAAAAACCGCATTTTTGTGTATAGAAGTCGCGTATGCAGTTTCATAAAAATGTTCAGAAATCGAAAAAATTCAGTTCAGAAATAGGAAAAATCAGTTTTTATAGAAAAGTTTACCATCCTCTATCACAGAAGTTAGTAGGATGTCCACTCCACTCCTTGGAGAAAGAACATCTGTCCCCTCTACAACAGGAAAATTTCCATGTATGAGTTATAGACTGTTATAGACTAATTTAACTCAAGAAAGAGGGACATAGTAGATTTTTAAGGTCGCGGTGATTAAGAAAGAGCCCCTTTAAATATTACTATATCATAAGAAGCACCCTGTATAAATAATCAACTTTTCAATACTTGTTTAATTATACATTAACAGCAAATATTCGCATCTGAATTTTCATCTGAACTGTCAGTTTAAATTGATATTTGTTACATCACTAATTTTTTGTAGTGTTATTAATTAAGAAATATCATTAATATCTTTTTTAATGTTTTTTTTTACTTTCCATTTCTACCAACATTTTGTATCTTTGAATTCTTGTGGTTTAATCATTGCATGTAAAAAAAACTTTCTTTTAGTAAAATGCTAGACATTTTTACAGTGTATATACAGGGTTTTTAGAAATATTTGGTGCCATAAAGTTTTTGATTGTCTTCTATTGATTATGCCGTTTTTAACTTTCTATCCATTCAGGTCAAACTTCTGCATTCAAAATGCTCCTACATAAAAAAATTAAGTTTTTTAATATCTCAGATAGGCAACCGTCTAAATATGTCTGAACCCATGTACAGGATGTCCCATTTTAGTTGAAATCAAACGGTATCTCCGTTATTAGTAAAGATAGGAGGATGCCGTTTGTACAAACCTGTCCCACTTTTTTGTCAAACGGAAGATGATGTCATCAAAATTTTCATAGCCCTCTTCGTTTCTGAGCTACAGGGTCTTTTCGAAAATTTTGCAATTTGGGACAGCCCCCGTATCTCCGTTATTATGGATGATATCGAGAAGGTGAAAACTGGTTCTTGTAGAATTTTTTCGTAGAATACAGTGATGTAGTCTGTTTTTCTACAAAAAAAATATTTTTGTAAATATGAACTAAAGTTATGTTTTTTCAAATGGAACACACATTTTCACTATTTACTGCAATATTTAAAATATATCATTTTCTTATTAGTAGGCCGTGACAAATAACAAAAAAATCAAAGTGGTATTTACTAAAATAGTCATACACATATTAAAATTATATTTGGAATTCATATATTTTACTTTTGAATTGTTACCACTGAATCTCTTAATATATTTTTCTTTTTTTTATAACGGAATTTATTATAACGGGATGGGTTTCCTAAAAGCTTGCATTATTAAAGCATTTTCCAGGTATTCGACATTGTGTTAGTTCCCACGATATATTTCATATTTCAAAAATTTCCAAAATCAGAAATCCAGAACGGACAAATCCAGGAATCAGGGAGGCCATCATATGTGTCCATTCATTCCAATTCATTGATTTGAGAAATAATAATTTAACAAAATTCTAATATTTTTGTTGTAAGTTAAGTTGTGAGGGGGAGCCCCATCTTGCTGAAAGTATATTTCACGTAAATTAGCTAAAGGAATATTTAAAAGTTCCGATACGATAGCTTCCAAGATTTACAAATAGAGGTAGAGAGTTAAGTTTCCCTAATATATAAAGAATTTTTAGTGGCTCTCAAAATCAAACAAGAGACAGATAGCAGTATATACATACTTTTAATAATTCTTTAGTTACTTTTATTATCAATCATGGCCTACTAATAAATATGATCTTTAATATTTTTTTTTATATTTATTTTTTCTTAAAATATTCTTTTAGTAGAATAACAGACTACGCCACTGTATTCTACGTAAAAAGTTCTACAATAAACAGTTTTCACTTTCTCGATACCTTTAACAATAACAGAGATACAGGGGGTGTCCCAAATTGCAAAAATTTCAAAAAGACCCTGTAGCTCAGAAACGAAGAGGGCTATGAAAATTTTGTTTACGGCATCTTCCGTTTGACAAAAAAGTGGCACAGGTTTGTGCCAACCGCACCCTTCTATCTTCACTAATAACGGAGATACCGTATGATTTCAACTAAAATGGGACACCCTGTACATGCTGTCCCATTTTCGTGTTTTGCGGGGTTTCTCGTTTTTGAGTAGAGCTGCAAAGATAAGGTGATATCACTGTGCTAATTTTTACTTAATTCTAGAAACGAGAAACCCCATAAAACACAAGAAAATGGGACACCTTATACTATCAAGGCATTTAACCAAAAGTAATAATAGAAGACTCTGAAATCAGAGGAAAGAGCATGAACCTAGTAGGACCGAAACGAATTTTTTTGACATTTGGTATTTACTTTTTTCTATAGGTATGCCGAATCCATCGATGGGCATACCCTCGCACCAACCGGGTATCGGCTTGAAGCCTGGCACTCAGACTCCACCTGCTAACGTTCTCCAGGTCGTGAAGCAAGTGCAAGAAGAGGCTGCCAGGCAGCAAGCGCCCCACGTCGGATATGGCAAAGGCGTGCCGGGGCAAGTGCCCGGCCAGAACATGCCGCCACCCCCCATGAGGGGTATGCCGGGTCATTTGGCCGCCAATCAAGGTAGGTTAAAGAGGGATTTTCTACTTGGTGTACAGTGTTTTAGGTTATAATGGATGATAGAGGTAAGGAGAATTATCTTCTTGTATTGTAAAGGGGTCGTCAAAGAGAGAACAATTAATATTGCGTTGCTGTAGCACTTTAAATAAGAAGACTAAGGAAGGAGCATATCAAAAATCTTAGGTACACCGCGATGGGCCTCAAATATGGCCGACTTAAATTCCGGTTTATCAGTGTCGTTCTAATTTTATTTAAAAAATGTAAAACTATGATGTAGGGTAGACGTGGGGTAGACTCAATAATTTGTTGTTTTATTTTACGTTGTGAATAAATGTTGGTAGTTATTAAAATTGTTATAAAGATATATAATTCTAATAAAAATAGATAAGTTATAATAAGTACTTATTAACACAAACATCCGATGCGCTACTGAAGCAGGTAAGTCAAATTAACGTATCTAAATTCTTTGACATCTAATTTTTGACAAGTAATAAATAAGAGCTAAAATGCAAGAAAAAATGTATAATTTAGTTAATTTAAGCGAATTTCATATATGATCGGTTTACTACATGTATGTATATTATATAGTCACTTACTAGCGAAAAGTTCTTCCATTATTTCACTCAGTTTTTGCCGAGATCTACCGCACGCTACACAACCAACTATTTTAGAGTCTTTTTCGATAAATCGCGATAGTGTCACTGTTAATTTAAGTTCTGCCACAATTTCCATCTAGATTTACTACCTTTATACAACTATCAGTAGTAGAATAAATAATAAATAACATAAAATAAGCTCCGTAAAGACTGACAAATCCACAAAATTTCAAATCAAATTCAAATGTGTCAAATGAATCGTCAAACAGAACTGTCAAGGATCCCCACCCTAAAGTGCTTTTTCCGCCCACCATGCATGAATGCATGGATAGCATTATGCTCCTTCCTTAGTCTTCTTATTCAAAGCTGTAGCAAAAGTTCTACATTTGATAACGAGACAAAGTCTCCATAGATGCTTCTTCTTACCACTACCTTCCAAAGACTGCTAACTAAAGGAGACACTATTCATTAAACTTCGTTCCTTTACAATCCTACATACTATAATACCGTATGATCGAATAAAAACGGCGTCAGCGATGGCTATGAAATGACAATCGATGACATTTCCCATATAAGAATGACAACGATCTTCATTTCATAGCCATCGCTGACCCCCGTTTTATTCGATCATACGGTACTTTAATATGAGTTAAAAAAGATGGGTGCATAAATATAAAAACGCTGTTAAGTTTCGTTTGCATTTGTTAATAACGTTTTTTCGTAAAAACCTGCTTAAAATTTAGATTAGGTACACCAACCACTGTTAAAGCCAAAAAAAAACCGAAATGTCAATTTGGGAGTAGAATAGTCTACCCTTTTGCAAACTAAGCACTGGCGAACCAACTTAGATATTTAAAAATGCTTTAAACGGATCTTTTGCAAAAAATAACAGTAAAAATGACTTAAAAATCACAAAAGGTCACAAACACCGCGCAGAGTCACTGTTAAACATAATATGAAAGAATCAGTGAAAGGTCAGTTTTTTTTAACCATAGAAACTAAACAGTCTCCCTGAAACAGCCTTGCCACAGTTACTTCTTAAATAAATGTTAATAATTATAAATTTAATTAGAAATCTAAAAATAACTTTAAAACTATACTACCGTATGATCCAAAAAAAACGGCGTCAGCGATGGCTATGAAATGAAAATCGCTGTCATTTTATATGTAAATTTATATACATACAGGCATACCGTATATGTATTTTAACTAAAATGATTTTACGTTTTGTTAAACTCTTTATCTTTTTTACAGGCGGTAATCTGCTGCCCATGGAACAATGGCAACAGCGGTATCCGGGCGGTGTAGCTCCCTCCGGCATCAGACAGTCAGCTGGTCCGGGGATGAACCCTGCTGCGGCCGCTCAAATGGGCGGCGGTCCGCCCAACGTGCAAACGGGGGCGGGTGTGCAGCCGGGCGCCGTTCGACCTGGAGGCGTGGCCGGAGGAGCTGGAGCACCGGGAGGGGCGATGGGCAACCCGGCGGCTGCAGCAGCCGCTGCAGGGAACATGCACCAGAAGCAGGCCCTACAGCAACTGATGCAGACACTGCGGTCGCCCCACAGTCCCGATCAACAGCAACAGATCCTCACTATACTCAAGTCGAATCCCCAGTTGATGGCTGCATTTATTAAACAGCGACAGGTAACTGTATACGTATTTTTAAGGAATTTTGTTAAACCCACAAATACATAGATAGGGCGAATACACATAGTCAAAAATTAGGTCTATGTAAAAAGCCATGTAAGTTTCTAGATGACCGTCTAGAATCTTTAGTTGTCTTAAAAATATCGCGTATTGATAATTAGACTGCTATAGTAGATAACAAATGCAAAAACTATATATTGCAAATGAATAATGATCTTTTTGTCAAGACGAGGAAACAGAAAATACTGTAAATAATAAAATTTTATTATACTTCAGCGCACTAGGCATGTGCAAATGTATATTTCTCATTTCATTTCGCTGTTTGAATGTTGACAAGTAAGAATTTATTATTTATTATATTATTTTCTTATTTTATTTTGTTTTTGTTTGAAACCACCATTATTCTTAAAATTTTAGAGCACAACAAGCCATGATTAAACACCAAACAAATAGTAAAATTGAATATGCTTACCACCTACTAATTATTAAATTATTACACTTAAAATACTGAAAATAGTTCAGAAGAATACAAAAGCCGTTTATTTTTAACACATGCCAAATTAATTTTGAAGAACCCTGAAATTTGGAATAGCAATAGGAAAAAAGACGAAATTAAACTCAAATTAGAGGTTACCGGCTGTTATTATTACTTATTGTGTTCCCCTGTAGAGATTGAATATTAATTTTTACTTTCAGCAGGTTCAGCAAATGCAGGCAAGTGGGGGTAACCCACCGCCGCAACAGCTTCAACACATGCTAAGTCAAAACCCCGTCGGTCAGCAACACCCGAACCGTTTGGCCATGCAGGGCAACATGCTCAATCCCGGCCAGCCTGGGCTCAACCAAGTGCCGGGCGGGCCCGGACAGTCTATGGCGCAGTCCCAACAGCAACAACAATGGTAAGTCCAATCAGTTGGGCTAAAATTTAACAAAAGATTATTAATCTTTTTATTCAACGCAATTTGTAGACGTCTTTTATTCGCATAACGAATCGTTTTATTCAGGTACAAGCATCAACAGCAATTGCTAGCGATGCAACAACGTCAACAGCAACAGGTGGCGGCGCAGCAGCAGCAACAACAGCAGCAGCAGGGCGGTTTCCAGCAACCGGGCGCCTACCAGCAGAGGATGCCCGGCATCAGGCCGCCGCCTCATATAGGCTATAACAACGCGTTCAACGACCAGTACGCGCCGATGCAGGGTCTGAAACCGACGCCGCCCCCTGTGCCGTCGCCCCAGGGCATGATGGGGCCACCACAGGGACAGGGTATCTCGTCGGCGGTGCAGCAACAGCTGATAAGCGTCAGAAGTCCGCCGCCTATAAGGTACACTTTAAATGACAAATCGTAGTGGCTAAATCTGTAAAATAGAGCTTCATTCAGAACCCCGCAATTAGTGGAATAAATCAGTGGTTTCAATTAGCGTAAGTTTTCTCAAATTTGAATGTAAGCATTCAGAACGTTAAAATTAGTGGTAGGAATTTTCAGTTAGTGGAAAAAATGAACAAACTTTTGACTTTTCCACTAATCATACTTAAAATTTAAAGATTTGATCGAATATTACTTTTCGTGTCTTGTCCTGGTCTGTTAAAAGATACCCCAATCGTATTTTTAATCATCTCAGTTTTTCAAATTTTCAGTACATATTAAAGTTATCTTTTACAAAATAATTGTGAATTTATAAAGTCAAAATAAATCAAATTATGATGTGATAACTATCAGAGATCACTGAGAGCAGTAATAGTGTTAGAGTTGTTAGAAAGTAATAGTTTTTTAAGGGAAAATTTAAAATAGTTTTCATTATTACACAACAAACCAAGTTTAACAGATACAGGTAATTCGTTAAACAATAATACATTGTTGTAAAGGACCTCTGAGAAATAGTTGTTCTGTGATGTGACATAGTTCACGCAGAACGTTTCCTCAGATTTATTTAAGTCATGAACAGAATGTCGATTTATTAGTCTTAACTTTTAGATATTAAGGAGTGTAATTTTAGATATTCAGTATAATTAGTGGCAAAAGATAAAAATTTGTCAATTTCTACTAATTGAAAATAACTACAACAAATGTTGATGTTCCGAATGCTTACATTGAAATTAGAGGAACAAAATTCTACACTATATTAAGCACATTATTGAAACCACTAATTTCAACTGTTGTTTTTATTCTCCCTTCCCAAAGAACGGTAAACTAATAGGATTGCTCATCCTCATAAGACGTACGTTCGCCTCTTCCCGCGCTTCAGCTGACAGTTGTGACGTCATTGTAGTCCTTGTCAAAGCCTTGTCGCGGCCTTGTCATGATAGTGTGTATTATTAGTTGCCTATGGTAAACTTATAAACATCACAGCTGAGAAATTTTGAGTTAATTATTTTGTCAATTTTAAATGTGAAAAAGGTGTCTTTAAAGTTTTTAGAGCTATAGAGTGTATAAATACGTTCATTTTGTGTTGTGGATTGTGACAAAGTGCTTACTATGTGCCCACGATATTGTTTATTAATTATTTTAAAGCAAAATATGGAAGTGTTCTAAAAAGAATGCTTGCAAAAGGTGATGCTGGGAACTGCTGTTCTTAAAAATGCATTATCCGAGTATTTAATACGATTTATACAGTTAATTTTCTATATTGCATACATATAAGGTGTTTAAATAAATAAACTAAATAATGAACGTTTTGCAGTCGGCAACCAATAATGCACGTGTGTGTATTATTGGTTGCCGGATAAGGACTAAATAACCATGACAAGGACTACAATGGCGTCACAAAGCGAGTAGTTTCGCATGCACCTGGCGGACACTTTTGGCTGAATGAGCAGTCCTATTAGGTTAACTGTTCTTGCTCCGTCCCAATCTAATACATTTTTTCTTAATCCTTGTAGAAGTCCCCAACCGAGCATGTCAAGACCGTCGCCTTCCCCGCGCACTCAGCCCGTAGCGAGTCCCCGCGGGCCCCAGCCCTCGCCCCACGATCTCGCCTCCTCCGAGATGCTGCTCGGCGGCCAGAACCACTCGGGCGGGCTTCACCCGCACGTCAGTCCCGCCTCGGCCGCGTCCAACCAAGACGAGCTCCCGCCGATGACGCCCCAAGACCAGCTCAGCAAATTCGTGGAACAGCTTTAGTGGTGCCGTGCAATCTTGACCTCCTGCAGGACGACGGTTCCTAACGAATGACGGTTTGAACACGGTCAGGATAAAGGAGTCGGTGGCGACAGGAAACAGGCTAGAGGATAGAACTTTAGCCGCAATATGTATATGATCCGACTCAGATCGCGCCAACAGCGGCAAGAATTCTATATAATTATTTTTCGAGGTTCGAAAACAGAACAAGTGATATAAAAGTATGCCCCTAATGAGCAGCTATGTACATATTATATATATATAAATACAGTTTTAAAGGTTTTGTACATATGTTTGATAAACGATTGTACCATATTGTGAATATTTTTTAGTAAAAGATTAATTATTAAGTGAGATACGGAGAAAAATACCTAAAAGTATTTTGGGCTTTGCGTGAGGCTGTGTTTAATTATGGATTGTTACCCGCCCCGCCTACTGGAGGCATAGCTGCGCAACTGTTTGCTCGTTTATTATTTTTTTTACTGTGACTTTTTAGTGACGCTGTATAGAAAATAGAATAATAAGTGCCGGCCACCAGCCGGTTGCTAATGTGATGGCGGCCGAGGTCTCCCGCGCGGGGAGGCTCAGGCCCCCGTTTGTTTTTATATAATATATTTATAATTTATATATATATCGTCTGTTTTTCATGTGTTTTACATTCCACAAGCTATGTGGAGTCCGTGTGCAAGTGTGCGCTGGCGTATCCCCGACAATCTTACCCAAGCCAGTGCAATAAAATTCAAAAAGCAAACCGAGAGAAACTTATTCGACACTCCCTCCTAATTTATTACTTGAACATACATAAATTAGAATAAATTAGTGTTAAGTATTATATAAAAGAAATAAACCTTATTTAAAAAATTACTGTAGTTTTCTTTAATAACCGTTCGGTTTATATCCTCAATGTATACTCTGTCTAGTGAAAGAATGTGGATAAGATTGTAATTTATTAGTGTCCGACTGGAATTTTGGTTTCAGCTAAGTTTCGGCCAAAAAGAACGAGTTTCGGCTACAATCCGGCCGAAACCGAAGCTACGTTCGGGATATTTTATGCTGTGTCTAGGATTTGTGCACTTTGAAGTAAGAGGTGATAGTAATTAATAGTTCATTAAACTGGCAGAAAATGAATGATTAATCTCTATCTTAAAGATTTTGTTATTGATTATAAAAATGTTAATTATTATAGTAAACGCCACGAATGTTTGGGAGTGATTTATCGCTTGATGAAGTTAGAATCGACACGCGCGCTATTATTTTTACATTAAAAACGTAAATTTTTACCGCAGACGTAGGTTTTTAAAGGCCCGGTCTAATCATCTGCCTGCGCTCCTCCTACTTATTCTAAAATGTTTGCGTGATTGACAAAGACGACACTATATCGCGTTTCTTTGATTGATTCGTTTTTGTGCGTCAGTCCATTGGTGTGCTTGCAGTGCGACCAATTGGGCATTCCATTTTATATTTATAACCAAATATATGTTTTGACAAGACTTTGACAGTTAAAACAACAAATTACGACAGATTATATATTGATTATTATATGATTTGAAACACCACGGCACTGGAATTAAGTTTTATGTGACCTTGAACAGATTAGTTCACATGGTAACGACCGATGAATCACTCCCAAACATTCGTGGCGTTTACTATATCAGCTTTTAATTAAATTTAATTTTACTACAAAAACATCACCTTTTATGGAAGTTCTGGTTTTGGTATCGGCCGTAACTGAGACCGAAGCCGAAATTCGGTTTCTGTTTCGGCCTCAAAAAGCAGTTTCGCTCAGACCAGTGACTAATGCCCACTTGCACCGTTTGTGTAAACTTTGTTTAAAGGCTAAACAGTGATTAACTATACATATTTTATTATAGTTAATCACTGTTTAGCCTTTAAACAAAGTTTATACAAACGGTGCAAGTGGGCATTAAGAATACAATAACAACCGAAACTAAATTGTTTTTGTCTCCATCAGTGCCGTGCCATTTTTCATAAATTTTTCGCCTACGCCTATGATGGATGCTGCTTCTTTTTTTACGTAATTAATGTGTCAATTATTATGGTGTCATCCACCTGTCCCTGGCCACGACACTACAGCCAGGGACAAGACGATGAGTGAGATGCGTGTGTTCCCCCCTAGGGGGGATTCCCCCCGGCGCTTGACCAGGAGCTTCCCCACCAACGACAAGGTCTTGCATCTCCTAGAGGAAGTTATAGAGGACATTTATATAGCGTTTGCTACACAAAGGCATAAAACTACATCTAACTTATATGGAAATATAGTTTGTTTATTCAGTCAGGGTGTAAATTGACTAAACATTAAGATTTTTATAAATTATAACAATCTTAAAATTTGTGATATCTAAAATATTAAAAATTCTGCAACTATCACTCTGAAGTACATGAGAATATTTAAGGCATTTTAACAGTACAAAACCTACCTAAACCACAAAAAGACTAGCGTCTACGTCCCACTAGTCTACTCACGCACCTAGCAATGTTGTCAAGTTGTAGTAGGTTGTTATGGGTATTATACAGTACGTCTGCTGGATCTGTGTCTATGAAAGGAATGCGGACAAAAAACATTTAAATAAACGTCGTATTTTATACGTCGACTTGACGAGTACGTCACCGCAAATCGCTCCGCCCTCTCATTTTATTGGCTACTTGCAAATTTGTCGAATTTTTATTGATGGGACGCGTCGTCTAATTTTTTACGAAAAACATGGAGAGAATATCGTTTCCCCTCTCACGGATACCCCGTAGCTTCAGAACGAACGAAATAATATTGCAAGTCTTATATAGCAGGAAAATGCTATATTTTAGTTTTGCTACAGGAAAGGTGCTATTTCCTATATCTGGTTAGGATGAGATTAGCAAGCACTGCTATTAGAGACATTAACATTGATATTTATTTCACTTATTTTTGCTTTAATTAGTATTCTTATTACTATTAAAAATGTTCTAATAAAATAAACCAAATGACAATCAAACTCTGAAATAAACCGTACAAATAAACATCATCAGTTTAGCGGACAATTGAAAGTCATGAAATTAAGGGACAACAAACGGCAACATTGTCGGGTGTCGGAGTAGACTAGTGGGACGTTAGACGCTAGTCACAAAAAGTAGTAGATAAACTAGTCAACATGTTCTAACAAAAATAAACTATACAATTAAGAGTCTTAAAATATGAAGAGAAACTATAACAAGATCAATTAATTTAGTAAACAAATCGGAAGATCTTAAAATGGAATGAGGCACATAACAAGGATATTTAATTTAGTAACAATTACGTAGGTCATTAATCTAGTAAAATTTCTTAAAATATATAAATACTATATATAGTCTATAAAATGAATAACTTTGAATTTTGACCGTTATTTTTTACCAACATGGCAAATATAAAATCCCTCTATCAAAAAAGTTACTGATATTCTTTAAATTGAGTGCCTGAAAGAATCAGATAGGTAACTCTTTTTACTTTCGTGAAATAGAAAAGGAAAATAATAAAACAAGTGACAGTTCTTCCTCTTCTTGCAAAAATCAACACGAAATGTCATAATTGTCAAAAGTAAAAAGTCATCAGCTTTTGACATTTCTAAATATCAGACCAATGCCGTCTCTAATAGAACAGCCTCGGAGCGAGATGTATGACGTCACGCTAGTTAGGTACTACGGATTAATAAATATGTTGTAGTATACATGGAAAACATAATTATTCCTCGTATTTTTGGTTTGTATTTTAAAAATGATATAGTTTACATGAAATATACATAATATACAGTTAATAAATACAATATATATACGTATTTATAGTAATAAATACTTTGGCAAATAAACTATGAACCATACAAATGCAGCAAATGTTTTCGAATCTACAAATAATGAAAAATATATTTTAAATTTTGAGGTTTGAAAATCTAAATTTTGTGAATGTAAATAATAATACATCACTATTAGTAGATATTGAATGTTTTTTGTTAAATTAGATCGATTTTAAAACCTCAAAATTTAAAATATATTTTACATTTTACCCATTATCTTATGTACCTATTCATTATTTGTATATTGTAAAACATTTGCTGCATTTGCATGGTTCATAGTTTATTTGCCAAAGTATTTATTAGAATAAATAGGTATATATTATATTGTATTTATTAACTGTATATTATGTATAATATTTCATGTAAACTATATCATTTTTAAAATACAGACCAAAAATACGAGGAATAATTAATTATGTTTTCCATGTATTCTACAACATATTTATTAATCCGTAGTATCTAACTAGCGTGACGTCATAAATCTCGCTCCGAGGCTGTTCTATTAGCGACGGTATTGCGTCAGCATGGCAGCAAGTTGCTAACCTAATAAAATTAACACTAGAAAAGCCCGCGAGAACTGTCAAATTCAAAGTTATTCGTTTCACAGACTATAGTGTTTATCGCTTTACGCAAACAATTAAATATGTATATATTATATATTTCTAAAAAAATAGGTAAAAATTAGTTATACTGCACATCTTAAATCTCCAAGAGTATACTTCTTATAATTTTTATTTAAATTTTGATCAATTTATATTGTACTACATTGGGAAAACAAATTTAAAGTAGTATCATTAAACTTCAAAATTGTGACACTTGTAGAAATATATTGGCAACGTATTGGGATATCTATACAGGGTAAGTCTTAAATAAGTGTTATCAAAATTAAAAAAAACTCTAAATTTTCAAACTGAAATAACTCCGTTATTTTGGACTAAAGAGAAAATATGTTTCTTTTATCGAGACCTCCAGTACTGAAAATATTTGCACATATTTATGACTCACCCTGTATAGTCTTTATATATTTATAACTATATCATACATATAATTGACAATGTATCCATAATATCCATTAAAATTACCACCTTCAAGTCGCAGAAAGAAGTTTTCTATATGCTATAAAAATAAATTACAAATTGTGCTATCTATCCAACAGTTTGGCAAGTAAATTTTATTATTTACAAAAGATATATTATATAAAATTAAGAAAGCTTAGTATAGATTTCTTAAAAAGGTACATTATGGCAACAAAGATTTGAATATAAATATACTTTTAACAGAGCTAAAATAGTTTAAGAATGCAATCTGTCAATCACATATTAATTATCTTATATTTATACAATGAGAAAATAGTTATTTAATACATTATTATCAGTTCAACTTAAAACGATTTATTTAGGCAGTATAAACGGGGATATTGCATCTAATTCACACCTACCTACAATATATTAATTATCCAACAAAATGAATAAAATCATAATAAAAAATTAACTAAATTTATACATTTTCAGTATGAATCAGTAGGATGGTAACCAACGAGAAAGAATCAAAAAGTTATCTCTACGTAAAACGGACAAATACGAAATGGCACTGAACAATAATTTTTTGTTGGATAAATAAAAACGTTGAAATTATTTCTTCGCTTACTCAGGTGTGTATATATACCAGTAGAACTATATATTTGGTCCCTTAAATGTACACATCACAGCCTATAAATGCAGCATCACTAACGTTTCACATTTTTTTATATGTGGTCACCCTACTGCTGTCAGAGTGTTATGCTGATTCCTGTTACCGGTTCTGGAATAAATGACATAACATTTAAAATTCGTTTGACAATTTAGCATTGCATTCACTTTTAATAAAATGTCCTATATCTGACAGACAACGACTGTCACTATCATCTATATTGGACATATTGAATTTTTCATTCAATTCAAAAATCTAATAATTATACAGGGTTGTTCACCACATACGACACGGAGTATTGTAGCTAAACGATTAGATTTTTACAAATTGTAAGTTTTGGGTTCGTTGAAGTACTATTAGAGCTACAATTTAAAATTACTTTGTATTTTTACAAGATACAGGAGTGTCCCAAATAAATCAAAAATATCAAAGTTATATTTTTTTAAATGGAACACCCTGTATATTATTGCATTTTTAGTTTCTACGATTAAAATAAAGATATATTTGATTAAGGTTTATTACACTTAAACCTTACCGTTTTTGAAATATTTTCAATTTTGCGAAATTGTAGTATAAATTTTAAGGCTTCATTTCTCCGAGGGTATCAAATAAGTAATATAATAATAAATATTACTATTAATACTAAATATTACTGAAGTTTATTTATTGACCAGTTATTGCGTTGCAATAATAAAATTTATACTACTTTATACAGAGTGTCTAAAAACTTATTTTAAATAATTGCTAGCTTTAAACGGCAATAACTTCTTTAATTTAAATAGAACACCCAGTATATTTTATGAGAATCAGATGCACAATTTAATTGTCTATCAAATTGTATTATACCACTTTTTACCTATCCCTTCAAGTTTTCGTAGAAAATGTATTTTCTTGTAATTTAGACCTCATTTATCAATATACCCATGGAATATTGACATTTTAGGTTGTTTTTAAAACAACAAATGTACAAAATGTACGGGCTAGTAATATTATCCTTTTTAGTAAAACGATAATATTACTAGCCCATTTGTATGCAAAAAGAAAACTATTTAAATCTTTATAAAACAGTATACCATTAATTAAATATACCACCAGTATTTCCGCCCAAATACTAGTTAATTACATACTTAATAGCAAAATAAAAACACTAAATCACCACAATACACCAAAACACTTTTACTTTTACACTGGACGCGCGTTTCGCTAACCATGTTAGCATCATCAGCAGATGATTATAAACTAAAGTACAATCTACAAGTTGAGCGTTTATATACTCGCCCAGTGGGCACCGAGTGGGCGTGGCAAAAACTAGCCAACCGAGTCAGAGCCAACTGAGCGTAACAGTTAGATTTCCGCCACTAGGTAGTAGGAACAAAGAACTTGAAGGAAATTGACCGTTGTCTCTGTTCATACTGCCTGTAATTTGAGACTTGTTTAATTAATTTTAAATTATTAAGATCTATACAATGTTCTTTATCAACAATATGTTCGGCAACGCAAGATTTATCCGGTCTACCATATCTTATCTGAGCTAAATGTTCTTTAAATCTAGTTAATATTGATCTTCTAGTTTGCCCAACATATTTCTGATTACAATCTTTACAAAAAATTTCATAAATACCCGACCTTTCCAGTGGAGGTGTTTTATCTTTTGGATAACCTAATAATTGTTGTAATTTATTATTAGCACTATACACAAGTTTATAATTGACATTCTTAAAAATTCTTTTTGGACCACGGGATAACTCTCTATCAAACGGTATTGAAAAATATTTAGACATATCTTTCTTCACTTGAAAAGTCGAATTTTCAGAAATCATTAACCTATACCTACATTTTCTAATTAATTTATCAACTAGTGAAGGAGAATATCCATTACACTCAGCTACATTCCTAATGTAATCTTTTTCTATTTCATATTTTTCGTTGGAAAGTGGGAAACTAAGTAATCTATGAACTAAGAAATTTAAACTAGCCATTTTATGTTCAACACGTTGATTCATTAGGAATATATCTGCGTGTGGTGGTATTTTTCCTATAGATATCAAATTCCAGGCAATTATTAGTATTTCTAATAACTAATACATCTAGAAATGGTAATCTGTCGTTGTTCTCAATTTTATGCGTAAATTTAATGGAAGGAAAACGATTATTTAACTTAGAAATAAAATTATCTATGGTGTCTGAATGTGTGTCAAAAACAGCAAAAATATCATCCACATACCTAAACCAAACTCTTGGAAAATACTCAAACTGATTCTTAGCCTCCACTTCAAACCTGCTCATGAATAAATTAGCCAAAAATGGAGACAATAGATTACCCATTGCTGTACCTTCCCGCTGTTCAAAAAAGTTGTTATTAAATTGATTAATCGTTGCCGAACATATTGTTGATAAAGAACATTGTATAGATCTTAATAATTTAAAATTAATTAAACAAGTCTCAAATTACAGGCAATTAGATGCATATGAAAGCATCAGAATTAATAAATGTAAAGATAGTATGAACAGAGACAACGGTCCAATTCCTTCAAGTTCTTTGTTCCTACTACTCTAGTGGCGGAAATCTAACTGTTACGCTCAGTGAGCTCTGACTCGGTTTGCTAGATTTTGCCACGCCCACTCGGTGCCCACTGGGCGAGTATATAAACGCTCAACTTGTAGATTGTACTTTAGTTTATAATCATCTGCTGATGATGCTAACATGGTTAGCGAAACGCGCGTCCAGTGTAAAAGTAAAAGTGTTTTGGTGTATTGTGGTGATTTAGTGTTTTTATTTTGCTGTTTAACACCAAAGGTTCCAACCCTCAACTGTAATATACATACTTAATTGTGTTCGTTAATAAATGATTCTAAATAAATGTGGATTTGAATCAGAAATCAATATAATAATAAGTTATGACAATGAACGTCTCTGTTGTTATTAATAAGCATTTGTCAAAAAATGAAATATCATTTTTAAGGTGTTAGTTTTTTTACCACACTGTCTAATACACATACATAATTCAGTTTTTTAGTATTTGGAGCAATTATTATTAATCAACGCAAATAATCAATTAATGTAATTTGAATATTGGAATCATATTAATTGGTCCTCTTTAACAAATATTTAAACAGTTTTTTTATTTTTTAATAAAATAAACGAACTATATCGACAATATTAGTATCTGTACTCTTTAAAAATTTGGTACATCTTTAAAAATAATCTAAAATGTCAGTATTCCATGGGTATATTGATAAATAAGTTCTAAATTACAAGAAAATTCATTTTCTACTGAAACTTGAAATGGTATAATAAAATTTGATAGACAATTAAATTGTGCATCTGATTCTCAAAAAATATACAGGTTGTTCCATTTAAATTAAACAAGTTACTGCCGTTAAAAACTAATAATTATTTAAAATAAATATTTAGACACTCTGTATAAGATAGTAAAATTTTTATTATTGCAACACAATAACTGATCAATAAATAAACTTCAGTAAATATTTAGTATTAAAAACTTCGATACCCTGGGAGAAATGAAGCCTTAAAATTTATACTGCAATTTCGTAAAATTGAAAATATTTCAAAAACGGTAAGGTTTAAGTGTAATAAACCTTAATCAAATTTACCTTTATTTTAATCGTAGAAACTAAAAATGCAATAATATACAGGGTGTTCCATTTAAAAAAATACAACTTTGATATTTTTTATTTATTTGGGACACTCTGTATCTTGTAAAAATATTTTTAAATTGTAGCTCTAATAGTCCTTCAACGGACCCAAAACTTACAATTTGTAAAAATCTAATCGTTTAGCTACAATATTCCGTGTCGTATGTGGTGAACAACCCTGTATACCTGTATACCACCCCATAAAAATATTTTTATAGGTATTTATCGTCTTCATAAAAAAGCTCAAACGAAAATCGAATATTTAACTATACTGTCTTATCTAAAACAATGTGTATAGTGCATCATCAATTAAGAGAATGCGTCAGATATTGATAAGGAATAAAAGCGAAAAGTGAAATTGAAGGAAAGCAATTTTGTTTGCAGAAAGAATATATAGAGTGTTTGAAAAACGCACGGCCAAATTTAGGGGGCCATTCCTCATCAAAAATATGAAGAAAAGTTCTTAAAAACACTGATCCGGAAATGCATAGTTTTAATGATTCAGGATGCTAAAACTTTTAAACAAATAGCATTATTTGTTTTTTGGAATTTACTGTAGGTATCACTGAACATCAGTATTATAAAATTTGAAAATAAATTACATTAAAAATATTTTTTTTTATTTTAATAACTTTATTAAGATTAATAAAATTGCGTTTATCTCATCAAGGAGATCGAAATCGACACAATATCAAGAGGCAACTTTTAATCAACATTAAACAGTTCAGGGCGAATCTGTCGACACTTTTTTAGCATTAAGTTATGTAATATTTAAATAACTTTCACCCCCAAAATCTCATTCGAATCACTACAGGCTTTTAGAAAAAAAAATATATAATAAATCGAAAAAAATTAAGACTAACCCCTTGTAGCTACGAAACAAATCAGATTCGGACCTATATTGCTATGAAAAATAAATCCTATTTTTATGTGAGGAATCTCCCAACGAGAGATGGCACATGTTTTTTAAAACACCCCGTATAGCTGATATGTGTTTTTATATGAAAGAATGAAATTGTAGGCGTGAGAAAGGCTAGATACGATTGGAAAATTATAGCGTCACGCCTACAAATACCTGTAAATAGATGACGTAGATGTGGATCGCGACCACGATACCAAAAACTTCTCACCTCTTCCGCGAGCCTTACGATGCGCTATCAATTCTCTCGTTACTTCGTTGGGCGTCCAAAGGGTTTGGGCCACTCTGTATACAATTCTAAAAAATCGAAAAAATATATTGGTACGGATCGACCAACAATGTTTGAAATAGTTGGCAATACTGTTTTAAGGGACTGAATGATAAGTGAATGGTACTGATGCTAAAACAAATTATCTATTGAAAAATTTTAGCAAATTAAGTCAGTTCACAATCATTTTTTTTTGCTTTTCTTTATCTTCTTGAAAATTTCTAAGTTTTGACTTTGTTATTTTGTAATAATCGATATTGTATTGTATTATATTTTGTAATAATCGTAAAATCAACATATTTTTGAACATTAAAAATTACTTTTTTTCAATACAGTTATGTGTTCAACAGGGAAAATGAATACTTAAATAATCACGGCATCATTCTGGCATCCAAAATAAAGTTAAAAATTGAATGTAATCGGCGAAGTAACATTTAGTCAACACAAATACAATTTCGGGCACCGTTGAATTGTTTATTTAATATCACAAACCAATAGTTTTAGTTAGACGATTTCAAAATGACGTTAATCAGAAAGTGAAAAACGCAGATTGAACAATATGATAAGCCCATATAAAGGTATATTATTGTCTTTTAAATTTATAAAAATATGTAGAAATCCTTGTTATAGTCTGTGAAACGAATAACTTTGAACTTGACAGTTCCCGCGGGATTTTCTAGTGTTAATTTTATTAGGTTAGCAACTTACGGCCACGCTGACGCAATGCCGTCTCTAATAGAACAGCCTCGGAGCGAGATTTATGACGTCACGCTAGTTAGATACTACGGATTAATAAATATGTTTTCGAATACATGGAAAACATAATTATTCCTCGTATTTTTGGTTACAATGTAGATAGTTTTAGTGTTAAGAATAATAATTTTAAAAAATATGTGGTCATCTTTTGACAAGTTTATATTAATCTATTAATTGCAGTAAACATTATGTGGTGTTAGGTTAGGTTGTGATTTTATATGTAATTTTTTGGATTATATTCGACACTATTTTTTTCATATGACACAACACTGATAAAGGCTATAATGTTAGCCAAAACGTTTTTTTTAAACCAAAAAAAATAATAAAAATCCAAATGAAAACTTAATCAGCGTTTTTCCCGAACCTAAATCCCAAAAAAATAAAAAAATTTAGAATAATTTTACATATAAAATGACAGCGATCTTTATTTCATAGCCATCGCTGACGCCTTTTTTATGATATTGTATTATTTGCAAATATAATTTTTCGAACATTGATACTTGCAAAATATACATATAAATTTTGTGAATGCAAATAATAATACATCACTATTAGTAGATATTGAATGTTTTTTGTTAAATTAGATCGATTTTTAAACCCCAAAATTTATAATATATTTTACATTTTACCTATTATCTTATGTACCTGTTCATTATATGTATATTGTAAATCATTTGCTGCATTTGTATGGTTCATAGTTTATTTGCCAAAGTATTTATTGCTATAAATAGGTATATATGTATTGTATTTATTAACTGTATATTATGTATATTTCATGTAAACTATATCATTTTTAAAATATAAACCAAAAATACGAGGAATAATTATGTTTTCCACGTGTTCTACAACATATTTATTAATCCGTAAGTATCTAACTAGCGTGACGTCACAAATCTCGCTCTGAGGCTGTTCTATTAGAGACGGCATTGGTTTGATATTTAGAAATGTCAAAAGCTGATGACATTTTACTTTTGACAATTATTACATTTTGTGTTGATATTTGCAAGGAAAGGAAGAACTGTCACTTGTTTTATTATTTTCCTTTTCTATTTCACGAAAGTAAAAAAGAGTTACCTATCTGATTCGTTCAGGCACTCAATTTAAAGAATATCAGTAACTTTTTTGATAGAGGGATTTTATATTTGCCATGTTGGTAAAAAATAACGGTCAAAATTCAAAGTTATTCATTTTATAGACTAGACTAATATTAAATGAATTTTATTACATATTGGATGCCTTCTAATAAACAATTTTTGGAATAAAACTAGCTTTTGATACCTTAATATGTGTTTTATTATCAAATTTTCTTTCACTTAATCAATAAGTAAATTTGAATATCTTCAGATTAAATCCATTTATTTATCATCTCGTTTTGATTAGCTTAACGGACAAATATTCGAACTTCTTGAATTTATTGCCAACCAAACAATCACTGATTTGATCGCTATACAATTGGTCAGTATCCCCAAAATATAATAAAACATCTAACAAGTAATACCGGGTGCGGCTCAAAAGTGAAATATCCCTATAACTTTTTCAGATAAAAAAAAACGAGATTTGGTATGTTACTATATGACATAAATTAGGATTGATTGGTGTATTCAATTGTTTTTGGTCGCTTCCTGTTTCACCGGAAATGACTACAACTTTTGATTTTTAAATGGCACCCTCGGTATTTTTTTACTTTGTTCGATAGAAAATGACATTCTGAATAGAATGTCATATCATATGTCAACTTTTGATTGACATTCTCTCTCGCTTAATAATAAAAATATTTTAAAATTCAATCTAGAGTGCTGTTAAAACATGGCTATGTTAAAAATACTAATTCTTCATCAAGGTAGATTTGATGGTTTAATGATTTTACTGCCTTGTCCTGACCAGTTAGAAAATGCTCAAATCGTATTTTTAATCATATCTCAATTTTTTCAGATGGAACGAGGGTAGCTTATTAGCATATTTAGAAAAAGCATTTTTTTACGAATAATTTAATACCACATACTTGGTATTTCACCACGAACCGCAAGTTATAATTTCAAATAAACCATATGCGAAAATGTCAGAAGTTGACATATAATATGTCATTCTATTCAGAGTGACATTTTCTATCGAATAAAGTAAAAAAATCCCGGGGGTGCCATTGAAAAATCAAAAGTTGTAGTCATTTCCGGTGAAACCGGAAGTGACCGAAAGCAATTAAATATGTCAATCAATCCTAATTTATGTTATACTAACATACCAAATCTCGTTTTTTAACCAAAAAAATAAGTTATAGGGGTGAGCCACTTTTGAGACGCACCCGGTATTTAGTCTATCTAACAAGCCAGAGATTTCCATACACGATACCCAAAGTATAACAGAAAATATAATTTTCCTGTGAATTAAAATGACAGACACAACCGTTATTGTCATGGATATTCTCGTTGGACAGACTATACTTAATATATTTTATTAATATACAGGGCTTATATGAAAAAAATGTGAAAAAAAAATCAGAAGGTAATATCTTTTTGAAAAATACAATATTTTTTTTATATTAAATTTTTGGTTTGACGTTACCTGGTTAAGTTATTATCTTAAACAGGGTGAACCAAAATCAGAATATACATCTTAACCTTTTTTTTAAATGAGGCAAATTATAAAAGCAACAATTTCCTGATTTTTTTTGCGCACTTATTCATTTACACCATTGTTAGAAATACAGTCTGATTGAAAAAAAAATGGCGTCAAAGGCTGAGGAATGACAATAGATGATAATTTTAGTGAGGCCATTTAAAACTCATTTTTAGTCGGTATAAAAATAAATTACAACCTTCTCAAGGCCCACTGGCCAAAATTATCATATGTGGTCATTCCCAGCCGTCTTTCACCCAGTTTTTTGTCGATCGTATGATAGTTACCTTGGAAGCAACGCTACTACACAGGACAACAGCGTGACGAGATAGTATGCAGACCTTTGCATCGCAATCTGTATAGTCCAGTAAGTACTAGGCAATCCGAAGCAGTTCACGCAGTACGTATTGTACAGTAGCGAGTACAGATAGAACGCACCGATCGAGAGAACAATCGATGCAACATGAATAAGCGTCTGTAAAAATTCTCAAAAAAATAGTACATAGTCTCTAGAATCAGAGATACAGAGGTAAAGATAATGAGCATGAACCTGTGCAGAAATTCTAACTGTGGTGGCCGCCATGTTCGCGATTAGGTATCTATGGGGGGGGGGGGGTGATTGTGAGTTTTTTGATTGTCATCTTTAGTGAATATTAAAAATATCGTGTAATATTAATTAGACTACTATAGTATACCGGGTGCATCGTCATTGGAAACGGGAAATCCCATGCCATTTTTGAACTGTCCAATTATTAGCTCCCCTATTAATTTTACAGCTAATTCGTAAACAGGTTTTTTAAAGGTCTGCGTATGCTGAATACACATGCCAAATTTCAACAATTTTGAACAAGCCAACTTTAAGTAATATAAGTAAAACCGTATCTATTTTTAAATTACTTTATATACCTTAAGTTGTCAACCTATAATTTTAAATTGCTAAATGTAATTTGTTATCCTGTTGTAATGAAGTTCATAAAAATTCATCAATCAAATCACTCATTCCTGGGAGACCCTGTATATTGTGTTAATTAATATTATACTAGAATAAAGAGACTTCATTTTCTTTTGTAATAATCCGATTGTTAAATTAAATATTTAATTGCCATATTGTAAGAGAGTTTTGATCGGTTTTGGTCGCTATAAGCTTTTCTCGGGTTCTTGTTATTACCGATTCTGAACCGTCCCACTGTGTTTCAGATGCTGTCTGTAGCGCGAATAAAGCCTTTAAACAATCAATTGGCTTACGTCATTACTTATAGGACTTGTTTTAGATAAGTATATTGAAGATTCGTCATTTATATTCATATTTGTCAAATTGAAAGAGCGGGGGTGGAAATAACCCTTAAAAATTCAAGAAAATTTCCAAAGAATAAAAATTTACGAGAAATATTACAGACTTTCATTATTAATAATGCCAATTGAAAGGCCTTTCTTGTAAAGTTTTGTTATACTCGAGGTTATACTACTGAAATCGCTTATATAGTCTATAAAATGAATAACTTTGAATTTTGACCGTTATTTTTTCCCAACATGGCAAATATAAAATCCCTCTGTCAAAAAAGTTACTGATATTGTTTAAATTGAGTGCCTGAACGAATCAGATAGGTAACTCTTTTTACTTTCGTGAAATAGAAAAGGAAAATAATAAAACAAGTGACAGTTCTTCCTATTCTTGCAAAAATCAACACAAAATGTCATAATTGTCAAAAGTAAAAAGTCATCAGCTTTTGACATTTCTAAATATCAGACCAATGCCGTCTCTAATAGAACAGCCTCGGAGCGAGATTTATGACGTCACGCTAGTTAGGTACTACGGATTAATAAATATGTTGTAGTATACATGGAAAACATAATTATTCCTAGTATTTCTGGTTTGTATTTTAAAAATGATATAGTTTACATGAAATATACATAATATACAGTTAATAAATACAATATATATACGTATTTATAGTAATAAATACTTTGGCAAATAAACTATGAACCATACAAATGCAGCAAATGTTTTCGAATCTACAAATAATGAAAAATATATTTTAAATTTTGAGGTTTGAAAATCTAAATTTTGTGAATGTAAATAATAATACATCACTATTAGTAGATATTGAATGTTTTTTGTTAAATTAGATCGATTTTAAAACCTCAAAATTTAAAATATATTTTACATTTTACCCATTATCTTATGTACCTATTCATTATCTGTATATTGTAAAACATTTGCTGCATTTGCATGGATCATAGTTTTATTTGCCAAAGTATTTATTAGAATAAATAGGTATATATTATATTGTATTTAACATACTGTATATTATGTATAATATTTCATGTAAACTATATCATTTTTAAAATACAGACCAAAAATACGAGGAATAATTATGTTTTCCATGTATTCTACAACATATTTATTAATCCGTAGTATCTAACTAGCGTGACGTCATAAACCTCGCTCCGAGGCTGTTCTATTAGCGACGGTATTGCGTCAGCATGGCAGCAAGTTGCCCGCGGGAACTGTCAAATTCAAAGTTATTCGTTTCACAGACTATATAATAATCCGTATTAGGTATAAAAATAATATTGCTCGCAATGAAACACAAAATTGAGTAATGTCCTACCAAAACCTTATTTGTCAGTAGTTGAAAATCTATAATTTGTTTTTTATAAAAAAAAATCTCAATCCAGATAGTAATAATATGTAACTATTCGTATTAAGCCATAGTAAAATTTGTTTTTGGTGCACTGGCTAGCCTTCCACCGCTTTTCCAAGTTTTCAAAAAATTTTTATTACCTTTTCATAAGTTTTTCGGTTGCTATTTATTTTAAGGCGTTTTCAATATTATCGCAGCATGATTTTCTTCCCATGCAGATGCTTGAATTTCAACCAGTGCTCGTAAATTTCCATATTAGATATAGACTTATGTTCTAAAACAACAAAAAAAACCATTGCGGATACGCCAGGATATAATGAAACATATTTTATTTTAAAGCTAACCTACTGGGGTATCTAACGAAAAAGGTACCATGAGGTGCCACAGCGTGCCTTTTTTTTCCAGTCTTTATATATAAAAATATTATAGGAAAATTAGGGCTTAATAAAAACTAATTACCACCTGAGGATTGAACCCACCTTCATCATCAGCCATAATCACAAATATTTTACTTATAAATGATTTATCACAATATAACTTATTGCACCGCTATCGAACGTTGAAACCGGTTTGAACAAATACAAAACTTTTGACCGATAAAAATCGCAAAATGCAAAGGACGAGTAGGTTCCATTTCGTGGGTGCAAAAACTAGTCTTATCAGTGTTTTCCATTTTGTTTTCGATGAGGGTATATCCGATAAGTATTTATCTTTTTAATAATAATAAATTTTGGACAAACAACAAATCTCAACATAGCGACTTAATTCGCGCTACGAGTCTAATTTGAACCACAGTGCGTCCTAGAACTCTGCAGCGCATGCGCAAATGAAATAATGTCTTCATATTTCCTTCTGCGCATACGCATCACAGTTCTAGAATGGTTCAGAATCAGTAATAACAAGAACCCGAACAAAGCTATAGTTTAATGCGAGAAAACGAACCATTTGCGCCGCTCGCCCTACTCTGTTAGTGCAGGCTGAGTGGAGGGGCGCGCCAGTCGAGTACCTTGGCTGCAGCAGTTCAAACTTCAAAACGACAGTTTGTGGTCGCACGCGAAACAGTGAAGTCGAGTCCGGAGTGCCCCGCCAAGTGACCAGCTGCCAGCCGCCGTACTGTGCAAGGTAAGCACCAACCGCCGAAGTTATCGAGGGTAGGTCGTATTTTTTTTATTGTTATTAACGTTTACTCTACTACCTGGGCGTGTTATAGGGATAAGGGAGTTAGTCGCCGGGATTGTTAGGATATTAAAAGCGCGGGAGAGCAACAATTGCCGACCAGGCGAAAGAGGGAATAAACAGTGTTAGGGCAGGTCGCCAGGAATCGTGGCTCTTCGGCGAGAGAGAGAGAGAGAGAGAGAGTTCTGTCTGACATCTGCTCAAGTATGACGTATCCTTCGGTTGCGGAGACGAGAGTCCTTAGTTTCCTTTATTGACATTAAAATTACCAGGGTTGCCGACCAGGCAAAAGAGGGACTACGTGGTGCTAGGGCAGGTCGCTAGGAATCGTGGCTCTTCGGAGTTCTGTCTGACATCTGCTCCGGTAAAACGTACCTCTCGGGAAAAGCTAGTTGAGGGTTAATGAGGATTAATTGTTTTCTTAAGGGACAGCCAGGGTAGTACAGTAAACGCACGGGTCGCGAATATTTATGGTGCTTGAAGAGGATCTCGCCCAACTCCCGAGGCTGGTTCTGTCGCGCCCGCTTTTCTCTAGGTGTGTCGTCCGGACGGCACCCTGCAACAGTGACGCTGGACGGGATCTCGCCGAAATCCCGAGGCTGTCCTGACCGGGCGGTGTGTGTGCCTGCTGCGCTTAGCACATGCCAAACTAATCTCGAAAAAAATAGAAATAACGACATAACAATAGGACAAAAGACGAAATTAATCTCAAACAAATTAAAAATTATTAGCTGTTACTATTACTTATTGATCTCTCCTGTAGATCTAAGCGCAAACATCGCGTTCGCTATGATATAAAAAAAACTTTTGGATGCGCACTTGTTAAAGCTCATTCTCCCCACCTCTATACGGTTGGATCTTAAATAACTGCAAATATTTTCAAATAAGTCCAAAATAACCGAGTTATTCAATTCAAATAGATTTATTTAAAAAAATGAGAACCACCGGATTTGTTCTGTATTTGCATCCCTTTTAGTTTCATAACCATGGCAATATCAGAGATTAAGAAATTATACCTACAGTGAGAAAATATGCGGTGAAAGGCAGTTCTCAAAAGTTCACTAAAATATACAGGAAAATTTAAAAGAAAATGAACAATTTTCAACATGTTTTTTTGCAAAAAAAAGTCATAGGCGTGTTCCTGGGTAAAAATATACAATTCCAAAAAATATTTGCACTTATTTAAGACCCACCCTGTGAATCTCTGTCTAGAATACACTCAGAGAATCAAGTAATAGACTTACGTACCCACGATCTGATTTCGATCGCCACGTGACACAACATGACGAACATGCAAGCGGTGGTAGTCACTGTGCCGAATTCGAACATGTCCGCATCCGTATCGTCGTACGCCACTTTGCAAATCCAAAATACGCACACGCTTTGGTATATCGAATCGGCCATGGTGAGCCAGAACGAGTACCATTTGTAGGATTTGCCTAGGCGGCTTCGTTTGTACAAGTACGGGTTTTCTAGCAGAAGTTTATCTGGAGCGACCTGATCGTAAACACCTAGAAAAAAAAGTTCGAATTTGATGTTTTACGGCTGTAAAGAATCTTATATTTATCGGTATATTAACACAGTATTATGGAAACAAAGTCAAGAGGGTTCTAGAATTAACAATACCCTGTATTAACCGGATTTAGTATATTTCTATTCCTGGGTATGAGAGAAGGTTCCCATTCGTGAGAAAGGAACGTTCGCGAATAATCGGAGAAACAAATCTTTTTTAATGGATTATCTGTAAAAGCGAAGATTGACTTGAGCCAGGCACTGTAATGTAATGCTTGTTCGCTGCTCGCGACGAGCGTTTCGATAGAAATCGAAAACCTATACTGACATGTAATGTAACAATGAAAGAGATTCGCTATTCATGAGCCGCTCGTGTCGCAAATTATTTCCCGGTTTTCACTAGCGAATGCTCAAATTGTAACACGTTACATTACAACGCTCGGTTCAAGCCAATCTCCACCTTAAGGCTAGGTTGTACCTACTGGGTTGAGAGAAACAAGTTCAAAATTATAATAGGTTGTTCAATGACTTCTTATCGTTGAAATTAGTTCGAGATTTAGGTATTTGACGATTACACTTGGCTTATACCATACGACCGAAAAAAAAACGGCGTCAAAGACGGTTGGGGTACGAATCGGTAATAATTTTGGCGAGGCCAAGCCTTAGACATCATTTACTTGGCCTGTAGTTTTCTTCATCTTTTAATGGCTCTTACTGCCAGTTGGCCTTTTTTATATAAGATCCTATATCTCCTACGTGGAGCAAAGGACTTCAGTGAAAGCTCTCCATCGGGTTCTATTCTATTCCCAGTTAGTCTTAGGTTGTAATTTATTTTTATATTGAGTAAAAATGATTTTTAAATTGTGTAGTTTAAAATTCGAGAAAATGTATTTTTTCGGAAATAGATTTGTATCTGAAAACGTTCTATCGTGGTTTAATCTTTATATAATTAGTGTTAATTTTTAGCAAATAACATCTAGAGAGAGATTGATCTCACCAAAATTATGATCGATTGTCTTTCACAGGCCGTCTTTGACGACGATTTTTATCATAAGGTATCTGGCGAAGGCAGAATTACTGACACACACTGACGTTTTTAACTGAACAGTCCTACCGTTCGGTTAAAACAGTGCAAAATAACCAAAGTATTAAAACTAAAAGAATTTATTTTGATTAACACAACTTGTATGGGGGCCTTAATGTACATTAATACTCACCAATTGCGATAGGGGGCAGCGACGTGAAAAGTAAATTATACAGCATGAGATACATTTGGTCGATCATAACCGATCCGGAGAAGCCACAGTAAAATTGGTACCAGAAAATCATGAACACGAAAGTCTGAAATCAGTATTACACGTGAACATTCTTGTTCCTTAACGAAGATTAAAAAAATACTTACGGCGTTTTTGTAAAAAAAGTATAGAATCATTCTGGCTAATCGATCGTAGCTCCAATGACCGTGCACCAGTAAAAACCTTTCTAGATACTTAAAGCGGGACAGGGCAAAATCGGCAGCCATGACAGCTTGCATACCTTCTTGTCCCGATATACCTAAATGTAAATACAAATGTACAATGTTTTACAAATAAATGTATACAGTATTGGCCATAAGTGGATGAACTTTGTTAAAATAATGGGTTTTTCCTAATATGTTTAAAATTAAAATTTGAGCTATATTTACTTGAAGTCTAGTGTCAGTGCTATAAAAATAAATAGCATTGTTTTTTTAAAATGTGCTTTAATAAGGTAGCAAAAAATTTAAATTGAAAAAACTATTGGACAAAAGTAGATGAACAAAATATATATTTAATAAAAAAAATCTTATTTTAAGAAAAACTGAAAAATTAACTTATAATTTACTAGTACTTAGTGTAATAACCCTTATTCTTAATTACTTTCAGACATCGCTTAGGCATGGATCCCAGAAGATTTTCAATTATAGAAAAATCGATATTTTTCCAAGACTCTTCCAAAGCTGCAAATAATTCTTGCTTATTTTTGTAGAATTTGGTCCTAATTTCCCATAAATTTTCTATTGGATTCAGGTCTGGGGATTGCGATGGCCATTTGGGAACAGTCACCATTTCATCTTCCAAAAACCTTTTAACCAATTGTGAGGCATGTTTCGGGTCGTTATCATGTTGGAAGTAGTGTACAACTGGCATTTTTTCCTCCAAATAAGGCACTAAAAGGTTTTGTAAAATGTCTCTGTAGCCAAACCGATCCATTATGCCCTCAATTTTATGGAGAGGCCCCATCCCATACCCAGAAAAACACCCCCATACCATGATTGAGCCCCCACCATGTTTTACAGTGGGTCGCGTGTACTTTGGTAGCAATCGTGTGTTGGGAGGTCTTCTTACATGTTGAATTCCATCTGATGACACCAAATTAAACTTTGATTCATCACTAAAACAAACTTTTTCCATTGTGCCACAGTCCAGTTTTGATATTCCTTGGCAAATGCTAATCGGGCCTTCAAATTTTTTTTTGATAGCAGTGGTTTCTTGGCGGGTCTTCGGAAAACAACTTCTCGTTAACTAATTTACGTCGGATCGTCCTTGTACTCACTGGTGGATAGCCCATTTCTTCAAGTTTTGCTTTTATCTTCGTTGACGGCAAAAATGGATCTTGTGAAGAAATTCGTTTTATGGCTTTTATCATATTGGGACCAACTTTTTTAGGTCATCCTGGTTTTCTTTTATAGAGACATCTCCTCTCTCATTATATCTCTTTAAAATATAATGTACCGCTGATTTTCCAAGGCGTAATTGCTTAGCGATTTCCGATTGCTTCAAACCATCCTTAAAAGCATTCACTACTCGCAACTTAAGATCTGCAGACAAGTTAATTCCACGTGGCATGATATATCAAAAGAGCTCAAATGTTTTAAATCGCAATTGTTCATAAAAGCAGAACAAATGAAACTAACGATTTTTAAAAATATTTGGTTCATCTACTTTTGTCCAAGACAAAAAAGCAATATTTGCCAATTCTTATCTATAAATGATAAGACTAACAGAAGAATTTATATTTGTTTGTAGTATTTTGGTGAGAATGTATTAAACTTTTAACATACAAAGGTACATAAAATAATTTTGATATTTAACACCTCAAATCTGATTTTCTTCGCAATTATTGGTATTGGTTCATCCACTTTTGGCCAATACTGTATGTAAAATATACAAAAAATGTTACTCTGTGGTACTTTGTAATCTTGACAGAATATGTACATGCACATACTATTATAAGCGTTGTGGAATGTAGAATGAGTGGGAGGAGGGTTAATCACCGCGACCTTAAAGATCTATTGGGTCTTGTGAATCAAAGTTAAGCAAATGCTTTTACTTAAATTTCTTGAAATAGACTTATACAATTTGTAAACAACCAACAAAGATAGTTCTATAGAAAAAGCAATTGGTTCTCTTTATTCATCAGGAAAATGTGTCCTCCTTTCTTGAGTTTATAACTCATCAGTCTCTTTACAGTCTATAACTAATCATACATGAGGATCTTGTTGTTGTAGGGGGAACAGGGTATTTCCCATCCTCCTCTAACAACAGCTATACATCCTCCGAAGAGTGGACATCAACCTACTATGAGGGTATACGTGCATCCTTCCAGTCGAGGAGCTTGTCTCCGGCTGAGGTACACTTGAGGTAGAGGCTGGAGGATCTGTCTCCATTTTCTCCACCTCTTTAACTTGGTTTCTCCTTCGACCTGATACCGGTTTCGCCCCGGATCTATAACCCCCCCCCCCCTCCTTCAAACACAATAGGCCTCACACGTCGCAGTATTTCTGGCAGAGGTCGGATTATTATTTGAAAAAGACACCCTCTTACACCCTCTGCCCGTGACAAATGACTACCGACAGTAGAGGGTGCCTGGTATGACGGACTGATAGTCACATCCGGCACCGTTATACGTTTTGGTGTAATTCCCTGGTCACGACACTACAGCCAAGAACAAGACAGTCCTCCTTAGACCCAGCCAAAGTGTCAGAGGGGATCCCCCTAGCACCTGACTAAGACTAGGATCTTCTCAACGAACGAAAAGGCCTCTCATCTCCTAGACGAAGTAACATTATTTTTCAACATATCAGTTTAGAGACTATGAGTAGAATCTCACAAAAAATAAAGGCTAATATTAACCAATAAGAACTTTACATTTTTCAGCTTTCATTCAGAAAACTTCCTAATAACTTCATTTAATTAGAATTTGACTGGGTAATAATCATTTTTCATTTTTATTTTTAGTAGACTGAATGTACATAATGTGCTATAATAATGTAGATATAAAGAAAATAATTGTATAGTCTATAAAATGAATAACTTTGAATTTTGACCGTTATTTTTTACCAACATGACAAATATAAAATCCCTCTATCCAAAAAGTTACTGATATTCTTTAAAATGAGTGCCTGAACGAATCAGATAGGTAACTCTTTTTACTTTCGTGAAATAGAAAAGGAAAATAATAAAACAAGTGACAGTTCTTCCTCTTCTTGCAAAAATCAACACGAAATGTCATAATTGACAAAAGTAAAATGTCATCAGCTTTTGACATTTCTAAATATTAGACCAATGCCGTCTCTAATAGAACAGCCACAGAGCGAGATTTATGACGTCACGCTAGTTAGATACTACGGATTAATATATATGTTGTAGAATACATGGAAAACATAATTATTCCTCGTATTTTTGGTTTGTATTTTAAAAATGATATAGTTTACATGAAATATACATAATATACAGTTAATAAATAAAATATAATATATACCTATTTATAGTAATAAATACTTTGGCAAATAAAACTATGAACCATACAAATGCAGCAAATGTTTTACAATATACAAATAATGAATAGGTGGTACATAAGATAATGGGTAAAATGTAAAATATATATATTTTAAATTTTGGGGTTTGAAAATCGATCTAATTTAACAAAAAACATTCAATATCTACTAATAGTGATGTATTATTATTGGCATTCACAAAATTTATTTATATATTATAATGTTTACTGCAATTAATAAACTAATATAAACTTGTCAAAAGATGACCATATATTTTTTTAAATTATTATTCTTAACACAAAACTATCTACATTGACTATGGAGTACGATTTCAGCCATATTGTAAAACATTTGCTGCATTTGTATGGTTCATAGTTTATCTGCCAAAGTATTTATTACTATAAATAGATATGTATATATATATATATTGTATTTATTAACTGTATATTATGTATATTTCATGTAAACTATATCATTTTTAAAATACAAACCACAAATACGAGGAATAATTATGTTTTCCATGTATTCTACAACATATTTATTAATCCGTAGTATCTAACTAGCGTGACGTCATAAATCTCGCTCCGAGGCTGTTCTATTAGAGACGGCATTGCGTCAGCATGGCCGCAAGTTGCTAACCTAATAAAATTAACACTAGAAAAGCCCGCGGGAACTGTCAAATTCAAAGTTATTCGTTTTACAGACTATATATGTATTGTGTCTAAAACTGAAGTCAAAAATCGGTGACATAATTGCGAGTTTTATTTGACACTTATTAAAAGTCAAAGTAAAAGGTTAAACATTTCAAACATTTATTTATTCTAATCCTATAACATAATATTTCGAATTATTTCGCGCGGTACTGTCTAACGCCGAGGACGCGTTCATTCACAAAATATTGATAATGCTCCCGGTTCTTTTTTTGATAGCGATCACTCTATTGCTTTTGCTATACATACCTATTCCTACGTCGGCAGTCTGTATCATCGAAACGTCATTGGCTCCGTCGCCTATCGCCAAAGTTCGTTTCTTCAGCTCTTCCTTGACTACCTTTACGATGTAGGCTTTCTGGAGCGGAGTGGCCCTACAGCACAACACCGAATTGCAGAACGTGGTCAATTTGAGAAAGGACTTGGTCAGATTCGATCTCTTGTCCAAAATGTACGTCAGGGTCTTGCCGTCGACGACTAGAGCTCGTCCTTTGTGATTGGTCGACGATCGAACATACGGAGATCGACTCGAGGTACTCGAAGAAGGCACAATGTCGATATCGTACCCTTGGGTAGCTGCAAATCACTAATGTTAATATAATAAGGGTATTTTTAAGGGTTCATCAATAGAAACATAGTTAGTTAACTACCCTAATCGAAATTCATCAACTGATAAGTCAAGTGAGTTGATCAAGTCACAGGAATAAGACAGATTTGAAAGCAGATTCCGAGTTTACACATTTCATATCAAAAAGCTTCTGTTATTTGATTCGAAATTGCGATATTTTGGCTATAGAATTGACAGACTTATTGTGTAAAAAATAGACATAAATGAAGAATATAGGTCAGAAAACGGTCAGATTTACGTATGGTGCATATTTAATAATTATAATAATCTAATAATTTAAAATAATTTAATAATAATAGCTCCCGTATAATAGCGTTTAACGCCTTGGGAGTAGCAAGGTACAGCTTGCTATGCTAAAGCCGTTCGGTATACTGTTCGGAAGGTAATGTGGCTAGCACTACGCTTCAGCTGCCTATTATTACCTCAGGATTGTGAATCCCGAGTACTCATTTAAGGTTGAGTCGACCAAACTATTTTTATTTTTATTAAAAATAATTTTTATTGGTAGACGAGAGCTGTACCTCTACGCCACCGGGCCCCACTATAATACACGAGATGTTACCAAATTTATAGTTAGGAGATCCTAGAGATCATAAAAAAATAAGGGTACAAGCGAACTAATTTAATTTAAATATATAGAAAAACGTTTCTTTTGTCCAGAGTGAGATTTAAGGCCCCCATACATTTCGGTTATTTTACACCGTTTTAAAAACGTGAGTGTATGTCCAGTTTTGCCCGTGCGTTGAATATCTGTCGTTACCAGATATTTTCTCGTTCCTATCCGATAGAGTATCGACATAAACCGATAGATATTGTTTAGGCGGAATGCAAGAACAGTTAACCTAATAGGACTGCTCATTCAGCCAAAAGTGTCCGCCAGGTGCATGCGAAAACTTCTCGCTTTGTGACGTCATTGTAGTCCTTGTCATGGTTATTAGTCCTTATCTGGCAACCAATAATACACACACGTGCAATATTGGTTGCCGGATGCAAAACGTTCATTATTTAGTTTATTTATTTAAACACCTTATATATGTATGCAGTATAGAAAATTAACTGTATAAATCGTATTAAATACTCGGATAATGCATTTTTAAGAACAGCAATTCCCAACATCACCTTTCGCAAGCATTCTTTTTAGAGTACTTCCATATTTTGCTTTAAAATAATTAATAAACAATATCGTAGGCACTTAGTAAGCACTTTGTCACAATCCACAACACAAAATGAACGTATTTATACACTCTATAGCTATAAAAAATTTAAAGACACCTTTTTCACATTTAAAATTGACAAAATAATTAACCCATAGGCAACTAAAAATACACACTATCATGACAAGGACTACAATGACGTCACAACTGTCAGCTGAAGCGCGGGAAGAGGCGAACGTACGTCTTATGAGGATGAGCAATGCTATTAGTTTACCGTTCTTGTGTGGTGGAGGTTGATTGCCAGTTCTTTCTACTCTCGCGGTTTTAACTGTACGGCAAAATAACCAAAGTGCATGGAGGCCTTTAGAGAGAAAATTGAACATACAATTATCTGATTGGGCCACGTGTCGTTCGATATCTGCCAGATAACAATTTATGGTACTTTCGGCGCTCTCCTTGGAACGAGCCATTATCTTCAGTAGTTCCATTTGGGGCGAAAATAATTTGGCGGAATAAGCTATATTGATGGCGGTTTCCGGTTTGTCCCCGGTCAATACCCACACAACTATTCCGGCAGCGATTAGAGCGGACAGAGTTTCGGGAACGCCCTCTTGAAGCCTGTCCTCGATCCCTAAAAGTAATACAAAATATATACAGGATGAGTTTTAAATAAGTGCAAATATATTCAGGGCTAGTAGATCTCGATAAAATAAACATTTTCTCTTTAACATTTTTCAAATAAGTCTAAAATATCCAAGTTATTCAAGTTTGAAAATTAAAAAATAGTATATTGTTTTATTAGGAGCAAAAATGACACTTTCTGCAGCTAGGCTGTGTGTTTGATATACAGGCGAGCCACAAAAAGTCATTTTTACTAGTGATGGGAAAAACCGATTAATTTCAATAATCGAGTACTCGAGTTTCAAGCGATTTCAATAATAGAGCGATCGCTCGAGCGAAATATCGCTTGTATTTAAAAATACGGTTTTTCGCTCGCCGCTTGCTCGTAACATCAAGCAGTAAGTTGCGTGCGCAGAGCACATAATATTCTTTCGGTGATGAATGCCAAGTAGCAAACGACGAGCGATGAGTAATTCGCTAGATTTAGTCTATTTCAAAGCATTGTCGATGTAGGTCGTAAAATTTTGTCATTCAGATACGCAACGGATAACGTCGTATAACAAAATAAAACACTAAATCACCACAATACACCAAAACACTTTCACTTTTATACTGGATGCGCGTTTCGCTAACCATGTTAGCATCATCAGCAGATGATTATAAACTAAAGTACAATCTACAAGTTGAGCGTTTATATACTCGCCCAGTGGGCGTGGCAAAATCTAGCCAACCGAGTCCGAGCCCACTGAGCGTAACAGTTAGATTTCCGCCACTAGAGTAGTAGGAACAAAAAACTTCAAGGAATTGGACCGTTGTCTCTGTTCATACTATCTTTACATTTATTAATTCTGATGCTTTCATAGGCATCTAATTGCCTGTAATTTGAGACTTGTTTAATTAATTTTAAATTATTAAGACCTATACAATGGTCTTTATCAACAATATGTTCGGCAACGCAAGATTTATCCGGTCTACCATATCTTATCTGAGCTAAATGTTCTTTAGATAAGATATGGTAGATAAGTAATGTAAAGATAGTATGAACAGAGACAACGGTCCAATTCCTTCAAGTTCTTTGTTCCTACTACTCTAGTGGCGGAAATCTAACTGTTACGCTCAGTGGGCTCGGACTCGGTTGGCTAGATTTTGCCACGCCCATTCGGTGCCCACTGAGCGAGTATATAAACGCTTAACTTGTAGATTGTACTTTAGTTTATAATCATCTGCTGATGATGCTAACATGGTTAGCGAAACGCGCGTCCAGTGTAAAAGTAAAAGTGTTTTGGTGTATTGTGGTGATTTAGTGTTTTATTTTGCTGTGTAACACCAAAGGTTCCAACCCTCAACTGTAAAGGTCGTATATATTTGATACATACGATGTATGTACAAAGTTCGCTCGGCTTTTTATCGAGTATGTCACATTAAAATCGGATTTAAATTTATTTCATTCCAGGATCGCTTGCGTTCGTCGTTCGTAACTTGCATCGCTCGTTCATAATCGAGCGATGTCGATTATTTCATGAATCGAGTACTCGAGCGAACATTCGCTCGAGTTATTCCAAAATAGCATGTTCTAACATGCTGTTTTTTTTTCAAACGCCACAAATAATTTATTAAACAATTTCAAACGTTCCAAATAATATAAAAAAATATAAAAGGATATATACTTTGTGTCTAATTATATGTCAAGAAACTATTGTTACCATTTTACTAATTTTTAAAAAATTATTTCATAATTTTATTATTTCTAGTACACGCGATGCTTACCTGTTGCTCCTAACAGCGTCATATGGCTTTCGATACTCGAATAACTATCTCTTATTTTCTTTTCCACATTATCGGTCGCCAATTCGGCTTCTTGGTGTTTCCGGTACCACTCGTTGTACTCCTGCTCAGTTAAAATCCTCTTCGCCATCACCAGAACCCTCAACCCCTCCCTGGCGTAGTTATTTAAATGCTGTTGCGTCTTATTAACGATAAACTTCTCCTCAGAATCATCCTCCGCCGGCGTCAGATGCGGTATAATCGACGTATCGGCCCCCTTGCAATACAACACGATCTCCTGCGATACGGGGTGCCTGAAAACGATCGACATCCTTTTCCTAGTCGAATCGAAAGGCAGAATGTTTAGGATTTTAAACGCTAACCTCCCTTCGGAAGGGACGTCTACAGTGACCTCTGTGGGAGTGCGTTTGATCAATTTACAATTGTAAATTCGAGCGGCATCCACAAGGGCCAATTCGTCCGGACTTTCCGCCTCGTAGATCGGCTTGAAATCGCCAGGGGACGGCGTGCACACCTGATTTAGTTTCACCTTCTGCTCGTCGGTTAGATTGGTGTTGCTGGTGTTTTTTCGGGTCAGAAAACCGCCGATGCTCGGTATGCTGAGCAGTTTCGGCCGGAGCGACTTGGAACTGCTGTGGCTTTGAAGGGAATCGGGCGAGTTGTCGCAGGAATCTATAGTATCGAGGGTAGTGATACGCGTTCTTCTGTTATCGGGGGAGTACAGGTTGAGTGGAGGTGAAGGTGTAACCGATCGGGACTCTTCCAATCGAGTGTATTTGTCTTTAACGGTAACCGGATTGGGATGGTCGTATTCGAGTTTCTTCACGTTCATTTCGTTTTCTGTTAGGTTAGGAACTGCTTCAATAATACCTGAAAAAAAAACACAACGCATAGTATGAGAAAAAGTAAAGTATTTGCCGTCTGCAGTTAGGAATGAAAAGTAATGGCTTTTATCTATCGGTAAGTTATCGCAATTCACCTATTGATATATTTTAGTTACCGAGAGATATATTGACAATCATCAATATATCGGTAACCATGAATTTCCGTGAGTCATCGGTTAATCTATAATATCTATTCTGATAATCTGTATTAATTTTGTAATAAATGTAATTAATACAAATTGTAATACAAACATAATCTGTTGTATAATTCTGTTAATCTTTATCTAATTTTGAAGTCACGTATTGTTATCCAATATATCGATAGTTATCGATGTACTGAAAAAATCCCATCTCTAGTCCACAGTACCACAGTGTACTGTAACGTTTTTAGTTCGTTACATGTCTTTTTTATATATGATATATATGATGTCTGGCGTATCGTCATCGGATTCCGTATCGTTCAGGCCTGATAATTTATTTGGCACGCTTGGCATAATTTTTACGTTCCCTAGTCGCCAACCCTGTTATCGTTTGACACAACCCTGTTATCGCTCTGAAGAGGCGCTGTCAACATCGCTTCTGTCAATTCTCTCCGTGCTTAACCTCACTTTGTTTTGCCGCTCTGTTGTATCCCGGCTTTTAGAAATGGTGATTATTTAAATCTTGCTGTATAATTTGAATCAGCTGCTATTTCAAAGCAACAGGTAAAGATGAGATATTATCCTTTTAGATTTGATATTATTACTGCATATTTTTAGGGTAGAGTTTTGGATGTCCCAACTTAACTTGTATTTGTATTTTGCTGGCAAGTTGGCGTCCCTTTTCTTTTGTCCTCCAGAATGTTACATGGAAGAAAGGACAGTTTCTTTGTTTATTATTGAGCCCTCGAAAGTAATTCGAGGTAGGTTTATTTTGTTTATTAGACCTTGTTTAGTTTTAAACAAGAGTTTTATATTTTTAGGGTCCAAGGTACGGACTATTTACAAGGTACGGGCATTATCCAAGGTCCTAGTAGTATCCAAGGTACGGGTAGTGTTCCCCTGTACCGTTGTCTTATGGACGGACTGTGTTCAAGGTTATGGTCCAGGTTACGGACATTATCCAAGGTCCTAGTAGTGCTCCAAGGTACGGGTAGTGTCCCCATATTGCCACAGTATGGATACAGCGTAAGCCCCATGCTGCTTCGCTCCCATTTCTAAGCCTAGTCAGTAGCTACGGCTGTATTGATTCATGGTGTCCTCATTCTGGCCCCTTTTGTTGTTTTGGCCAACAGGATCGCCGACAGACAGTACAGAGATATGAGCCCACCTCACGCTGCTACTCTTCGAAACAGGATTGCCTCAAGAACAGCTAAGTGTAGATTTAGGTTCAGATTTTCAGTTGATTTTCAGCCTCAATAACGTACATTTTAAATAATATCGTACAGACTATTGTAGCATTTTATTTAAAATTCACACAATTTAAATAAATGTACAGAATTATTTTATTTAAACAATTCAAGTTTGAGTCCTCGCACCGAGATGGCATTCTAAGTATTGTTATTATCTTTTATTTTTTTACAAGTTTATTTCTAGATAGTTATTTCAGTCCGGTCGAAGTTGTTCGTCACTTTATTTCTGACGGTATAGGTATATACCTCGTGCCTACCTTTATCGCTATATTGGTGGTTGAAGCTGAACCCGATAGAATTATCGGCGTTTTTTTTGCATTTTTGAAATTTGTGTGGGAAAACCCTCTGAGCGGAGGTAAGACTTTTATTTTTTACATAACGTTTCCTAATACCTTTTTTCTATTTGTACAGGGTTTTATTTTATGGTACGCATTTCTGGTGCCATTTTGTTTATTGTATCTGACATTTGGGCCACGTTTGTCCCTACAATATACACGTTGAATAACGGAAGAATCTCCTGAATATACAGCATTTTCCGATCCTGTCTGTGTGGAGACGTTATAATAACGATCCAGTTCCAGCAGTTCACCACAACCAGCTTGTGACCAGAACGGATATAAAAGGCCAGATCATTTCTTATTATATAATTTAAGTTCACTTTAATGCTTTAAGCCCTTCAGGCATATTAGATATTTTATTACTTTAGAGTCACTTGAAATATTTTATTCATGTTATGCATATTTCTGATATCTACATAGTACGGTTTTTTTTAATATAAAGAGTCCCTATATTTTGGTACCAAGATCGCCAGACTTTTTGCGGAATAATTAATAAAATATTAATATTCAGAAGCGTGCAGATTTAACTACCATCTTGAGTGATCTATTTTAATACATACTATTTACCAACCAACATTCTCAAACATCAAATTATTCATAGTCTTATTTTATTCTAATTAACATTTAATTATTAATTATACTTAGTTGTTAGTTTATCTCAGCGTTTCATTTGTGTAATTCCTAAAATAAATAATACCTATTTCTAAATGGAAAACTGAGTGGCGCCCCGTATATTATAAAGACGTAATTATCACAATTTAATTTTCACTAGCTTACGACCTATTGCTCACCGGCGAACAGCTCCGTCGCATAGTATTAGTTGTTTTAATATTTTTTCTAAAAGAAAATTCTTATAAAAAAAACATTCCATCATTTTTTTATAACTTCTAATGCTACACTATATTTAGTGGTTAGATTATTAAGAACATTTATGTCGATTTAGTAGTTACAATATGATTTAGATCTTAGGTTTCATTACATTACGCCTTGTAATAGTATTTAACCACCTATAATAATTATTAAAATTGTACAATGCTATTTACCATCAGAATTCATCATGAATAAATATAGCCATTAGTTTTAAGTAATATACAACTGTACGTTAGTAGTATCTCTGTACATGCCTGGCGTCCAATATCTATTTTTTTGTTTATTGTTATTAATTAGTTTTTTTTCCAGTGAAATACCTTATCCACGACTGCTCTCCGATGAAAAGCTGCCGTTCGCAGTGGTAATGGTTATAAAAAACGCTACGGTACGAAATAAACATATAAATATCGAATTACTTACCACTGGCGTTCATTATATCGTGATGCGGATGTCGAGAACACACTACCGTATTGCATACGGCTAAAAACAATAAGAATTCTTGTATTCTAGCGCTATGGATCGCCCTAGTACTAAATATTTGTTCGGACACGCAGCCCTCTTGATTCAAGTCGCTCTGCAAATTTTTATTCACTACGACACTCAAATTCGTCTGTTTATTGCCTAAAACACAACATCAATAAAAGTCAGTAAAATTAAGAACAAATGGTAGGGTATGTGGTATGTCATCCATCTTTATAGTATCTTTATACTATTTAGGTTGAATCTTTGAATAAGAAGACTAAGGGAGGAGCATAATGCTATCCATGTATTCATGCATGGTGGGCGGAAAAAGCACTCTAGGGTGGGGATCCTTGACAGTTCTGTTTGACGATTCATTTGACACATTTGATTTTGATTTGAAATTTTGTGGATTTGTCAGTCTTTACGGAGCTTATTTTATGTTATTTATTATTTATTCTACTACTGATAGTTGTATAAAGGTAGTAAATCTAGATGGAAATTGTGGCAGAACTTAAATTAACAGTGACACTATCGGGATTTATCGAAAAAGACTCTAAAATAGTTGGTTGTGTAGCGTGCGGTAGATCTCGGCAAAAATTGAGTGAAATAATGGAACAACTTTTCGCTAGTAAGTGACTATAGGTATAATATACATACGTGTAGTAAACCGATCATTTATGAAATTCACTTAAATTAACTAAATTATATATTTTTCTTGCATTTTAGCTTTTATTTATTACTTGTCAAAGATTTAATGTCAAAGAATTTAGATATGTTAATTTGACTTACCTGCTTCAGTAGCGTATCGGATGTTTGTGTTAATAAATACTTATTATAACTTATCTATTTTTATTACAATTATATATTTTTATAACAATTTTAATAACTACCAACATTTATTCACAACGTAAAATAAAACAACAAATTATTGAGTCTACCCCACGTCTACCCTACATCATAGTTTTATATTTTTTAAATAAAATTAGAACGACACTGATAAACCGGAATTTAAGTCGGCCATATTTGAGGCCCATCGCGGTGTACCTAAGATTTTTGATATGCTCCTTCCTTAGTCTTCTTATTCAAAGGGTTGAATATTATAAATACCCTATAATAAAAAAAACGACGACAAAAATGATAATTTTGGCAAAGTCAATCTCTAGACGGCATTTACAAAAAATAAATAATATGTTTTTGTAGAATATATACCTGCAGCTTGCTGATCCATTTTCAATCAAAACAATAATATAAACGTAAAAGGAGCACAAGAACAACAACGATTTATAATTTTAAACACAAAATTTAGCCATTTACCTCTTATCTGTGAGAAGTAACAACTTTGACGTTTCGTTGAAACAAATGAATGCAACTAAACACAGCCATAGCAACGCCATTCATGGCAGACATGATTTAATTTATCATTTATCTTTTTTTGGGAAATCTTAAACACATTTGCTTTTTCGAATTTCGATCACCTTCTTCATGCTAATACTCCACTGTGGCGGCTTTGACGCGGCTTTTTTCGATCGTATAGTATTTATACCAACTTAAAATATAATCACGATAAACAAGACATATAGAATAAAATCTTACTATTGTTTTGCGATTCGTTCTCCAATTCGGGATGATTATAATCGACAGCAGCAATAGTACATTTTCGGAAAATCATACGGTTTTCCGTCAGAGTACCAGTTTTGTCGGAAAAAATATACTCTATTTGTCCTAATTCCTCCGTGATATTTAAAGCTCTGCATTCGATTCTTCTGTTAGTTATAGGATCGTATAAGTCGGCGTTTTGATGAATATGATACACTTGTAATATTTTGCACAATTCTAAGGTAACGTATAACGATAAAGGAATCATAATCTGAAAAAATATAGTTATATATGTACAGGTTCCGGCAATAGTGCGTCGGGCATCTGCAGCTCCTAGAATAAAAAACTTGAGAATTTTGTTTAAGTGCAAACCTAAAGTATGTACCAGGATGTATTCCAGGAAAATATTTTAACTTCTATAGGGTGGCTCAAAAAAGTGTGAGTGGATCTGGATGATTTTTTTTAAATGAAACACCCTGTATATTATTGCATTTTTGGCTTCCTTTCAGATCTCTTTACATAAACCTAAGACGTGACTAAATATATTTCGATAATTTTAGAGATATTAATAAATAAATAAAAATTATATATTTATCAGCCCTTCTTAAAAATAGTTATTAACGTAATAAGGCCGATAAACAACAAATAACGGCCGGGCTGAAGTTTGTGATCCGAGGCGATAGCCGAGGATCATAAGCAGCCAAGGCCGTTATTTGTTATCGGCCGTGTTGCGTTCTAGATTTTTCGTCATACTGCAGATTTTTTAGAGCAATAAACACTACTATTTAATAACAAATTTTATTGAACAATAACACAAGTAAGGATAAAAAATACATAATGTCTTATACTAAAATTCATTTTTCATGATAATGAACATGGAAATTAAAAGTGCACTTGTTGTTCTTAGAAATCTGTAATCCTTCCCAGGGATTTACAGATTTTATAGAAGAAGATGATGCTACTGAAGAATGGCAAATATTTGTATCCACTAAAGACACATTATTTTTGGAGCTATCATGAAAAAGTTGATTTGTTATTTTCATTCTTTTGGAAACTGATTTTTCTATGTAAGTTTCTGCCACTGTTGAAGACTCCCATCCTCCTAGCTCCTTTAGCGATAGTAAATCACCACCATTTTCGGCGAGCATGGTTGCTGATGATCTACGAAATGAATGCCCTGTATAACGTTCTGGATTCTCCAAGTTCAAAAATTTTGCAATTTTCTGCGGTACGCTCCCGATGGTATGTATACCGACGATTTGCTTAACACACTTGCCTTTCTTGTAACCAATGAAAAATTTTGGATTGTCAAAGTTACGAGGACGCAGGTTGATGTATTTTTTGTATAAACCATAGGCATCAAACGGAAGGCCCGTTTTTGGAATAAGAAATTTCCTATCTTTCTTATTTTTAGTATTTCTTAATGAGACAAGAATATTTTCTCCGAATCTTCGAAATCATCAACTGTGAGTGACCAAAGCTCGCTGCGCCTACAAGCTCCAAGAATACCAAGCACCAATACAATTTTTTCGAGTAACCAGGTGTAATCATCGGCATCCAGTAGAAAATTATTTATGTCATTCTCCGACAGAACTTTGGCTTTTTTGGTGAATAACCTTCGTTTTTGCGCCTCAGAAACATGAACAGTTTACCAAATCTATGAACAAATATAATTTAGATGAGTATGATTAAATATCGAAGAATATAATGGCTTTTTACCTTGATATGTCGATGTTTTCATATACTCTCAACGCAAGCTTCAGCATGGATATCTTTGTCCACAGTGATGTAGGAGAATACATTTCAGACATTCTTTTAGCATAAGCCAGCAATACCGCTTCATTTACGCTGTTTATACTTCTATCCTGCCGCCACTTCAAAAAATTGTCATATTCCTGCTGATATCTCTCTCTCTGGTTATAGTCGGAAGTAAATTTTGAGTAGCCGCAGCCGCTTCCTCCTGTATTTCCAACGGAATTTCTCGCGACATCTCGCTATGGTCTATTTTCCCAATTTTTGAAAAGTCCAACTGACAATAAATAGTCATTGTTGCAGGTGACAGACGTTACGATTACCTTAGAAACTTAACGGCCGCCGGCCGTTATGATAACGTCCGGCGGACGTTATATGCATCTTTTCCATTCTGATTTTGCTTATGTTATAATAATATAACAATATAGTATGACGAAAAATTCTTAATAATACAAGAACTGTCCTTAAATCAAAACTGTATTAGATATTTACTTTAGATGGTTTGTACTTACTTTGCTATAAATATGGAAATCGTAAATCATACAGGATGTTCAAAATTCTACGCCAAACTTTCTAAAATATACAATAATTTTTCTTTGTTTTTTTAAAGGGGACATTATTTTTTTAATAGATGGAGAATTAAAAAATGAACATTTCTTGCATTTAGAGTATTTCAAAATTTTTAACGGTTTCGCAGATATTCCCGGTTTTGTATTTCATATGGCATTTTCCACAGTAAATTTTTATCAAAGCCATCCAATGATTTTTCTCTCGTATTTTACAACTGAAAGCGCCATATGAAATTAAATAATACTGCGTGTATCCGGAAAACTATTAAAAATTTTAAAATACTTTAAATACAAAAAATGTTCATTTTTTAACTCTCCATCAAATAAAAAAATAATATACTGGGTGTTCCATTTAAAAAAAAAACGAAGTAAAATTATTTTATATTTTTGAAAGTTCGGCATAAAATATGCAACATCCTGTATGATTTACGATTACCATATTTATAGCAAAGTATGAACAGACCATCTAAAGTAAATATTTAATATAGTTCTGATTTCAGAACAGTTCTTGTATTTTTAATATTTTTTTTAAGGAGGGTTGAAAAATATATATTTTTGATTTATTTTTTAATATCTCTGAAACTAATTGAAATAGGATTACTCATATCTTAGGATTACGTAAAGTGATCTGAAAGGAGGCCAAAAATGCAATAACATACAGGGTGTGCCATTTAAAAAAAGTCATCCAGATTCACTCACACTTTTTTGAGCCACCCCATAGAAGTTAAAATATTTTCCGGAAATACATCCTGGTACATACTGTAGTTTGCAAATAAACAATATTCTCAAGTTTTTTATTCTAGGAGCTATAGATTTTCGACGCACTATTGCCGGACCCTGTATATCAAAGATTTTATACAGGGTGTTGTAGAATGTAGAATGTTTAGGAGGGGAGTTAAGTTTGGTTTTCATGCATCCGTTGTCCGACGATACGATGATACGATATTAATTTTATTGGTTGAATTTAAAGACTTCGACTGGTTAACCATTTCTAATCAATCGAAATCTTTAAATTCAACCAATAAAATTAATAACGTATCATCGTATCGTCGGACAACGGACACATGAAAATCAAGCTTTAATCGCTGCGACCTTCCGATCTATTGTGTATTCCCCTTTCTTGAGTTATAATGAGTTATAACTCATCATACAGTCTCAGGGCTTGAAAGAAGCCAGTATCTGAGACGGCATTCAGAAACACCCATACACAATGTCGTAATGTGTAATTAATTAACGCTTGGATTTATTTTTTATTGATGGATAACCGGGATATAAAATAGTAAGAAAAATGGAAGGCACTCTCTAAGTTTCAAACGAATTCTTATATACTCAAAATTTAGTTTGGTAATAGCACAGTTTAAAGAATATAAATATATCAGTTGGCCCACTCTTCGCCCGTATCAAAATTCCTCCCGCCTCTCCCCGCCTGTCTTGTAGATTTGGGTCAGGCTACATCCGTTGCTCGTCTTGTACACAGCGTTCCAAGATTATTTTAGTTTTGTTTTCGGTCCGACGCATAGGGTGAACCAAAAATTGTGTTTTAGTTGTTTTGTTCGAATTGTAAATAAAATGTCTACTATAGTCTGTAAAACGAATAACTTTGAATTTGACAGTTCCCGCGGGCTTTTCTAGTGTTAATTTTATTAGGTTAGCAACTTGCGGACATGCTGACGCAATGCCGTCTCTAATAGAACAGCCGAGCAACGAGATTTATGACGTCACACTAGTTAGATACTACAAATTAATAACTATGTTGTAGAATACATGGAAAACATAATTATTCCTCGATTTGTTGGTTTGTATTTTAAAAATGATATAGTTTACATGAAATATATATAATATACAGTTAATAAATACAATATATATACCTATTTATATTAATAAATACTTTGGCAGATAAACTATGAACCATACAAATGCAGCAAATGTTTTACAATATGACTGAAATCGTACTCCATAGTCAATGTAGATAGTTTTTGTGTTAAGAATAATAATTTAAAAAAATATGTGGTCATCTTTTGACAAATTTATATTAGTTTATTAATTGCAGTAAATATTATAATATATAAATAAATTTTGTGAATGCAAATAATAATACATCACTATTAGTAGATATTGAATGTTTTTTGTTAAATTAGATTGATTTTCGAACCCCAAAATTTAAAATATATTTTACATTTTACCCATTATCTTATGTACCACCTATTCATTATTTTTATATTGTAAAACATTTGCTGCATTTGTATGGTTCATGTTTATTAGCCAAAGTATTTATTACAATAAATCGGTATATATTATATTGTATTTATTAACTGTATATTATGTATATTTCATGTAAACTATATCATTTTTAAAATACAAACCAAAAATACGAGGAATAATTATGTTTCCCATGTATTCTCCAACATATTTATTAATCCGTATTATCTAACTAGCGTGACGTCATAAATCTCGCCTCGTGGCTGTTCTAATAGAGACGGCATTGGTCTAATATTTAGAAATGTCAAAAGCTGATGACATTTTACTTTTGTCAATTATGACATTTCGTGTTGATTTTTGCAAGAAGAGGAAGAATTGTCCCTTGTTTTATTATTTTCCTTTTCTATTTCACGAAAGTAAAAAGAGTTACCTATCTGATTCGTTCAGGCTAGTTCAGGCACTCAATTTAAAGAATATCAGTAACTTTTTTGACAGAGGGATTTTATATTTGCCATGTTGGTAAAAAATAACGGTCAAAATTCAAAGTTATTCATTTTATAGACTATAGAAATATTTGTGTAGTGGATGGTTGTGAAAGTAGAATGACAGACAATATATCGTTCTTTAGGTGCCCAAAAGATGAAGGAAGGTATATGTTTATATAGTATAGGATAGGTATAGTACAGGTTTTGCTTTTTAGATGTTTGTATTTAACTTTAACTACCTACCTGGAAAGTCCAAATTTTATCGTCAGATAATAAAAATACGTGCATACAATTTGTTCTGCTATTGACAAGTTTTTTTAGAGTTTTTACTAAATTTTATGTAACAGTAAATATAACAATTGACGAGCATACGGGAAAAACGATGAGTATCCAGAAATGATAAATGTTCAGGAAAGCGTTTTTTTTTTTAATTCAAATTACGCATGGACTTTTATATCGTTTTTCCCATTTTTAAATGACTGTTTCTATGTGGCCGTTATGGATATTCCCGTTTATTTAGGTACCAAAAGATGTAGCCCCCTTCTTTTGGTACTTTCACTGTTTTTCCCGTGTGCTCTCAGTAGTAAATATTGTAATAAATTATATTATAGAATTCCTTAGAGTGGGCCAACTGTATATATTTATATTCTTTAAACTGTGGTAATAGTTTCGACGTCTTTCGTCTAGTGGAAAATTTAAATTCCAGTTAGTTAGCCCGGCCCGAATATATCCGTTGTTGGCAACAGTGAATTTAAATATCGCGCCCTCTATTACGTAACTAAAAGTTTAATTGGTATCGCTTATATAGTCTATAAAATGAATAACTTTGAATTTTGACCGTTATTTTTTACCAACATGGTAAATATAAAATTCCTCTGTCAAAAAAGTTACTGATATTCTTTAAATTGAGTGCCTGAACGAATCAAATAGGTAACTCTTTTTACTTTCGTGAAATAGAAAAGGAAAATAATAAAACAAGTGACAGTTCTTCCTCTTCTTACAAAAATCAACACAATTGTCAAAAGTAAAATGTCATCAGCTTTTGACATTTCTAAATATCAGACCAATGCCGTCTCTAATAGAACAGCCTCGGAGCGAGATTTATGACGTCACGCTAGTTAGATACTACGGATTAATAAGTATGTTGTAGAATACATGGAAAACATAATAATTCCTCGTATTTTTGGTTTGTATTATAAAAATGATATAGTTTACATGAAATATACATAATATACAGTTAATAAATACAATATAATATATACCTATTTATAGTAATAAATACTTTGGCAAATAAACTATGAACCATACAAATGCAGCAAATGTTTTACAATATACAAATAATGAATAGGTACATAAGATAATGGGTCAAACGTAAAATATATTTTAAATTTTGGGGTTTGAAAATCGATCTAATTTAACAAAAAACATTCAATATCGACTAATAGTGATGTATTATTATTTGCATTCACAAAATGTATATGTATATTTTGCAAGTATCAATGTTCGAAAAATTATATTTGCAAATAATACAATATCATAGAAAAAAGGCTGCAGCGATGGCTATGAAATAAAGATCGCTGTCATTTTATATGTAAAATTATTCTAAAATTTTTTATTTTCTTGGGATTTAGGTTCGGGAAAAACGCTGATTAAATTTTCATTTGTTTTTTCATTTTTTTTTTGGTTAAAAAAAACGTTTCGGCTAACATCATAGCCTTCATCAGTGTTGTGTCATATGAAAAAAATAGTGTCCAATATAATCCAAAAAATTACATATAAAATATTCACGCCACATAATGTTTACTGCAATTAATAAACTAATATAAACTTGTCAAAAGATGACCACGTATTTTTTTAAATTATTATTCTTAACACTAAAACTATCTACATTGACTATGGAATACGATTTCAGCCATAGTAAGTATAAGATATTGAATGTTGTTTGTTAAATTAGATCGATTTTCAAACCCCAAAATTTAAAATATATTTTACATTTTACCCATTATCTTATGTAACTATTTATTATTTGTATATTGTAAAACATTTGCTACATTTGTATGGTTCATAGTTTATTTGGTTTATTTGCGAAAGTTATTTATTACTATAAATAGGTATATATATATATTATATTTATTAACTGTATATATGTATGTTTCATGTAAACTATATCATTTTTAGAATACAAACCAAAAATACGAGGAATTATTATGTTTTCCATGTATTCTACAACATATTTATTAATCCGTAGTATTTAACTAGCGTGACGTCATAAATCTCGCTCTGAGGCTGTTCTATTAGAGACGGCATTGCGTCAGCATGGCCGCAAGTTGCTAACCTAATAAAATTAACACTAGAAAAGCCCGCGGGAACTGTCAAATTCAAAGTTATTCGTTTCACAGACTATAGTAGTTCTAAGTCCACGGAATATTGGGGCATCTATTTTAATGCAGTCTTAAATATTAGCCCTCAAAGAAACATAACCTGTACGAAACTTTCACATTTATCATACGCACTTGTAAAATAATAACGTATATCCAAAAGGCTAAAAAAGCTTCCTGGGAAGGATCGTCGTGTTCTTGATAGGGAGGAGGCAAGTCGGTGTAGGATTGTAGCCAAAGCTTACAGCCAAAAGCTCCGATAATGCACAGTAAAATAAGTATTAAGACACACCAAATCACAGCTTTATTCATTTGCTTTTCTAAGGACGATCTTTTGTATCTGGGACCGCCGTTATTAAGTAAGGCTTTGGTTTCATGACCTAAAACCAACAAACACAATAACATTTAAGATGGGAATTAATAATTACAAAGAATAATCAATCATTTAAATATTTAATCTACGACAATGTCATTATGACACATTTAACATTGTCATTTGGATGTCATTATCAGCGAGGTGACAGTAAACCGGAAAATTGGAAACAGTTGTGGCGCGGTCCTACCCAGGCAGAAAGCATGGCCTTCTAGACTGTCCAATATAGAAGCATGTTAGAAACAGTAAATTTTCAAGTTTTTTCCTCGGGTTATTTAATATAGGCAACGCTATAGACATTACAACGTTTATACTACGTCGTTAATTAATGCGGATTGTCTCCGAATGGTATCGGTAAGCGCGTTTAATGCAATATCAACGACAATAATTATTAAATATCTATTCATTTTCGGTGCGCGTGGGAAATAATTATTGTACCAAATCATCCTGGATTTGAAAATGTAGTACCGCTGTACCAAATAGAATTAAAAGTATCAAATTTGGTACAAATGTACCACTGCGGCAACACTGTTTTCTAGAAAATAATCGGCGCGGACATGATCCCCGTTGTCCACTCGGTGTTGCATATATTGAAGGCCCGGACGTGGCTCGGTGTCTACCAGGTGGATGACACTTCTTATGGGAGAACTGGCAATGGTTGAAAACTTGACTACAAGCCATTTTCTAGGAATCTTCCTTACCGATAAATTATTGACAAGAGTGACAGATAAAACCTTAACGTTCTTTCAGTATTCCAGTTTATCTCTTTTTCTTTCTAAAGTGTGCGTTGAAAGGAGACAAAAACAATTTTTGGTGACCCATAATTTGTTATTCGAACACCACTTTTCTCCTTGTCGGGTCGTTGACGTTGACTGTTGACTTGTCGCCATTTTATTTCTTTTGTTTACACGCTGCATTTTGCTTTGCAAATTTAATACATAAATTATTTAGGCAAATATAGGTTTTTAATAAAACTCCTCGGACTAACGTATAGGTAAGTGTTGATAATTTTTTTTTAATCTTAACATGCTCATTGTCGTTCTCCTGATTTTAGGTGACAGAAAAGGATCATCAAATCAAATTGAATTTTATATTTTTCTTCCTATTTATCCTTCCTAAATATCAACGAGATGAGCCATCGGAAGAAAGGGACCATAGTACAAAACAGAAAGGTGATCTTTTTTCGTTCCACTTAGGATATTGAAATTATATACTGTAGTCGTGTTCGGCATTATGCTCTGAGAAATATAGATAAACAAAGAACAACAGATATAAAGCATCCCAGAGGAAAAGAGACGCAATACCTGTATGTACTCTCTCTGATATTTGTGAACGTTACAGCAAAGTATTGTTGTAAATGTCATCTTTTTGATCGACCTGAAAACTTCGAGCAAAAAGATGACACTTTCAACAATACCCTGACAGATATCAGAGACGATACAGGTTTTTCCTCTCTTTTCCCCTGGAATACTTTTAATTTATTATTCTTTGTTTATTTAAATTTCTCAGAGCACTATGAACGAACTCAGCTTGTATGTTTGAAATAATCGTCCAGTTGGCTTAAAAATGATGATCGAAGACATTTCCCATATAATTTTACTATCAAAATTATGATATATCTTTTATTTCTAAGCCATCTATGACGCCATTTTTTTCAGTTTTGTTATAATTAATTTTGTCTCTTGATCTACTTGTAACATTATTCTTTTAATTTTATTAATTTATTGTGGTGAAATTAATTTCTGTTGTATATTTGATATTGATATTAAACATATTTTTAAAAAATGGTGTATTTTTTGTGTTTTTGTGTATGTCATAATTAAAAATAAATGAAGAAATAAGATTTTTTATTTTTTTAAACTTCCCGCCATGCGTGACAATTTAGTCAGTAGTTCCTACAAGCGAAATTGGGGGCGCTAGTAGCAGTAGACTTGTCAACAGTTTCAAATTTAAACGTCAATTTCACTTTCCAATATTTAGCAAGGCGCTCGCACTTCTTCTTGTGTATGTGTTTTGTGGTGTCTACTTTACGGAACGTGCCCGGCTCGGGTACGGCCCGGTGTACCATGAATCATCCTTAATATGGGCACCTGATAATTTTGAATTTTAATTTTTATGAGGATATCTCTGATATTTTAAATTAAATCAAATCTCTTTAGATCGTCCCTCGTGTCGCGTCGTAGGTTAAATTTTGAATGATACACGTTCGATACGAACTTTTTAATGAATTTTTATTATGATGTTCGTATCGAACTTGTATCATTAATAACTATTATGTTTCTTTTATGGATAAAATCCCTACTTACCCGCATAAACGACAATACCTTCAATAAAATCGGTATTTTTCAACAAACACTCTCTTAACAACAAATTGTCAGTACCGACCGGTACTCTTTCACCGGATTCGTGTACTATGGCACCGTGAAACCGGTAGATCTTCGTGGTCGGCGCCTCAACTTCTATTTTACTTCGGAACTTGCTTGGCTCAAAATAATTTTGCTAAAAGTGGATAAAAAAATATATTAGGCACACGTATTATAAAAAGACCAAAAGAACAATACTAATCGAAAAAAACGGCTGGGAAATCAATTAATTTTAGCGAGGTCAAGCTCTACACGTCAGTGTCTTGGTAGGTACCGTACTCTTTTTTATATTTTAATGGCTCTTACTGCCATTTGGCCTTAAGCAGGTTGTAATTTATTTTTATATTGAGTAAAAACTGGTTTTAAATGGCGTAGTTCAAATTTCGACAAAAGATAATTTTATAAAAATAGATTTGGCTGTCTAGAAACGTTTTATTATCTTTTTTAGTCTTTGTATAAAGTTTTGTATAAAAATTTGTATAAATTAGAGATCAGGGTTCAGAAGTAGTTAATTAAGAATTTATCTGATTAACTACGTGTAGTTTTTCTGCAAAAACTACGTCTTTTCTTGTACATTAACTACATGAAAACTACTTTGATAAACTACATATTGTTATTACGATAGAAAAACAATCCTATAAATAATAATGTTAATAACATGTAAGGTATAAATTATTTATTTAAAGAATTATCAATTCACATAAAAAAAAATATATGAATAATACAATATTGTGACAGTATATTAAAATTACTAGATATAAAATAATACAAAAACTCTAAAAAATTTAATATCAAAAGATTTTTACAGTTGAGGGTTGGAACCTTTGGTGTTACACAGCAAAATAAAACACTAAATCACCACAATACACCAAAACACTTTTACTTTTACACTGGACGCGCGTTTCGTTAACCATGTTAGCATCATCAGCAGATGATTATAAACTCAATCAGTCAGTTTATAATCAGCTGCTGATGATGCTAACATGGTTAGCGAAACGCGCGTCCAGTGTAAAAGTGTTTTGGTGTATTGTGGTGATTTAGTGTTTTATTTTGCATCATAAGATTTTAATCGCCTAGTCAGTAATCTTTTTCAAAACTTTGTAGAAAGTATATTTTTCATTTCCTCTGTATGAGGGGTGTTAATAATTTTTTTGATGCCAATGCTATATTTAAAGCCATATTTCCTCTCTTTTCTGAACTCTCTCTGCTTGAACTTATCTTTAACTTGTTATAACCCCAAACCTGCCTCAAATATTTGATATTTGAAAGTTACATAAACTACACTATCTACGTCGATTAACTATATGTAATGTAGTTTATGTAGTTTTTAAGAGTAACAATAGTTTTTCGAACCCTGGTAGAGATTAACCTCGTTCCAATTATTACTGACTGTCATTCCCAGCTGTCTTTGGGATCTGTATTTTCGATCATAGGGTATATTATATGACGTACATGGATATATGTACGACCAGAGAGAAACTAATAACTAAAGTGTGGCTTGTGGAATAGGGCATTTCGTAGACAAGTTTATTTTGTCACCGCGCATCCCAGACGCGCATAGCGTTTAGGCGGTCAAAAAAGGAAGTTTTCAACTTTGCAAGTTAAACATTTGACAGGATTAATTAGATTGTCAGTAGCTTTTTCTATTTCTTAGTTCTAGAAGGAGATATCTAAAATCTGTTGATAATCGGAGCAAATCGGAGTAATAAATTGTTTTTAACTGAATGTGCCTGTTCTTTTAGCTTGTCAGAAGAGAAGATTATTGTCATTATTGACTATTTCAGATTCCACGATTATTCGGCATTTTTGTAATTAATTGTGGTTGAGACCCATACAAAACGTTTCTTTTAAAGGTAAGTTTTATCACGGTAATTATTTTACCATACCTAATAGTAATAGTGAGTGCACATAATAATCGTACATTGATAATTTAATTTTTTTAATTTAAAACATCACATTCTTTTCTGATACTTATGGAGCGACTAGGTATTATACCTGGTATTATTTCCAGTAATACAAATTGTTTTCTTTAACTGCTAGGTTCTTGTTATAGAATAAAGACTACCAAAAACATTGAATACCTACGGGATACCTACTGATACTCTGTGCGAGTGCGAGCTCCCAACCGTGCTTCCCTGTTCACTCCCAACCAAGTTAGATAAAAAAGATACTGAAGATTGCAGCCTTGAGTTGGAGTATGGCAAGGAGTATGGAGTTAAATAAATTATTATGTTCCTACACAGTATTTTATTTATAGGTTTTAATGCTTTAAAGTCTATTAATAAATTTTCGTTGTCAACAAAATAATCTAAAAAAACTACGAAGATTTCTTTTTATAAATTTGAAAGATTAAGATTTGGTTCAAATATTCAAATTTTAAATTTTTGGCGCCAGTATATAGGTATGAATGCAACCTACTATATCGATAATGCGCTCATAGTTCGGGTTAGACGCCAAAGGCCTCGCCACTAATACAGTCTTCAAAAATTAACGTTGATCGGTCTCTCTCACTTTAGTTATTAGTGTTCTCTCTGTGTATGACGTACAAAATTATGTTGTGTTCACCTTTTCTACAAAACCTCTGGCCACTTGACGCTGTTTTAAGTTGGTTTCTCCGTCCAAATGGCCGGTGTCGATGTAACATAGGCCGCTACTGTCACTAGACCGCAAAAGGAGAATATCTGCAGGTACCACTTCGTTGTTGGATAAATGTATAAGGTCGCCCACACGGATATCTTTCCATAGGACTTTTTTATATCTTGCTGATTCACTAGAAAGAAAAAATAAATGATATTATTAAAATGAAACATTACTAATGGATATGTATACAAGCATCGCATCTTCTGACCCAACTTCGCACCGCCTAAAATCCTTTGTGAGAGTTTTTTTGTCAATCATCTGGTACGGATGACTGATTGACTGAATGATCTGGAATGATTGAGACCAATCGATTCACGATTGGACAGTTGTAATCTCTCTATGTTTCTGTTTACATCTTGATTCAAGTAGACATTTTCTATACAGAATTGTTCACCACATACGACACGGAGTATAGCAGCTAAACGACTAGATTTATACAAATTGTAAGTTTTGGGTTCGTTGAAGGATTATTAAAGTTACAATTTAATTTTTTTTGTCCGATGACTGATGTCTTTTTACTGATGAATTATTATAGGTATTAAATATCAATAATTGAATTAAGTTAATAATAAGTAAACAGATTATCTCCATAAAATATATTTTAGATAATACAATTTGTTTTCATTTACTAAAACTTTACCTTTGATAAGACGAAAATATTACACAGAAACGGCGGCGGCGGCCGCGTATTGTTTAGAAAAATTAAAGCAGAGCTGAAATTCTAATATTCACTAATATTTCTATTAATCACCTGATTCGGCTGATATTGACAATATAAACTAAAATATTTCTGGAATTTTGAATAACATTAGAATGTCGGTACATATTTCAGTCACATAAAATTGCGTTTTAAGGAAATTTATTTCTTATATTTTAACTAAAGATACTTTTAGACCATTTTCCCGTTCAGTTCAAAAATAACGACCTATTTACAGCGCTTTCAGATGGAGCGGACCGTCCGTCGTGTTTTTTCAAGATAACCGTCGGACGAAATCATCCAGACGGAGCATACGCGACCCATGTGAAATCGTTCATATAAACTCATGGTATTTGCCCGAAGTCCCGAACGGTCCGCTCCATCTGAAAGCGCTGTAACAGTGTTTTGAGATGGAGCGGACCGTCTACGACTTCGAGCAAGTAGTTTATACGAACAATTTCACATGGGTCGCGTATGCTCCGCCCGACGGCTATTTTGAAAAAAAACGATGGACGGTCCGTCGCGGACGGTCCGCTCCATCTGAAAGCGCTGTTAGACAATTAGTTGAGTTTTCGATATTATTACATAACTTGGTAATATTTGAGGGGTAGTTTCATCTCGTTGGATTTTGACTTTCGAAAAATCCGTTTGCCAAAAATAAGCTTTTTACGTCAAGCAGTTTAAGCAGAATCGTGGTTAACAAATTACCCAACTTTTTGGAACACCCTGTATGATTTTTTTAAAAGTTTCAAAATACCTATGTAAAAAGAAATAAATTATGCTTGTCCAAGCGTTTTCCCGAAAGACTAACCGTTTTTTAAATAACAAATATTGTAATATTTAAGGGGCGTTTTCACCCTCTTGGAATTTGAGATTCGAGAAACCCCTCCTTATCGAACCTCTACACCCCACAGTCAATCCGTTTGCCAAAAATCAGCTTTAAACGTCAAGCAGTTTAAGCAGAATCGTGATTACTCAATGGTCACTCCTCCGAAAAATCCCTTATTATCGAACCTCTACACCCTAAAGTCAATCTGATTTCCAAAAATTACCTTTTTACGTCAAGCACTTTAAGCAGGATCGTGATTAATCAATGACCAGATTTATCGAAACACCCTGTATACATTTTTAAAAAATCTTAAAATATGTAAAAATAAACAAAATAAAATATACGTGTTTAAGCGTTTTTTCGGAAACTTGACCGTTTTTTTAAATAAAAAATATTGTAATATTTGAGGGGTGGTTTCACCCCCTCTTGAAACTGGAATTTCGAAAAATCCCTTCTTATCGAACCTCTACACCCTAGAATCAACCTGTATGCCAAAATTTAGCTTCTTAAGTTGAGTGGTTTGAGCAGGATCGTGATTAATCAGTATGTCAGTTACTTTTAAGGATTTTATATATTAGTATAGAAGAGGGTTGTAGAATTATCCACGAAAGTATAAAGTAACTAATACTGATATTTTAATCGACAGAATAAAATATTTTAAGTAGGAATTGAATATTTTTATTTTTTACCTAAAAAATTTCATTAATTTTAAGAGAGAACGCCAATTATTGTTTAAAATTATAATTAAAACCAAACAAAACGATGCTATTCCGGATTACCTCTTATATGCAAAAATGTTTAATAACAATGAAGAAATTAGGACGAAAATTTACGGTTCTTAGACCTCAATTTGCTGTTCGAGTTAAACGATCTACTATACTTACCGATTTAATTCATAACAGTATAGTGCGCGCCCAGTTCCGATTTTAATGCCAATTACTACTGTACGAAAAAAAATAGCGTCAAAGACAGCTGGGGAATGACAATAGATAATAATTTTGGCGAGGTCAATCTCTAGACGTCATTTACTAAGAATTGACATAAAACTTGTCAAAAATTAACACTAATTATAAAAAGATTAAAAAAGGAAATCAAATCTCCACACACCGGAAAAATCTAGGGATATCATTTTTTTAAATATAAATAATAAAAAAATCAAACTAACTTTACCATAACTTTTTTTGTGACACCCTGTATATAACAAAATATTTTAGGATACACCCCTTTATAAACCTTGAAACATATGAATAAAACTTTTTTCACATCTTCGACAACGACGACGATATTGGACTTCCTCGCACTAATAGGCCACCCTGTATATTTACGGTGGTTTAAAGCTAGGTGTAGCACTTTTCTTCCCTCAAATATAAACTCAATATTTTGTCTATAATATTTTGAATATTGTTATATTACGACCACTTATAATAAAAAATAAATAAAAAAAACATAAAAAAATACAGTCCACTAAATTTATAAGAGATTATGCTATTATAAAATTCTTTCAATTAAAAAATATGAATAAGTTGCGGAGACTTATATATGAGACAAAATATTTACTCTAAAATTGATTCAAAAACCAATTTATATAAATTATCTCGTAAATTATTATTGGAATGAAAATTTTATGGAAAATCCCCTGACCAAAAAATATTTTCATGCGCATATTTGAGACAACCTGTATATCTAAAAAACTATTTTTAAAATCTGCACACATGCTAAAAAAAATAATAACATTTAATTAATTACATAATATCTCAGCCTCTAAAATAAACAAATATAATTAAATGTTAACTGATAATTACTATCAGCTTGCCGATTTACATCCGATGGAAATCTAAAAAGACTCAAAGAAGAATTTTTTTAATTATTTCCACAATTAATAGCAGCGCACAGTAAGGCACTCATTGTTTGTCAATTCGTCCCTGTGCTCGGACGCAACGCTCGAACCTCACAGCTCGACGGACCGAATTCAACATTCAACTGAAACGCTTTGCAACCTACCAGCTTGCAAAAACTGGCAGAAAATATTTGCGAGAGTGAAAATATTTGCTCTTTTCCTTAAACTATGGTATTATACAGGTACGGACGAAAAATATGTAGGTGGTGCCCCGATGAATACTTATTTAAAACGTTTGCAAGTTAAAGATATTAAAATTTTTTAAAGGTTGCTATTAGACTTGGATCAAGATGAAGGCAAATTAAGAAAATTGCGTTTATCTCAACAAGGAGACAAAATATTTAATGAAACATTTTTTTTGAAACGCCCTGTATAAGAATAAAACTAATTTAGCAAAGAAAAGACATTTATATTTCTTTAGCTTTAGCGAACTTTTCTTTAGGTGGCGTGAGCTGATTATTATCAAGGATTTGATTTGTTGTTGTGGCAATGACGTCATTTATATATTAAGAATTAATCGTAAGATTTAAGCGAACGCCTGTTTAAGTATGTGTTACTGTTATGACTACATAGGGTCATCGGTTATTAATACCAGACACATCCAGAAAAGTTTCCACATTAAAATAATTTAACAAAAATTAATAATTCAAGACGTTCATATTGAAAATAAAAGAATTTCGTACTTCTACAGGGTTGTTCACCACATACGACACGGAGTATTGTAGCTAAACGATGAGATTTTTACAAATTGTAAGTTTTGGGTTCGATGAAGGACTATTAGAGGTACAATTTAAAAATAATTTTACAAGATACAGAGTGTCCCAAATAAGTAAAAAATATCAAAGTTGTATTTTTTTAAATGGAACACCCTGTATATTATTTCATTTTTAGTTTCTACGATTAAAATAAAGGTAAATTTGATTAAGGTTTATTATACTTAAACCTTACCGTTTTTGAAATATTCTCAATTTTGTGAAATTACAGTAAAAATTTTAAGGCTTCATTTCTCCAAGGGTATCAAAGTTTTTAATACTAAATATTTACTGAAGTTTATTTATTGATCAGTTATTTTGTTGCAATAATAAAAATAATACTACCTTATACAGAGTGCCTAAAAATTTATTTTAAATAATTATTAGCTTCAAACGGCAATAACTTGTTTAATTTAAACGGAACACCTTGTATATTTTACGAGAACCAGATGCACAATTTAATTGACTATCAAATTATATTATACCATTTTTTACCTATCTCTTTAAGTTTCCGTAGAAAATGCATTTTCTTGTAATTTAGAACTTATTTATCAATATACCCATGGAATATTGACATTTTAGATTATTTTTAAAGATGTACCAAATTTTTAAAGAGTACAGATACTAATATTGTCGATATAATTTGTTTATTTTATTAAAAAATAAAAAAACTGTTTAAATATTTATTAAAGGGGACCAATTAATATGATTCCAGTATTCAAACTACATTAACTGACTGTTTGCGTTGATTAATAATAATTGCTCCAAATACTAAAAAACTTAATTTTGTATGGGTATTAGACAGTGTGATAAAAAGAAATACCTTAAAAATGATATTTCATTTTTTAATAAATACTTATTTATAACAACAGAGACTTTAATTTTGATAACTTATTATTATATTGATTTCTGACTCAAATCCACATTTATTTAGAATCATTTATTAACGAAAACA